TTGGATGTCTGAGTTGCTCGAGGGGCGAAAAAGCGAGTCATGATGATCACTGATTGCTTTTCTCTTTTTGTTGGGAATAATCCAACCTCTCTCATTTGTGGCGTTGAGTTTCTTGCGTTCATTTGTCTATATCCTAGTCTTACTGTATCATATTTTTAGTGGCCCTCTTGTTGCGATTCAATGCTACGCCCTAAGGCTATCATACTTGAGACACCTGCTTTTTCCCAAGGTTGCAAAGACCATCTGCTATGTCGAGTGGCTTTCTTTTAATGAGCTGATGGTTGATGCCATGTATGATTTCCTTTGTTGCAGGATGTCTTTATGTCTTTGCTTTTTTTCATAAGAATAGACTTTCTTCACCTCTATGTTGTAGGGAATTTCCCTCAATGAGACAGAATGAGATGGCGTGTCAAAATTCAGTATATTTCAAGTTCCTTTCTACTTTTTGTCATCAGTCATATCGGTATATCATGTACAGCAAAGCCCCGTGGATAAATCAAACGTCATAATTCAATCCTCATGTGTGACCGACATGTCCAGAACCTCAACCCGGCCTCTTCCACGGGTCTCATTGCTCACCAGTTCATTCAATCCCTTGAACGCACCGGGCTCAGCAAACCCAACAACCTCCCATTCATCCCCACCAACGACTTCTTGCGATTCAACTGATTCAATGAAAGCCATGATTTTGTCCTTAACGGTGCTCGGGGCCTTGGGTGCAGCTTCCACATCAGACTGACCAGCCTCGACGTCTGAGTCATCCCTCTTAGCAGACTTCTTCGATCCCTTATTCCCCTTCTTGTTGTTCTTTGAGCCACCGGAGGGGGCTTCCTTCTCTTTATTTGACGCAGCACCCGGGGCAGCCTTGACAGACTGCTTCAGCAGGGACACTGGACATGTCACACGAAGACGCATGCGAGCCCGCATAACGGGAATCGGCTGCCAAGCGATGAGAGCCTTCATGGCATCCAACGCCTGACTCTTCGCCGAGCGGTTCGCCGAAACTCCCGTCCAGAGAGGCTTCTTCGGCTGGGAGGATTTCTCTTCGCCATCGTCATTCACCTCCCCGCTCGCTTGTGTTTGTTGTTGTCCGCTGGCCGAGGTGAGCTGATCCAACGCCTTGTGGATCATTCCAGATGTGTACACGCGCTTGGTTGACGGGTCGACTAGTCGACCTGACACGATATCCAGTACTTCCTTCTCCACTCGCTCGAGGATGTCTTTGCGTTCACGTTCACCGACTTGCACTTCGCCTTTGCGGAGGATCTCCTGAAGGATTTCCTCGCGAGGGGTACCAGCTCCGAAGGCTTTTGTTAGCTCTGCTGATGGTGCGGTTTGTGCTTTAGAGACGGAGAGGAAAACGGTTGGGACTTGGAGGACATTGTCGAGGTCTTTTTCAGCGCCGGATCGGTATTCGAGCAGTTTGTTCTTGTAACAGGCGAGTTCGAAGCGCTTCTTGCCTGGATTAAGATTAAAGGTTAGCAAAAGTCAAGGCAACATGGACAAGACAGATGTGTACCCTTTTTTAGTCGGACTACCGACACGTTGGTGAATTTGATCTGGTTGGAGGGTTGGTTGATAGGCATTTTGGGTGTGTGAAGCCGCTGAGGGCTGATTGCTTCAAAGAGAAAAAAAAATAGACACCAGAAAATGTGATATGCAGAGAAATGTTTTTCAATATGCTTCCCAAATAGATGACACTGTCAAGGTTGAAGGATATATGTAAACTGAGTATGGAGTATTCAAAGTTGATTTGCGTTTGGAAATCTAAAAAGATCAGTCGATAAGCTCTGCCCGCGCCTAAGAGGGGAACTATGAATCACGTGACACAGAGAGGTCTTCCAAGGTTCCTCACTATTCCCCATCTGTCGCACGTTTTTCTTATTTGTTCAGTTTATCCTGAAGATTCCAATTATTTACGCAGTTTTAGTTTGAGACAATCTATGTTATAGGGGAGATAATTGTGATGGTTCTCTAAAAATAACATAGTTGCTCCCCTGCGTATGTTGTACCTATGTCGTAGGCAGGTCCAGGGCTCGTGACTCATGCTGACTCATCAGATCATGGGGTCGGGCCCCCTCTTGCGATCACCTGATTGGCCCAGCCGCCTCGTCTTATCGACCGTCCCCGGCGTCATCGGCCCAAGGGACCTGTTTCTCCTCATCTCACAAGCCTAGGACATCACCGTCTTGCTTCTTCGAACCCATCAACTTCGTTTCAATTATCAACCATCTTGTGGTATCTTCAAAGTGTAAGTGATTATCTTCCTTTGGCTTCTTTTTGAGAGCCATTCCCGCAAACGGTCACTGATAAGAGGTGCCTGACTCCAGACCCCAAGGTACCCGTTCCTCATCACCAACTCATCATTAGCATCATTCTTGCTGTGAAATCCAAACACAGTTTGCAATGAGAGTCCTGTCCACCACTCTCTTGGTGGGAGCTGCTTCGGCCGCTACCCCATCCTTCCAGCAGGTCCTTGGAGCTCACAGCGAGCATGCGGAGAATGTAGCCCAACAGGGTGCAGATGCATTCAAGCCCCTGCAACACCTCCAGGACCAGTTCAAGTCTCTCTCTAGTGAGGCTCGTCAGCTCTGGGAGGAAGTCTCTAACTACTTCCCGGAATCCATGGAGAGCGCTCCCATGCTTTCCCTACCCAAGAAGCACACCCGCCGCCCTGACTCGCACTGGGATTATCATGTCAGTGGTGCCAAAGTCCAAGACATCTGGGTCTCTGGTGCCGAGGGCACCAAGGAGCGTGAGGTTGATGGCAAGCTGGAGGACTACGCTCTCCGCGCGAAGAAGGTTGACCCTAGCGCCCTCGGCATCGATCCTGGCGTAAAGCAGTACAGTGGTTACCTGGATGACAACGAGAACGACAAGCACCTGTTTTACTGTGAGTTCATAAAACGTCGGTTCGTTATATAAAGTTTATCTAACACCCAAAAGGGTTCTTCGAATCTCGCAATGACCCCAAGAACGACCCCGTCGTCCTGTGGCTGAACGGCGGCCCCGGCTGCTCGTCCCTCACCGGCCTTTTCATGGAACTTGGACCCAGCTCCATTGGTGCTAATATCAAGCCCATTTACAATGATTTCTCTTGGAACAACAATGCCTCTGTGATCTTCCTAGACCAGCCCATCAATGTCGGCTACTCCTACAGTGGCTCCTCCGTCAGCGACACTGTTGCTGCTGGCAAGGACGTCTATGCTCTCCTCACATTGTTCTTCAAGCAATTCCCTGAGTACGCTACACAAGACTTCCACATTGCTGGCGAGTCCTACGCCGGCCACTACATCCCTGTCATGGCTTCGGAGATTCTCTCCCACAAGAAGCGCAACATCAACCTCAAGTCTGTTCTCATTGGAAACGGTCTCACCGACGGTCTTACTCAGTACGAGTACTACCGCCCCATGGCTTGCGGTGAGGGTGGCTACCCCGCTGTTCTGGATGAGAGCACCTGCCAGTCCATGGACAACTCCCTGTCCCGCTGCCAAAGCATGATCCAGTCCTGCTACAACAGCGAGAGCCCCTGGGTTTGCGTCCCGGCCTCAATCTACTGCAACAACGCCATGCTTGGCCCCTACCAGCGCACCGGCCAGAACGTTTACGATGTTCGCGGCAAGTGTGAGGACGAGAGCAACCTGTGCTACAAGGGCCTGGGCTACATCAGCGAGTACCTTGGTCAGGAGAGCGTGCGCGAGGCTGTCGGTGCTGAGGTCGATGGCTACGACTCGTGCAACTTCGACATCAACCGTAACTTCCTCTTCAATGGCGATTGGTTCAAGCCTTACCACCGCCTCGTGCCCGGTCTCCTTGAGCAGATCCCCGTCCTGATCTACGCCGGTGATGCTGACTTCATCTGCAACTGGCTTGGCAACAAGGCCTGGTCCGAGGCTCTTGAGTGGCCTGGCCAGAAGCAGTTCGCTTCCGCCGAGCTTGAGGACCTCAAGATTGTGCAGAACGAGCACGTTGGCAAGAAGATTGGCCAGATCAAGTCCCACGGCAACTTCACCTTTATGCGTATCTTCGGCGGTGGCCACATGGTTCCCATGGACCAGCCCGAGTCTGGCCTGGAGTTCTTCAACCGCTGGATCGGTGGCGAGTGGTTCTAAACACTAGACCAAGTTGCTATATGATACAATATGTTCAATATGTTGATGGATTTACCATTCCACGGCGTGCTATTGATCTTGTGACTAGCTGTTTGAGCACATTTTGACCCCTAATCCTCTGGGAAATGAAAGGCCGCATACTCCCAAGGTCGGTATCATCTGTTTTCCCGCTGATATTGGGTGATTTCGCTTTTGTTTAGTATATATATCTAGGCAACTCTGAATTTGATCAATCTTGGATAGACTTGGAACATCGAGTAATAAACAATGGTTACAGAAATGTCGTGTTGCTTATTTTAAAACCTCCACGGTCTATATTCTAGCTACAACACCAATTAAGGGATGAAATATCTAAAAGAAGAACATTGAAAGACTAAGAAGTATACCGAAAAAGACATCATAAGGCTGCATGAGTGGCTTGTAAACATTGGTGTGGTGTAACTATAGGCATCTATGGATGTAGGCAAGTGCGGGTGTTCGTGACAGGCGTAGATAGGCGTAGATGGGAGGAGGGATATTTAACCTCAGTACCCCATAGTTGTTGATCGATGGCTTAAGCCTTGTCCCACACTGACGGTCTAGGACATTCTACCCCACAGCAAAGTATTCCCCGAAGTATACCACAGAGCCTTGCAAGATATACTACCCTACGAGGGCCGAGGATTGGGACAGGATCATCCAATAGGCAAATTGATCCATGATAGACGATCCCACCAAACCCACGACCAAAAGCAAAGTAAACGAATCGAAGGGATGGATCATTTCATTGATATGGTTCATTTTCAATTTTTTGACAGCGGGGAAAAGGTCCCACGAGTGCCCATAGAAACACACCGGAAATAACGGAATCCCTCCAAGAACCCCCGGCAAAAAAACGAACAGAATAATTTAGCCCTTCTTCTTGCTGACACCGACGGTGCGACCGCGGCGGCCAGTGGTCTTGGTGTGTTGACCACGGACACGGAGGCCCCAGTAGTGACGCAGACCACGGTGGGAGCGGATCTTCTTGAGACGCTCGAGATCCTCACGGAGCTTGGAGTCGAGACCGTTGGAGACAACCTGGGTGTCCTTGCCATCGGTGATGTCGCGCTGTCTGTTGAGGAACCACGAAGGGATCTTGTACTGAGTAGGGGTCTGGAGGATGGTCACGATACGCTCGAGCTCTTCGGTGGTGAGCTCACCAGCACTATAGAAAGTGTCTTGTCAGCTTTGCTGGTCCTGTGATATTTGTGCGATTGTTGTGCGATATTCCGTAGGTCGATTTCGAGTCCAAACTGCTCCATTGTCTCTTTCAAGTGTTTCCTCCAATAACAAACGAATGGGAATAATTGGATATTCGATGGGGGTTGTGGCGAACGTACCGCTTGGTGAGGTCGACATCGGCCTTCTTGCAGACCAGGTTGGAGTAACGGCGACCGACACCCTTGATCTGGGTCAGCGCGTACATGATCTTCTGCTTGCCGTCAACATTGGTGTTGAGCAGACGCAAGATGAACTGGAAGTTCGTCTTCTCGCCGGTCACGAGCGCTGTTATCGAGAAATCCCCATGTTAGCCAACATTCAATATCGCGAACGGCCGTCTCTGCCACCGTTCCTGCTTTTCTTTTTTTGGCAAATTCGTGGTTGTATATCATATAATGCTCTCAGACTGAAAGGAGGGGTCGTCACGTACACATGATGGGCGATGGGCGAGGATCGCGATGGGTTGTCGACAGAGGGATGGAGAGAGGAAGTCCAACTGAATGACTTTGCTTGTGGGATCGGGTAATTTGGGCGCTAACCTGATTTGGACGAGGGCTCGCTTGTTACGGGCTAGACCAAAAGTGGCTAGTCCGTAGAGCAGATCATGTGAAATCACATGACTTTAATTTTCAATGTTAGATTCTGGTAATTTGAGTTGTTATTTACGTGTATCTTACAATAGCCCTGACAGACGGCTTTGTTTTCCTCGACATGAAACTGTGACGAACCCAATCCTCTTGGAGTTATCAGCCACCGTCAAAGTGTCTCTTTGTGCTTCGAGTAATCTTTTATGAGGTCCATATGTTGATTTGCTAATTGGCACTGTCGTTCCTTTGACCTCATGTTTTTATCTTTCTTTCAATCTTTAATTGAGCAATTCGACCGCGTCCCTAAGTCTATTGGCACTCGAACGCCCTTATAATCTTTGGCTCATATGTTTTTTTTTTCAAGCCGAACGATACTAAAATTTCCTGATTACTTGCTTTGGGGGGTAGCCCAGTGATTTCTGTCTCTATACTAATCACTTCCGCACTTTCAATGTCACTTCTAGACTCGGGTGAGGTTTACTCAAGATAGCAACATGGTCACAACATCCTCTACCTGCACTGAATCCGGAACCCCGGTCTATGCCACCTTGGATTTGATAACTTATGTTCTTTGTTTTGTTACAGGAACCCCATGACCCCACTGTTGTTGATACCTAAAGTGCCTATCTATTTTTACTCGGTTCTTTGATATCCTCTGGATTCGACCTCGACCAAGACGCTATGAGCTAATGTGACAAATATAGAATTCCCCAAGCTCATGCTGCCTTGACCCTAACCTTGTTTGGAACGCAAATGCTTTGTCCATCAAGAAATATGATGTTACCATGGGTACTCGATCCGGGGCGCTCAGTGTGTTCTTTCATCTCGTGCTTACCATCTACAATATGCCACTCTATCTCTTTCAGTTGGTAAATATGGCATTCAAGCTGGCACTTTGGACAATGAATGTTCCTCGTTATCCATTAAAGCACTTGGTTCGCACCGTTTAGGCCTTTGGTTGATAATTTCCAACCTCCTCAGGCCAAGATAGGATACCCTAATATCAGGATATTGCTCTTGATAGAGCCTGTTGTCACAGATTTTCAGACAACTTCTTTTTCAGTTTGTCGTGATGGGTAGTTTCTCCCCACTCGAGATTCCTCCCCTTTCGGATTTCCCCTTGAAGGCGGAGGAACTCGAACACCCACCTCCGCCATTGCCTCTTTACGATTTTACCCGTCTCCCTAATCCACCTAACGACTGGTCACATTTCAATGTCAAGTTTGAAACCATCACACTGGGTCACAGTCGTTCCTTGAAGCTCCCACAGGTGCAAGTGTTGATAAAGCATTACTTCTGGGGAATCCACTATGAGGAACTGACCCAGACCCCCATGACAACCAGAAAGAAGCCAAGTCTCAAAGCTCAACAGATGTTGCTGTTCAAGCTCATCTACTATATGCAAGAACGCCATCGGCCGAAAACTTGGTTAGAAATGCTCAATGTTAACCGAGATACTGGGCCACGACTTTTGAGATACGACCTCAATCCGCGCCCAAAGCCATTCAGTAGGTGGTACAATTCTATTCCGGATGTGAGCACACAGATATTGAATGCGTATATACGCCCTCATGACGCGCCACCAGACATGCCCGACTACCTTATTCAACAATATATGTACTCAGTTGACAGCTTGCACACACCACCCCCACCTCCACCACCCCCGGCGCCAACACTCGCCGCGCAACAAGAGGAAATCCTTCGTCTACAGCTGTTGGAACACATGAACCCAGGAGTCAATTTTATACCGGTCTTTTCATTGACCGATCCTCCGGGTAAAAAGATACCGGGCCCTGCACCAGGCCAAAAACGGGGTCCAGACGACAAGGACCCCCATCGCAAGCGCTCGAGACAAATCTCACCCGGTGCCCCTGCTTACCGAGGTCGCCCTCCTTCCCCAACTCCGCCGTTTCAAGAGCCCGTTTTTGCTGCTGACGATATCACAACTTTCACCTGGACGCCTAGTCTGGCACCTTCCTACACAGTTGCTCCCATCGGAAGGCACCGATTGAGCCCCGTTGGCCTGAAACCTTCAGGTCCGCTTGACACGCGAGCGATTACGGACGCCGTGGAGCGAGCTGTGATGCAAATCGTGTACGCTGATTTGGATCGTGATCCTACTATTCCGTCGGTTGAACACCCCATTCGCCACCGGACCGCCCAGTCTTACAAGGATATACTCACGCTCAAACTTGGATCCTTCCCCACCACGGCGAGTGTAAAGTTGTCGCCATTGACCTTTCAGTGGGATCCAAATGGTGCTGTTTTTCCAGTCCGGGGCCGCGGCCCTATCTGGGATTCAATGTCTTGTGCAACAGATGCTGTTATTGTAGCGGGGATGTTGCTCGATGCTGGTTGTACAAAGATAGATCGCGCAAACAATCGAGCAGCTGAGTTCAAAGATATCGAAAAGGCATTCATCGAAGTGACAATGGCCAGCTGGGAGACCTTTGACGAGAAGACTTCTATATTTGTGCGTGACGAGTGGCTCCGTATGTTTATCGATGGCTCCCCCGGCTTGAAAATGGGACAGCCGATTCCTCCTTGGGCGGTATGGTCAGTGGCCACGAGAAGCTTCGCTCAATTCCGCTATTTCCACGTTGAGCGAGTGACCCCTTGCAAATGCAAGCTTGGGACTCCGTTCTACAACTCTCATCAGGGGTCCTGCATTTTACCAGGCTACCAACCGGGCGATGAAAAAGGAGTAGATCTACAAGTGTTGATAGAGCGATGTTTCTACCCACGAAAGTCTTTCAGGTGTGATAAGTGCGGCGATCCGACGGGAGTTACTGGAGAACGAAAGATCGGTCAACTCCCGCTCCGTCTGGTGGTAACATCTGATATCAAAACGCGAATCCGAAATCACACGGAGAATCTCAAATTCAATTACATAGATTATGAAGACAAGCAACAGGTCGCACACTATCGTTGGCTTGGCGGCATCTATAACAACGAATCCCATGCTCGTTTGTTCTGGACAGATACTCAACGAGGCGAGAAAGATGACGGGAATATTATGATGTACGACAGTCAAGTCAATTCCGGGGTTATTATCGGTGGAATCCCAGCATTCCAACGTGAAGAAAAAGTGCCCACTGAATGGGTCAACCATCATGCTATTCCGCTTCTCTTCTACGAGCGCATCATGAATCCCACTACTGACCTTTTGGCAAAGGCTAACAACGCGATGTTTGAGCTGGGCAATTGCCTGAACGAGAACAAGAACATTCTCGAAGAACACATCCCTTGGAAGCGATCAACTCCACCATTGCAGTGGGAGTCATGGCCTCGTATACTTTCACACAATGGTGAACGCTTCAGCAGTTTCAACCCCGGCTGGGCAACAGCGAGACCATCCCCCAACCCAGCTTCTGCACAACCTGCTGTGCCCCCTCTGCCATCCATTCACATTGACCCGGCGCTTCTTGATCCATTGGTCATTGACCCATCGCTTCTTGATCCATCGCTTTACTCCGCCACCACACCTCCGGAATTCGACTTGACCTCCTTCTTTGACGAGACAGGACTTGGTGACCCATCAAGCAGTGATCAAGACATGACTGATGATTCCACAAAGGACCATCTGTTCAAATCGATGATGCAGAGTCCACGCTGGCTCGCTCCCACCCCGGACATGTGGCCTTCAGGTCTACCTAATGAGGAAGGAGCTTTGGACTTCCCCGAGCTGCCTATGTCGCCTATCTCGCCCCAACTAGGCAATCGCAGTGGCACTGGGTGGTCAGATATCAGCATGCCAGATGCAGAAGAGTCTGGGGCTGAGCTTCGAAGCCGGATTTTCCGCAGTACGCATGGTAATGGACTCAAAAGGTCCGCGATGACCAACTACGCTATTTCAAAGCAGGCCCTAAATTCAAGGGAGAAGCAGGCCCTGCGTGCAGAGACTATCCGTGGATTCAGCGCAAGGCACAGATTTAGTGATATAGAGGAGGAGGAGGAAGTGGAGAGAGAGGAGGAAATCAACCGAAGGAATATAGAGATCCAAAATAAAGAGGATCGCGAGCGAAAAAAGAGAGAGGAACGGAAAAACCAAGAGCAGCTCGAGAAGAAGAAGAGAGAGGAGCTTGACCAAAAGAGGAGAGATGAGCTGGAGAAGGGTAGGCAAGAGGAGCGGAAAAAACGAAAAGAGCTTGAAAAGAAAAAAGAACAGGAAGAACAAAATGAACGTCAAGTACAGGAGAAAGATCCGAAATGGACGAGGGAGGAATATTATAAACAGCACAGACAAAAGGAAGAACAGACGAAACAACAAGAGGCGAAGCCCAAGGTATCAAGAAGACCAGGATTGAGGAATTCGAAGAAGAAGAACACCGATCCAACATGGAGGCCGGGTGATAGTGATGGAGATGAAGATGAAGATGAAGTAGATTTGGGTTGATTTAGATGATTTAGATGTTATTCAGATGTTATTTAGTTGTTATTTAATAAATTCAATATGCAATATGCAATATTCATGTTCATACGAGTCAACTCAACCATCTGCCAATCAGCGGGCTCTTATTTGATATACCCGAGGCCCGAGTCTGTATAACACGCGATAGTACATCGATAATACATGTGTAGTACATGTTTAGTACATGTATAGTACATATGTAGTACATATGTAACGTAGTACCTTTCTACAAGTCATAATTACCCCCTTACATACATAACAAGTCTATACTAGTATAGTACATAACTTGTTACCTACTATAGTACATGATACAGTACATACCCGTTTCCCCGCAGTCTACCCCAGACTTAGCATCCCCCTTTCCCTCTTCTTTCTATTTCATATAATTTTACTTCAATAACTACATCCTACAGATATATATACTAACAGTCATCCACCAGATAATCTTATCACATTCTATGATCTATGATCTATTTACACGTCTGAATCCTGCACTATGCAGTCCCAGATCTACCAACTCAGTGGGGAATTAATCCAAAAACAAGCCAAAAACAAAATAAAACAAACAAAGATGTCACGCTACAGACGCGCTCTGGGCGGGCCTGTAGCAGTGTTGCTCTTCTTTGGTGCCGACACATATCCACCGAGAGTACCGTCAGTGTTGGTCACCGCACCCTGAGCATCACGCCGGATGCCAAGTTCAATCAACTTGGCAAACACCTTGGAGAAGTGATCAAAGAACAACTCCTTATCCTCGGCATACCGCTTAGTCCACGGGGCGAAAGACGGATCCGTCGAGAGCGCCATATCAGTCGGCAACATCATTAATGGCTCCTCATCCTCCTCGGCATCGGGATCCTCGTACACAAATTGTGTGTTACCCGACGCCATCTTGCGTGGCTTCCAGTCAAGCTGGAGCAGCAATTTGAAGAAAGAGTTCGAGAATCGCGTAGGGTTCGTCACCCACGGGCCCTCAAATCCACTGCGGTCACCGTGGCATCGGCCAAGGTTGTGTCCACCAGTCAGCGCTACGATCTCTTGGTCGTTGAAACCCATGCGGTTGAAGATGAACCGCAGGTGATCGGCGCCCTGGGCTCCATCCGGCAGACGTCCTCGAGGCGGCAACTTGGTCTCGCCGATCAGATCTGTTCGTCCACCTTGCCAGGGGATATCCGGTCCACCCAGCTCCTTGATCGCCACTACGCCGGCCAGTGTCCACAGATCCGAGTACGTGATCCATGGGTGTTTCTCTTTAATCGGCTCTAGGAATGCCCGTCCGTGCTGCAGACCAGCGTTGGCGGGGTCGCCACCCTCTGCTTCGTATCGCATGCCGGCTCCGTTGGAACCACCGGTATCGGTTTCGGCGTCGTAAGTGCCAGACGAGTGCCTATTTGGGAAATCATTGTCAGTGACTTTGCGTTGACAAGAGCTTATCGGGGTTGATCCGGAGCCCCGACCGGGAAACCATATGGCTTCGAGAATCACATTTACTTACCATGCGAGTCGCACGAAGACAGGTCCTGCGCTGCCATCATCATAGCCGGGCTTCTGCAAGATAGCGGCGATGTCCTTGCGGACGGCATCATAGTCGTGAGTGCTCATTGTCGGGTATCGGCCGATAACGCGGTCCGGGGTATGTTTCTCGGCAAGAAATTGAACCAACTCAACGTCGGCTTCGAGATGGATTTGAAGTTATGTGAGAAGATTGAAGATCAGAAATAGAAAAGAAAGAGAAAAAGACAAAGGAGAAAAGAGGACCGAAAAAAAACAGAACCCCCGGACTTTCCACATGGAAGAGAAGAAGAGGTGGATCCGCGGGCCGAATCACGCTGGGCCTATTGAAGATGCCGAGGTTGGACTGGGACACCCGTGAACTTGCTTATGATCTGCTATGATACTGGCAATTTCCGATGGAATTTCTCGGTTGCCAGCTGGATTTCCCCATTTTAAGTGGTTATCACCTTATATGCAATTGAAATAACCCGAAAATACGAAGATACGAGGTCACATTCGCCATCAAATGCCGATCTCAGACCTCGGAACTCAGTAGCCGACTTTGCGGTTCGGATATTGCACTCATCTTGATAGACAAATCCGATGCTTATTACTATAGTACTTGCAAAGTCTAATTGAAATGAATGTCATATTGACAAAAGTCAGATCTCTTTTGCCCTAACAGTCAGGACCAAACGAAGAAAAGGTGTAAACGGTTTTGCACGAAAGCTCAAAGAAACGAAGGAAGAAAAAGACAAAGAAATCAAAGAAAATCAATAAACATCTCATAGATGTCTCAAAGACAAAGAAATCAAAGATGTCCCTCCTCAGTTCCCATCTCCATTTTCCACATTCTCATATTCTCCATCGACATCCTCCCCTTCATCAACCTCAAACTCCCCATCGACATCCCCATCCAAAGCACCCTCTTCAATGACATTCTTCTTCAACCAGGCTCGTAGAATATCACGCTCATTTTGTAGACGGGCCACCTCTGCCTGCGCCTCTCGTAGCGAGATTCTCAACTTCCGCATCTTCGTCTGATATGCGCGACCCAGAGCATCTGCCTGTCCAACCAATCGCGAATACTTCTTCCGGACCCAATTCCTCTCTTTGCGCAGTCGACGCACTTGTCGATCGAGTAAGTGCCGCTGCTTCACGTCCGTGCCGCGGATTGTCTGGATCACGTTGTCGATCACCCCAGTGTGCTGTGCTTGGAGTGTGCCATCTTCGGAGTATTTGGCGATGCTTATGAATGTTGCACAGATGTCTGCCGCGATTGAAACCATCAGCTCGCCTTTCTCGGCGGAGGTTTGTTGTTCCAGGTTCTCAAGACGGAGAGCACAGGATCCTGGTTTTGGTTGCTGGCTTGAATGATCCGGTGCCATCGCTGGTGTGGAAGAGGTAGTCGGCTTTTTGGATGACATGCTGACTGCTCGGTTTCTCATGGGATGCTCGTCTTGCGGACTCCGTCGAGGTATGGAGCCTGTGGTCTTTGGGGGATCTGGGATTTCAGACATGGCGAGAGAAAGAAGAATTGAAGAAGAATTCAAAGTCTCTTTAAAATATGTCACTTTAATTATAAAATTGGAAGAATTATGAAATTATGTATGTTATCTAATTTCCTTTCAACCCCAGTTTTCACCTAACAAACATTGCCTTTGATCGGTTTCTTTCTTTGTTGAAGTTGGATTCATTGGTCAGTTTGACGCATATGCTTTGGGCTTTGTTTAAAATCATTGATAGAGTCATTCCTATCTTCTATACTACAGCGCAGACACTATCGCATCGCCCACTTCTTTGGTCCCAGCCTTACCCCCAAGGTCAGGCGTCCGAAGCCCAGAGTCCAGCACTTTGCGTACCGCATCCTCTACACGCCGAGCCTCATCTTCCATGCTCAAAGAGTATCGGAACATAAGCGCGACGCAGAGGATCATTGCAACCGGGTTAGCAATGTTTTGTCCGGCAATACTATAAAAAGGTCAGAACGGGCTTCTTATCATGGCTCTAGTACTTACGTCGGAGCAGATCCGTGTGTAGGCTCGTACAGCCCATAAGGCCGTGTCTTCAATGTCTTATCACCAGGCAGACCGTTGAGACTGGCACTCGGCAACACACCCAGTGTACCCACAATAGACCCAGCTTGGTCGGAGATCATGTCACCGAAGGTGTTGTCAGCCAAGATAACACCATTCAGGGATCGCGGGTTCGTTGCTAGAATCAACGATGCGGAGTCGGCAAGCTGGTGCACTAATTTCACTTGCGGGTACTCCGCTGCCATGGTCTTGTCTACTACCCGGCGCCAGAGTCGCGATGAAGCTAGTACATTTGCTTTGTCTAGTGAGATCAAAGGCCAAGGAGGATTGTGTCGCAGCGCCACTTCAGCGGATAGACGGGTAACTCGTTGGATCTCGGCTTCGGAGTAGCCCCATTCATCCATTGCTGTAGTAGATAAAAAAGTTAAATCGTTATTCAATTAAAACTGGATCTGAGCTTAGCCCACCGTATGTTTCTTCTTCGACCTTGCGACCAAAATAGGCACCTCCGCAGTTCTCCCGCACGACAACAAAATCAACGCCTTCAATAACATCGTGTTTGAACGGGCTGAACTCCTTAGCAATAGAGGCACTCGGTGAAGTAGAAGAGCACGGGCGTAAATTTGCATAGATATCCATAGCCTTTCGTAGTTGAAGTAGTCCTCCTTCAGGTCCATCAAGACCACGACGTTGATTGTCCCATTTCGGACCTCCAACTGCGGCGAAGAGCACTGCATCTGAGTCTAGAGCTGCTTGCTTGACTTCATTGGTCACAGGCTTGCCATGAGCGTCAATACTGCAACCTCCAATCAACTCCTGGCGCAGTTCAAACTTGCGTTGGGGGGTCTCAAAGACCTTGAGAACCTTAACGGCTTCAGCCATAACCTCAGGGCCGATGCCATCGCCGGGTAGGACAAGGATGTTGAAGTTTTTGGCCATAGTGCAGTAGTCTTTATTAATACAAAGTATTATGTAGTGGTCAATCAGATTATTCCCAACCCCAGGCACCCAGGACTATATATGGCCTATATCGGAGCTCGGTCTTCAACCCGATTGATGCGGGGTTTCAATTGATCGGGCTTTCGCCGATGGTATCGCCACCGATATGCGGAGGTCTGTCACAGGGACAAGGAAGCATGCAGTTTAGAGTTCTCTAAAGCTGTCAGTTGCGGGGATTAGTATACAAGATCAGGTTCAAGGTGTCCGGCATTGCCTACTAGGTAGTATTGTCATTGGCTAGTAGAGTGGCTACCCACACATCAAGCAGTGTGGAATATGCCTTCTTTCCCGTTATAGAAGAAAGCTTAAAGAAACATGCCAATATTGAACTAGATATCCATAGATAGTGGAACATACCCCCGTAGCAAATTGATAGCAAAGTAGTATAAAGAATACTGCAGCCTCAGGCACCTATCTGGCTCTCCACATGCGGTTATCCGACCTAGAAACATCCAGCACATCGTGGAATATTTCGATGATTCTAAACCCAAAAATGTTCCTATAATCGTCTACTTTCTTTTCAATTCTTTCTTCCTCACAAATTTTACATAGTTGAATCTCATTTCTACTCCGACTAATCCGGTAATAGGGTTAGGGCCGATCAGAACCCCTCTTGTTTGCACTGTTTGCATTGCGGGCATCATTTCTAAGCATTTGGACGATCTCCAATTGAGCGCAATACATTTTCCTATAACAAAAGCCTCAAAATGTCGCGCGTCGAAGAACTTCCTGATGACTTTGATGAGTCGCTCAACCTCAACAAGGCCCCTCCCGAGGTCGCCCAGGGCCTACCCCAGCCCGGTTTTGACGCCTTCGCTCCTACAAATGAAATTCCCTTCCCGATCAACGAGGAGGCACTGAAGGCGCGCCAGACCGATCCCAATGCGCCTGAGCTTCCACCTGCTATTGCGGCCGTTCAGTCGCATACCTCGGAGGAGTTGATGGCAATGATGAATAAGACTCCTCTGTTCATGACCGATATTGAAAATGCGGGTGACGAAAGTATGTCGGATCATTGCTTGGATACGTTTGTTTGATTTTACTGACATGGGTTTCATAGAGGGTGAAAATGTCCTTCTAGATGCTCTCCAGGCTCTGCAAAACGAAGGTACCAGGGGCGAGGTTGCGAATACTTTCAAGGGACAAGGAAATGAAGCCGTGCAGGAACTCAAGTGGATTGACGCTAAAGAGTTCTACACAAAGGCTATTACTGTCATTAACGCCAAGGAGGATAAATGGGAGAAACCCGAAGATCCTGAGGAAGAGGCGGCGCTGTTGCGCAAATTGGAGGAGGCGTCGCACATCAACCGGGCATTGTGCAACTTGGAACTAGGTATGTCTTATCTTCCTGGTTGTACGGGACATTGACTAATCTCATTCCCACTGCAGGAAACTACCGTTCTTGCACTCTCGACTGTGCTGCCGCCCTCAAGTTCAACCCTAAAAACGTGAAGGCCTTCTATCGCTCCTCCTTGGCGCTCTTCAAGTTGGACAAAGTCGCTGAGGCTGAAGACGCTGTAGCCCGAGGATTGGCAATTGACCCCGAAAGCAAGGCTCTTCAAGAATCTGCCAAAAAGATTGCCGAGCGCAAGGCCCTTTTGGAACGTGCTGCCGCGAGGAAGAAGGCCGAAGAAGAAAAGCTGCGCAAGCAGAATATGGTCCTCAGCACAGCTCTGCGCGCCCGTCAGATCAGAACCCGCAAAACCGATCAGCCTCCTGATATGGAAGATGCCAAGATTCGTCTTGTCCCTGATCCTCTCTCGCCGGAGAGCACAATTGAATTCCCGGCCGTTTTCCTTTATCCTATGGAGGCCCAATCAGACTTTATCAAGTCGTTCTCTGAGATGAATGCTATCGAGGATCACCTGAGTTACATCTTCCCCCTTCCTTGGGACACCAAGAAGGAATACACTCTCGAAGGTGTTGAATGCTTCATGCAGACTGTCTCGGGTGGTTTGATCAAGGCTGGTAAGAAGCTGCCTTTGTTGCAAATTCTCTCTGGTGGTAAAGTCGAGGTTGTGGATGAGCTTGTCAGCATCCATGTCGTGCCTCTCTCTAAGACCGGTAAATACATTGCAGAGATGAAGGCACGGAAGACTGGCTGAGCGGTATTTCATTAATGTGAAGTCTACCGCTCAAGTTTCGCGATCCCGTGAATTTCCTCTGGAAAATGTGTCCACAAAATCATCACACCCATGAGAGGAGTGCTACCCCCCCCCCCTGGCCATCAACCTGCTGGTCTGGATTTGGCTGCAACAGTGGGACCTAACCACTCTTGACACTCGGCTCTAGTCCCACCACGGAGCAACATGATGTTATAAAATCTCTGATACCCCTTAAAAGCGCCAGCCTTGTGTACATAGATGCATTTTCAGACTCTTATAGATACCATAGGCGGAAATGCCCCCTCTGGGAACAAGAGGTCCCATCACTGATCATAATCCAACATATCCAAGGCCATGTGAAAATCATGCAGTATTGGCTCAGATTGGTCGTAGCCCCTATTTGAATGACCGTGACCGTACGATGTGGATCACAAACTGCATGGTGTGTGCTGAGCGCTAATGTAAGTTCAATCATCCGGAATAGGGGACACCTGTCTAGCCTGAATGAGCATTGTGGACCTGCCTGGATCACCAACCTCATCTAATTCTGATTCGATAATATTGTACCCCAAAGGTTAGTAAAGATTTACAGAAAAGAATAGAAAAAGGGAAAAATAGAAAAATAGGTGATCGACAGCCTTGACGATTCCCCGGATTTGTAGAAGCGGAGAAGAGCACATTTACCCGGTCTCTTTCTTCAGCTTCACGGAGAAATCTGAGAAAACGCCTCGTTTTACCCTGAAGAAAATACGGAATTTGCTCCGCTATCTCTCTATTCGTCTCTCCACTCTTTCCACCATGTGGTGCCGGGGCCCGTGTCAGTTTCCCTAGCTAAAGTGATGAATTTTATGCACGAGCTCATGATCATTAGGCATCTAAGCAGTGATCATGCCCATTTGAACTATTTCAAATCGCCGCGACAACTACGCCACGGCCTATCGTTCCGGAAAAGTTGTCGAAGTTGTCGAAGTTGTCAAATGTGAAACTACCTAGCGCCGGGGCCAAGACCCTGAATTTGGCTGTCGCTGTTTTATCTCCGACTATATAAAAAAGGTGCTCGACCCTTTTGATCCCTCATTCCAAATCTGAACTGTGATCAATCCAATCCCTGACGTTGATTATCTCGTCATGGTTCACTTCTCTACTATTGCCCTGGCATTGGCCAGTGTTCTTCCTCAGCTGTATGATTTATCTTTCAATTCCGAGTATATTTAACAGTGATTGATTATTGATGTCCATTTCTTTTCAATAGGACCCAAGGAGCTGGTTTAAACACCGCTGCTGTTGCAAAGGGAAAGCTATACTTCGGATCAGCCACCGATAACCCCGAGTTGACTGATGCTCCATACCTTGCCCAACTGAGCAACACAGATGACTTTGGCCAAATTACTCCAGGCAATGCACAGAAGGTTGGATAAGAATTAACATACTATTCAGGCCCTCGCTAATCGTCACTAGTGGGATGCAACCGAGCCGTCTCAAAATACCTTCTCCTATACCAAAGGAGATGTCGTTGCTGACCTTGCTGCTAAGAATGGCCAAAAGCTGCGATGCCATACTCTGGTTTGGTATAGCCAATTGCCCAGTTGGGGTAAGTTATGTTCTCTCGCATGTCTTTCAATTCGTGAATAGCGATCTAATTGGTAAATAGTCTCAAGTGGCTCTTGGACCAACGCAACTCTGCTCGCTGCCATGAAGAACCATATTACCAACGTAGTGACTCACTACAAAGGCAAATGCTATGCTTGGGATGTTGCCAATGAAGGTCAGTGCTGAATCTAGGAACGAATGATATCATTATCGGCACGTAGCTAATGTATAGATTGCTAGCTCTTAACGAGGACGGCACCTATCGTAACAATGTCTTCTACCAACACATCGGCGAGGCATACCTGCCCATTGCATTCGCAACAGCAGCTGCCGCAGACCCAGATGCCAAACTCTACTACAACGACTACAACATTGAATCACCCGGTTCTAAGTCAAGTGGTGCCCAAAGAATCGTCAAGCTCGTGCAGCAGTATGGCGCCAAGATCGATGGTGTCGGTCTACAAGCACACTTTATCGTCGGAAGTACCCCTAGTCAGAGCGCGCAGTCTACGAACTTGGCCGCATTCACAGCCCTGGGTGTCGATGTTGCCTATACCGAACTTGACATCCGCATGACTCTGCCATCAACGGCTGCTTTGCTTACCCGGCAATCGACCGATTACCAAAATACCGTTGCGGCGTGTGTGGCAAACGCCAAGTGTGTTGGTGTTACTATTTGGGATTACACTGACAAGTATTCTTGGGTTCCTAGCACATTCTCTGGTCAGGGTGATGCGTGTCCTTGGGATGCAAACCTAGTGAAGAAGCCAGCCTATGCGGGTATCTTGGCTGCTCTAGGTGGTACGGCTTCTACCACTTCCGCTTCCACCACTACGTTTGTTACTACGACAACTACTGCCAGTTCGGGTGGTGCTACTGGTGTCCCTCTTTACGGTCAGTGTGGTGGCTCGGGCTGGACTGGCAGCACAACTTGCGCAAGTGGAACCTGTAAATACTCCAACGAATGGTACTCGCAGTGTCTATAGGCTCACCAGGACAATGGTTCCTGATGACGAAGGGGAATTAGGTCGGCCTGTGGCCACCCACCTTTGTATCTGTCTCCAGATTTTTCGCGAACTAGGGATTATTGTTGATTACAAGACTAGTGATTTACTTTCGAAGATTCATCGCCTCGGGTTTACTTTCTAAAGAATTATTCGGGTAGAGTTGCCTTGTTCCAATGTGACCGGAAATAAGACAACCCGAACGAAATTCATTATCGTAAACAGACATTATATTGCTCATGTCCATGCTAAGGCGCTCAATAGTTGAAATAGTAGGGGTGGCCATATGGCATCATTGTCTCCGTTGACAAGCCTTCTCTCGAGGTCTGGGTAATTGGAACACCTGCATCTTGGGACAAATTAGGGGCACCATAGAACTGCATCGGGGCTGGTGGAATGCCAGATACGCCAGGGTATGGATAATGCGTCATGCTAACGGGACGTGTCTGATCAATCAAATGCGACCCAGCAGATAGTGATTCGTGTTTTGGCCTCAATTCCAATGGCGACGTTGGCATGTTTGTAGACGGGCCGACAGACTGGTATTGGGTGTTTGGTCCCAGATTCATTGCTGGGCTATAAGGATTGGAATGATTATAAGGTGACGCGCTCGGCAGATCTCCGGGGTGGGTTATATCAATGCTAGAGATTCCGTCGCTGCGCTCAGATTCGACGATATTCTGAGAAGAGATTGTTTCGGCTGGCGAGCTCTGTCCGCTCGATGTGTCCTCTACCATTTGAGGAAGATTGGTGCGAGATATAAAGACGGATTTTCCATCTAGATAACAATGTGAGCATGGGGAGTGTAAAAGATAATGCGAGCAAGTATGTACCTGAAATCCCATCGAGAAATTTTTCCTCCTCCTCGCGAACTCGATATGCCTCGTCCAGGATTTGTAAACGCTCGACCGGGAGGATTTGGCGACGAATGGGCTGATCACATTGCTTTAATCTAGCGGTTGTGATTCCGTGGGTTTCGCGCATCTCGCAGAGCATATACACCAAAAGTCGAATGCGTTCTGGGTATTGTTAGCTTAGGAGAATATTCAAAAGGATGGTTAGTTCTATCTTACCAACTTTTGGAAGATGATCCGGCTCCCTATGGCTCACTCCATGCGGCCACCACGGTGGCTTGGTTGTCTCCGGATCCAACTGTTGGGTTCTCCCTTCAACTATCTTCCGCCCATTGTATGGGTAGTTGACTTGCTTGCGCGGCTCAACTAATTTGATGTAGGCTTTGGCGATAATTCGGCAGTTTGTTTGTTGCAGGTTTTGAAAGATTTTCTCATAGTAGAGACGCAAGAGACCTCTCTCTTTCACAGAAATTGAGGCTCTTTGTTGTGTAGTCAGGTTGAGGTTCCGACCTCCAAAATTCTTCTTGGATTGTGAACTGGGTTGTAGAGGCCAAGACTCGCTTGACGGCCACATTGTCGACTGAAATGGGGACTCTGGTTGAGCTAGAGCTTGCATCCCGTGTCGGCCACCCAGGCCCATTTCACTATAGGCTACCCCCTGTGACGGGGCAGAGCTGTGATCTCTAAATTGGGGCCCACTAGACGGCGCTGAAACATTGAGAGAAACTGTTCTAAATCAATAAAACACTTCCTGTGGAGTAAGTAGAAACCTTACCTTGACATTGTGTTGCGTGGGCTTCTCTCGACATTGCCACTGCTCTGAGGAATTCCCCCGTGACCCTAGGGGAGAGAATGGTCTGGCGGCTCTCTGAGATGGAATCGGAGGCCCTTTGACAAAGATTCCCATCATTATCTATATAAATCATAGCAAAATGAGCATATTCAGGTTCCTCTGGTGAACGCCTGGACATCTTTCCCGGGAGCCTGGCTAGGGTCAGTTCTGTCAAAATCATTGGTCACATAAAAAGGATGTAATTACCCTATAATATGGACCCAATGACTGGCCCCAGGTTTTGTATGGCAAACTCGACAAGTTTAGCCTCGGGGCCACAGGGGGAAGCAGAAGAAGTGGGGGTTTTTCTACAGGAAGTTTCTGATGGGAAGAAGCGGACCAAGTAAAGACCATGCGATAGTCACACAGTAGCAATGCCTCTCGCCAGCTTCCGACTGCCGATCAGTTAGTGCCGAACCAAAATGTGCTTTGACATGAAGATTTATAAACAACTGGGTCATTTCAGGTGCACTAACTACTGCGTACCATGTATGTAGCTAACTATAGCGCTCCAAGAGTGGAGGCCCAACTTCAAAGTGCTTGTGGAGACTCGAAAAGTACTGATCTGCAATGCGTCAAAAAAAAAAAGCAGATACAGTATCGAAACAGAGTATTTCAGGGCCTGGACTCGGATTTCTTTTCCTGGTTGCTAATAGGCAGGCAAATTCCCCGGATAACACGATCTACAACTATTTTGAACTTGACATTGCAATGCTCAGCTATGTATGCAATGTATCAACGGCATGCCATACGCCATGGGGTGTAGTGGCTAGATTCTTTTCCATGCCAAAAGTCCTACGATTTAGTGCGCTAAAATTATGCCCCTTGGAACCTGCCGCTAGAAATCTTGCTGCAATCTCGATCATACCATAGTACCAAAGCAGCGCAAGAAGGGGCCTATGGCAAGTTGCTGCAGGAGAAGAACTATCAAGCCCGATTTGCCTCGTGGGACTTAATTATGACGATCAATTATTTTATGGACAAATAACAGGGGGAAATAAATCCGTGCATGACAAAAAAAAAAGACCGTCATATCATCGACTAACATCTCCTTTTCAACAGGAAACACCATCAAACCCCGGAAATAATAGTCCGCAGACGTCTGTGGCGGACTCGTACCCACCGGTTGCCTTCTTCCAGCCAGTATTTCCCGACGTATATATGTATTTCTTTTCCCATCTCCTTGCTTATCCTCATGGACTAATGGACAGCATCAAACACCGATTAAGAAGTACGTACTTTAAGTCCTGACAAGGGTGCTGGATCACACAGTTTACTCAAGTGTGTATGCGTGCATACTCCGTATGTTGTTGATGTCACCATGTCACTGTGTCACTATTATGCTCTACCTATCATGCGCTAGTCAGTTAGCTTGACAATATCACTTCCCTTCCCATGTCAAATACACAAGACACAAGAGGCTTTAATCTAGTTATGCACTTTGTCGTCATAAGTAGCTAGGGGGGGGGGATACGAAGTTTAACCAAATCCCGAAAACATTAGACCCGAACCAACTTACCGGCCGGCCGGTATAAACTCGGCATTACTTGAAAAGCGTCAACCCTCAGCCCTAGAGATCTACCTAGGTACCTACGTACAATACCTAGGTATAATATCGGCCGGGCTTACTTCGATCTGGAAGGCCCTTAAGTTAAGAGACTTTTAAAAGGGTATGATCGGCATGTGCTGAAAAGGGGGAGGAACCTTGGAATGCGAACCAAACAATCTGTAATAGTTCAATTTGCCACCGTGCTATTTCCCATGATACAAGCGTCAAATCGGGTACGGAGTATGTATGGATTATCCCCGTAGATGCATGGGCCTTATCTCTGTTGCATACTCCGTACCTAGGTACGGAGTATTTCGTCCTACTCCGTAGTTGTTTATAAGATAGCCCTAACAGAGGACTTGCTCGGTCAAGCCCCGACCAAGTGGAGCCACATAAATCCTATGATCGAACGCACGATAAGCTTCCCAATTCTCGGATGTTCCCTTGTGGGGAAGAGGCTGTTGCTTTTGATACAACATAGAGTCATTAGGGAACATATTATGGATATTTCTTGGTGTTGTACTCGTTGATTTCAAAAACACTTTGACATAGGGTCCATACCATACGAGTCACGGAGAACATCCACTTAAGAACTCCGTAACTCCATGCACTAAATCCGTATTCGGAACCGCACACGGGGACGGAGTAAAAGGCGTAAAGTTTATCGTCGGGAAGGAGATTGAGTTTAAAGTTTGGACTCATCCCATGGCTTTGGAACATTTGAACTCGATACATGGATATTGTATGGATATCGATCTAAAGGGCTGTCAGTTACCATTGCTCAGCCACATTTCCCATAGACCGCGCATATCCGACTTGCATTTCCTGGTAACGGGGTCCCCTAATCGAGCTTGTGGCGTCTAGATGACGCTACACCGCGGTCCACAGTTCCCCTTTTGGCGTTCCGCATGTTCACACCGCAGACTATACATACACAATTATGCACAATGCACAACTATGTGCTAGGTATGTTGTATAGTTGTCTAAATTTTCAAAGGTAGGCTCCCCGTTCATACCCAGTTTTCAACAATACTACTCCGTACTCCGTAGTATTATTCTTTATCCCCTACAGCCCCGATACCCTGCACTCACACGCATTTGTGGTGGAGATCGCCAGAGGCTCCTGCGCCGATTGAATATAAACTTTATTTATACGATCGTCTACCAACATACCCCTAATAGGGAGATTACTTGATGTGTCGCTTGGTTGGTCCTGACACATCAATTGAATGGTTAGTCAGTCCTTCCTAGAATTCATTCAACCCTCCGACCCCCTTTTCCCATGCATGTACGGAGTACTCCGTACTGTGTGACCCAATTCCCCGAACTTGATGAACGCTGTAGATACTGGTGGGCCATAAGCGCCAAGCAGTTGCTGGCAAATACTTGCATACCTAGATGTATAACAAAGTACTAACCTTGTTTAGGAACTTCTCATTCCGTTCACTTCGATATCCTTACCGGGAAACTCAAGGAGCCTTTGTCCGCGATGGAATTTTTCCCAGCACTGCCCCATAGATGTGAGCCGCTCACAGTCTAGAATGAGGTGAAATTCCAATGACAGTATGGGCCAAGGTACGTCTAAACGATATGGCGGTAAGAGGTCTGAACGCCTACGTGAGGTAATGAGAGACTGAAAGTCGCGTCGAGAAAAGTGTCATAGGGCATAAAGCAGTCTATTATCAAAGCTGGCATAGTTAAAAGCCTATAGGTCAGTTTTCACAAGTTATAACTAAACAATCATGTTATATTGTATGGCCTTTTGAACACACCATGCTTCCCTTGAGTATTCCGCTGTTTGCTTATGCTATATTTCACACGTCTGACTAGCAAGGAAGACGGCGCATGGAAAAGATAGTTATGGTCATATTATCTTATATACAATGTGTCTATTATCATCCCGAATCAATATGACAAGAATAGTTGGCCGTGTTTGCAGCCTTATGACATCTTTTTGATTAACTAGTTCTTTATTATATTTTAAGATGTCTTTTGAAATGTCTTGTTTCCCCATGATATTCTACCTGTAGCTCTATATAGACGGCAGAAGAAGGTGGAGAAAGGCTTAATTTGTGAAATGGACTTTGCTATGTATAACCAGGGGGTATTCATGGTTATTCAAGGTGACAATGATTTCCTCCTCAAATTTTAGGCATCAAGTATGGTTGCCTCAGGCATTCTATATTGAACCCCGTGACCGTCAAATGTCACTTTCAATGTGGACACCAGTTACTCTCTCTAAACATCATGTACACTCTTAGAACTCTGAATCACAAAGTCAAGTTTCAAGTCAGTTTGAGATATTGCCACTATCGTCCCAACACCATTCATTTGAGCCTGTGTCTCCACCATTCCAAAAGGGCTCCGCTGCATTAGCCCGCCCACGGCTGATCGCTGAATCTGGGCACCAAAATCTGTCTTGCTCCGAGTCTCAGTTCGTTGTGGAGGCTGTGTTCCTAATACATCCCTGCCTTTTGACTGAGCCAATCACCACTGTCTTTTTTGTTCCTAGCAGTTTCGGGTCTCGCCAAATCTCCCCCATCCCTGGATTCCCGGTCAGCAGGCGCCGTTGGGTCTTCACCGTCTCGTCCGTGCGGCCTGCGTAATCCAGCCACAGTAGCTTCCCTAAATCGAGGGGATCGCTGGAGAAAAGAAGTATTACAGGGCGAAAAGAATCCCTAGAGCCACCCTTCAACCGTGATGGTCCCTCATTACACAATGGACCCCAATACTGGTTATCCCGCAGGCTATCCCGTCCCGACTCAGAGCCCCCAAAACCAACAGATGCCTTTTTACCCTAACGCTGTTCCCCCATACCCCCAATCAAAGACACCGTCGGCTCAACATTTTGGTGCTATGCCCATGCAGCCTGGTCCTGGTGGAGCTATGATGCCTTCAGGTTTCCAACAATCTTCCGGTTCGTTGTCCCCCCTCGCCCCCCTTTTTTTGGTTGTTATCATTGGCACGGCGCACCTGTCACTCTTATCCGGCGGGGTAGAATTGTTGCTCAAATTCTTGGGGAAAGGAAGGGGTCTCAGGAGGCTCAAGATCGGATTGAATTATTTCCACTCGAGCCCCTCTCGTGCTTGTGTCACCCACCCCTAAGACCCGGCTTGAATGAAATTGGCTGTGCCGCTATCACTCTTGGCACTATCTGGCTTTGACCATTTGTCTCCTATCTACTGTTGCTTACTGTCCAGGTCGTTTTATTTTGTTGGAATACTTTGGACTAACCATTTTCTTAATTATAATAGCAGCACCTATGGATAATTTCTCAGCACCCTACACCCAGACCCCCATCCCTACCCCCATGGGCCAGTTTGTCCCCCCTCAAGGCACATCCAGCGCAAACATGCCATCTCAAGTAGCGCAAACCTTCTCTCAAAACATGGCTTCCATATCAGCGAACAACCTGCTTGGCACACAGCCCAAACCCCCTTCACAAATGAACTCGCCCCAAACTGGGGCCTCTCCTGCGGCTCCAAACCAGGCCCAGGCCCAAGCCCAAGCTCAAGCTCAGGCTCAATTTGCGGCGCGTGAGAAGGCCCGCGTCACGGCCCTCCTCGACATCAACTCAGCCTTGTTGCAAGAGGTGGTGAACCTTCAAGCAGCTGGCAAGGCTGGCCCCGCCTCCAACCCAGATACAAATTCACCGGCGTCAGAGCAACCGGATGCATCCAAAGCCAACCAGAAGCCGAGCCCCGAATACATTGAGTGCATGCGACGCCTACAAGCCAACCTAGCCTACCTCGCGACTATCGCCGATCGAGCGAAGAAAACGGGTGGTGTCGTACCCCAAACACCAGCGATCATGACACCGCCTCCCAATCTTCCCGCTGTGAATGAGCTATATGCCAGACTCAATGAGCTCTTCTCGCGGTCTGCAAAGGCCTCTACTCCCCAAAGACCGAGCCCTCCGTCCATGCAAGGAAATGGTGGACCTAGCCCTGGTGCTATGACCGAGTCGATTATCTGAGGCCACTAATGGGGAAACATGCCGTCATCTACGTGGGAAGGCATGCTACAGATTATATCGAGCTCCTGACTTATCCATCACCCCAAATCATACGACCGTGGTTCGGACCACCAATTCAAGCTTTGTGGGAGGTGCCGACCCGTCCCCTTCAACACTATGCATAACGGCAAAAGCATGGACCTTCCACCATGCGCACCATATCTGCCAGCTGAAAAACTGAATGTATGACCAGTTGAGAAATTTGAAGCAGCAATGATCTCTGTGATATCTAACTGGGAAATACTCTAGAGTCCCCGAGTCCCCCGCTTTGAAAGAATGGGAGCATTTGGCGAAAAAATAATCCCATGTTTGAGTAAATCAGGCTATAAAGCAACCTCCAGATCTTTACATTAGTTGAATGTAACGTAACATCTTATGCATCCTATCTATATGTAAATCAGGCAAAAAGGTATTCTCATCTTCACCGTTGGGCGCGCGAGGCGTGGGATCATATCGTACAACTACACCGCCTGTGCTCTCCGCCTTCTTGGAGCCTGATATCCAACCTCCTGTTTATCAAGGCGAAGCGTCTTCCAGTTCCAGATACGAGAATTGACGTACTCCAATACTCCAATGTTGAGCCTGGTATGACTCCAACCCTTCAGAATATATGGAAAGGTAATAATAACCATGTATAGGTCTTTGGTAAATGGCGACCTAGCTTTCTGCTGGCAATAATCCTGAGATGTAAAAGTAAAGCCCTCAGCCAATCATATGGCGCTACTGCTTCTCCGCCTTTGGGACCTTGTTGGAGGGCACGTTTTGCCTTGATGTCAAGGCGCGTACACATTTTCCCCAATTGTCTGGTGGATGTATTGTTCTTTGTTGGCTATATGCAGAAGGAGCTTGCGAATTGCCGCCATCTTTCCTTTGTCATCTTATCAAGCTTCCAAACAAACCTCCAATCCTTTGAGGTCTCTAGCCGCTGATCGGTCATCTGCGTCACATTCCTTAACTCCGCATCGTCCGCATCTTCACGTGTTTCAATCGTCTTATATCCCATTCTCTGCTGCCCCGTTAGCCTCAAGAGGCTCCCGGACGATCTCGTCTCTTGCCAACCACCTAAAACCCCGTCTATACCACCCCCACTCCTCCAATTTCCTCACTATGGATGGCAAGGGCGACATGGGTGCAAAGCGAAAGCGCAGCACGGCGGCCGACACCTCCGATCATCCCAACAAGCAACTCAGACCTGAGCCCGCAATCTTGACTCCCTCCGATGCGACACCTGCCAACGGAACCGTCTATGAGGTCGAGGAGGATGTAGATGAAGCTCCTTCGCCAGTCGCCATCCCCGCTACAACAGACTCGCCTGAATGGCAAGCTACCATTGAGAGGGTTGTGAAATGCGCTGTCTCTATTCACTTCTGTCAGACCTGTTCCTTCGATACGGAGCTTTCCATGTCCAGTCAAGCAACTGGTTTCGTGGTAGATGCAGAGCGCGGCTACATATTGACCAATCGCCACGTTGTCGGTGCTGGTCCTTTCTGGGGATACTGTATATTTGACAACCACGAGGAAGTAAGTCGATCCTGCGTCATGGTTCGGTCAAAGCGCTTGCCAAGTTACTAACAAGATTGTCAAATCACAGTGTGATGTCCAGCCTGTATACCGGGACCCCGTTCATGATTTCGGTATTCTAAAGTTCGACCCGTCGAAGATTCGATATATGGATGTCACCGAGCTTAAGCTCCAGCCAGATGGAGCGCGAGTTGGCACAGAAATCCGTGTCGTGGGAAACGATGCTGGAGAAAAGCTGAGCATTCTGTCTGGTGTGATCAGTCGACTGGACCGAAATGCGCCTGAATATGGAGAGGGCTACTGTGATTTTAACACAAATTACATTCAGGCCGCAGCTGCGGCCAGCGGCGGTAGTTCAGGAAGTCCTGTGGTTAATCTTGCTGGCCATGCAGTTGCTTTGCAGGCTGGTGGTCGGGCTGACGGAGCTGCGACAGACTACTTTTTGCCGCTGGACCGCCCACTTCGGGCACTAGAGTGTATCCGCCAAGCTCAACCTGTCACTCGTGGTACAATTCAAACACAGTGGGTCTTGAGGCCTTTCGATGAGTGTCGCCGTCTTGGTCTGACCCCCGAGTGGGAGGCTGCTATACGTGCCGCAGCACCCACTGAAACAAACATGCTTGCTGCGGAGATCATCCTTCCCGAGGGACCTGCAGATTGTAAGCTGTTGGAGGGAGATGTGCTTATCAAGGTGAATGGAGAGCTCCTTACGCAGTTTGTTCGTCTCGATGATATCCTAGACTCGAGTGTCGGTGAATCTGTCAAGTTGCTGGTTCAGAGAGGCGGTCAAGACGTTGAGGTCGAGTGTCAAGTGGGAAATCTTCATGATATCACCCCCGATCGTTTCGTGACAGTTGCCGGCGCTAGTTTCCATGATTTGTCGTACCAGCAGTCACGTCTTTATGCCATTGCCACTCGCGGAGTCTATGTCTGTGAGTCGGCAGGCTCTTTCAAGCTGGAGAACACCGCGGCAGGATGGATCATTGATTCAATCGACAAGCGGCCCATCCGTAACCTCAATGAGTTCGTAGAGGTCATGAAGAGCATTCCCGATCGCACTCGCGTGGTGATCTCCTACCGCCATATTCGCGACCTCCACACAAAAGGAACTAGCATCATCTACGTTGACCGTCACTGGCATCCCAAGATGCGGTTGGCAGTCCGTAACGACGAGTCTGGTGTCTGGGATTTCTCTGATATCGCCGATCCCATTCCTGCTGAACCCCCTGTCCCAAGAGAGGCCAATTTTATCCAGTTAGACGGCATCAGTCAGCCTGCTGCTGCCGAGATTGTCCGCAGCTTCGTGCGTGTATCGTGCATCATGCCATTGAAGCTGGATGGATACCCGCAAGCAAAGAAGACTGGATTTGGACTGGTCATCGATGCTGAGAAGGGTCTAGTGGTAGTATCACGAGCCATTGTCCCCTACGACCTTTGCGACATCAATATCACTGTGGCCGACTCAATCATTGTCAGTGCTAAGGTTGTCTTCCTACACCCACTCCAGAACTACAGCATCATCCAATACGACCCCAGCCTCGTTAAGGCCCCGGTCAAGAGTGCCCAGCTCAGCACCAACTATATCAAACAAGGCCAAGATACCATCTTTGTCGGCTTCAACCAAAACTACCGCATTGTCGTGGCCAAAACCACCGTCACTGATATCACAACTGTGTCAATCCCCGCCAACGCAGCTGCCCCTCGTTACCGTGCAATCAACCTAGACGCTGTCACCGTGGACACTGGGCTCAGTGCACAATGTTCAAACGGTGTGCTCGTCGGCGAAGATGGTGTGGTGCAGGCCTTATGGTTGAACTACCTCGGCGAGCGCTCTGCAAGCTCTCACAAGGATGTCGAATATCACCTCGGTCTTGCCACTCCATACCTGCTTCCCGTCACTTCCAAGATCCAGCAAGGTGAAGTCCCAACGCTACGAATCCTGAACATGGAAAGCTACGTTGTTCAGATGAGCCAAGCTCGCATCATGGGCGTCTCGCAGGAGTGGATTAACAAGGTCACCGATGCTAACCCATCGCGCCACCAGCTGTTCATGGTGCGCAAGGTTGACAGCCCTCCGGCAGGCGTCATCCCCGACCCCAGCACCAGCTTCCAAGAAGCCGACATCATCCTCACGTTGGATGACCAGATCATCACCCGCGTTTCAGAGCTAGATGTCATGTACGAAAAGGAAACCCTGGATGCGTTGGTCATTCGAAATGGCGAGGAAGTGCGCATCCGCGTTCCCACGGTGCCAACTCGGGATATTGAGACAGACCGTGCCCTTGCCTTCTGCGGTGCTGTTCTGCAGAAGCCCCACCATGCTGTTCGCCAGCAGATCTCCAAGGTTCACAGCGAAATCTACGTGAGCGCGAGAGTGAGTTTCGATACCTCAGTCACATCCATTGAATTGTCACTAACACCATTCCTCAGAGCCGTGGTTCCCCCGCTTACCACTACGGTCTTGCACCCACTAACTTCCTCACTGCTGTCAACAGCGTCTCGACTCCAGACCTGGACAGCTTTATCCGGGAGGTCCGCAAAATTCCCGATAACGAGTACTTCCGTATTCGTGCTGTGACCTTCGACAACGTCCCCTGGGTTGTTACCATGAAGAAGAATGATCATTACGTGAGTCCTTCGCCCTGCACTTGCGCACCAAAATGAAATAAAAATTGAACGGCGTTCTAACGTTCAACAGTTCCCCATGTCCGAATATGTCAAGGATCCCACCACCGAATCGGGCTGGCGTACCATCTCCTACGAGACTCAAATTGGCGTGGCACCCGACGCTGTCAATCTCAACCCGGATGCCATGGATGAGGCTGCTGAGGGAGGAGCCAGTGACATCGAGCCGGATATGCAGTAAGTGCTGGCTCAATGTCGATATGTACTGCATGGAGGCTGGAGAATCTTGTATCATATTTTTCTCGGCGCTGCCAGGGGGGTTGGTTCGGACTAAGGTTTTCATTTTGCCTGTGTTTTTCATTTTCATCTCATGGTGTATGTTCGGCAAGTGGGCGGCCAAGTATATGGCCAAGTATAAAAAATCATAAACAATACAATACACATGTGCCACATATTTGTTGGCTTCCTTTTAAGTTGAAGTAGGGCTGTGAAGGACTAACTAGGTCGGGTATGTATAGACTATGCTATCAAATGACCATGCGCTGCTACGATTCTTGGTGTCTGGGGCTCGGTTTCCTACTATACATGTGATCATTGATAGCCCTAATCAGTCTCACTTACAGGCCCCGATTCTGCTTTAGGCCCGATCAACCCAATTATAAGACCTGTTTCTTTCGAAAGTGGGGGATTCCGGTGCATGTCCAGGTCTTCGTGATAGACGTCCAACTAAGCCCCTAGCTGTACGTCAACAACTATGTCAAATACCCACTTTTGGGGACTCTGTGAGTAACAAAACACCATCTACTCGTCTCTTCTTTGGTTTTTGCTTTTCTACTGTCGTAGATATCTGTTGAACACCAGATTGGCAAGTGCATGGTACACTCTATATATATATACATGTATTTTATCATGATGGTACGACAAAAACCTAAAAAAAAAAAACCAAATAAAAACAATTGTTGTCAAAGTAAAATAAAATATATAAAGAAGTCAAAAAAAGCAGGTTTTAAATGGTTTAGAATGGATAGATCAAGATCGACAAGAGGCAAAAATATCACCAAAAAAAGAAGTGCATCATCCGTGAATCGAACACGGGCCTCGTCGATGGCAACGACGAATTCTACCACTAGACCAATGATGCTAGTTGATGTAAGCAGCGATCATGTTATGCTACATAAGGCTAAAACACATCCCCCCGGCCGTAATTCTTGACCTTGAAACTATCCATGTGAACTCCACCATAATGCTTAATGCCAGTATGCGAATATCCAAGGCCAAAATAACAATTCATTAATCCCATGCACCGGAGGATGCAGCTATGCAGACGTTGTCTAAGACCATAAACAGAAGTGACCACAAGAGTAATACAAGATAACGCCATTAGGTAGATGATACACCCGTAACACCGACATTACCATGTCCACCAAATCCATACACGAAAAAGAAGGCCGCCGCTGTTCAAAGTACAGACCAATTTATAATCCAAGAAAGAAAAATCCACACAGTCATGCTGACCACTAGCTGTTGAAGCTCCAACCGCCATTGAGCCGCAACCGCTGTCGTTCAGCAACATCCTTCCGAATCTCCTCTTGAGTAAGTCCATCGGGTCCAGACCAGTTCGCACTGCTCGTGCGGTCACGGTATTTCTTGACTTTCTTATCCGCCTTGAAGGTGTCTTCGAGAGAGAATGGTGCAATTGGTCCGAAGATCGAGTCAACTTCCATACCATCCTGCTGCCGGAGAAGACCCTCCAGTTCCTTCGCCTGTGCCCACTTGGGAACAGGGAACATCTCGGAGTCGGAATCGTCATCATCTTCACTATCAGTGTTGATCTCCGGAAGGTGGATATTTTCACCACTGGGGTACTTGGGGGATGGCTTGGCTGGTGGGCGCTGGGCAGAGTTGGGTGCAGCCTTGTGCGTGCTTGGTGGAGGAGGTGCATGGTTTGGCTCGGCAAACGGTATCTTGCCGTTCGTATACGTGACTATCGGGTGAGCGGGTCGCTGGGGTTGGGCATTTCTGTAACTAGAAGAGGCCGACTGGGGTGCCATGGAAGACTGTCCGCGGCCAAGGGTAGAAGGCTGCATAGATTCCCAAAGTCAGTAATTTGTTCGAAAGGATATTATGAGATCTGATGTTACTAACCTTTCTGATATTCGATTGACGGATAGGTTGCGCCATTGTGCGCACAGGTGGCATAGGGTTGTGCTCATCCTCCGTCTTTCGCCGTTTAAACTCGCCAGTTGATTGCACGTTACTGGGTTTAGATGGCGCAGGTCGGTGGTTGGCTTCATCGTTGGCCCTCTTCGGCGGTTTGGCAGGGTTAGGCGCGGGAGGGTTGATGCTGCGGCCACCGAATGGCTGAATTGAGCTACCTAAGCGAGAAGCAGGACGAGAAGCACCCAAATCGCTTCGCTGAGAAGACTGAGAATATGACTGCTCGTGCTGTGGAATTGGGCCCTGGAGACTGTTAGCGGTGTTAAAAACTCCCGATTGACACAGCCCACTTACCTCACTGACTATCTGCTGGCTGCCTTGCCTTCCATGCTTGCGAGCATTCTCTGCTTGTCGCTTCTTGATTGCCTCCATACGGGCGGCTTTGTTTGGATCTTCCTGAGCCGATCGTTCGCGGCGCTCCCGTTCGGCCTGGCGCTCCCGTTCGGCCTGGCGCTCCCGTTCGGCCTGGCGCTCTCTTTCAGCCTGGCGCTCCCGTTCAGCTTCAGCTCGACTCCTCAGCTCCTGCCGACGGGCCTCTTCTTGTTGTTGTTGCTGCTGGGCAGCACGTTTGCGTTCTAGCTCGCGCTTTTGTTCTTCCTTCCGGCGTGCCTCGCGTTCTTGCTCCTTCTTGCGGTCGCTAGCGACCTGAGCCTTACGCTGAGCTTGGGTTTGACTGGAAACAGAGCTCTTAAAGCTGCTTGCAGAAGATGCTGTATGCAAGGATGTATTGCTACCCTTCTTTTTCAGAGTTGGCTTTGAGGCGGGGGCAGAAGATACAACCGACTCCTGAGTACCCGAAGACGATGGGACAGGGATTTGTTGACGTGACATTGTGCTGCCAACACGAATTGACATGGGCTGCGGCGTTGGACGTTTCATGGGCTCGCGAGTGGGTTTGAGAGGACGGCGGTCATTTGGCTTCGGTTGAGGGATGGCAAATCTCGAGCTAGACTCCTGACCTGATTCAGGTTCGCGCGATTGTTGGCGCTGTGACTGGGAGGCCTTGTGTACTGCGGAGCCTGCCCTTTCTTCTGGCTCAACCGAGGAATTGTCCTGAGCGACTTTGAGCTGAAGGGCTCTTTGCTTTTCCTGTTCTCGAGCTCGCTCAACACGCTCTTCTTCTTCTTGATCCTCACGCTCCTGCTCTTCCCGTTCATGCTGGCGCCGTTTCTCTTCTTTCTCGGTTGAGCTTCGTGTCCGGCGGCCTTCTGGACGCTGAGGACTGGTGATAGGAACCGGCTGGGATAGATGCTTGGCATTTTTAGTAAATGCGTCAGCATTTGGGTGAATGCGCGCCTGCTCGGGCGAGTGTTCCATCCGTGGTGTGCTGCCAGTGCTTGAGAATAAGCCTTTGGCAGATTTCATAATCGAGTGCAGTTTCAGCTTCGAAGCACTGAGGTGACCATCGAAGCGTCTTGGCGAGCCTGTTGGAGTAGTAGAAGTATCAACAGCGGTGTGAGAGAAAGAAGCGCTTTGTTGGTGACTGTGCGGTCGGGGTGAAGAGAATATCGAGGTAGATGATTTAGGACGTTCAGGCTCTGTTTGCAATGTATCTTTCCTATTGACTGCTCGCGCCTTTTCGAATTCGGCAAGCTTCTCCATGACATCTGTGGTCTTGCTCCTGGAAAGGTCAGATTTTTGGGGAGAGCTTAGAGGCTTGATCCAGTCATCGTCTACCGACATGGGCTCTGGACCTGGAGCCTCATGTGCACTTTCGTTAGAAGCTTCAGACTTTGCTTCAGCCTTGGAAGCTGCAAGGTCTGGGTAGGAAACCTGACCAGCTGGTAGCCCAGAAGCAGATGGGATTGACTTTCTGGGTCGAGATGGCTGGAGTTTGCCTAGCATGCTGATTCTATCATGCAACGACTGGGTAGAATTTTTGCTGTGCATCCTGGTAGCCTGGTCAGGATCTGCTTCTTCACCTCGTTCTTTCTCGGTGTCAATTTCCAACGACCTGGAATTGGAATTATCCTCTGTCGCAGTTTGCGGAATCCTATGGCCACCAGTCTGCCTGCCAAAGTAACTGGGACGCCCAGCAGTACTCAGTTTCGCCAGGTCAACATGGCTTGTTCTAGTCTTCAAAGGTTCCCGTGCAGGGAGGGTGGCAAAGCTCAGGCTGCTTTTCCGAGCGAATGGTCGCTCTGGAGTAGAACCGTCTGAAGGAGAGCCGATATCATCAAGATTGTCGAGAATTGTGTCGTCTTTCGTGGCATCTTCCATATGCTCGTCTTCTGGGCGAGATTCTTGCGTCTCGACAGGTGCAGCTACTGGGGATACCGGGGCTACCGGGGCCTTTTCTGGGGATGGCTCAGGGTTTGAGACAGCCAGATCACTCTCCTTCGGTTCGGGTTCCTCATTCTGGCGCTTTTTCGATATATTGACATCTAACTTCGATTTTATTTTCTTAGTCGTAGCCAACATGAGTTCGGTCTCAGAATCTTTGGGAGCTGATGCGGCCGGACGCGCTGTTCGCTCTTGGGTTGGGGTTGGGTCCTTGCTCGGCTCGACAGTCACTCCGCGGGAGCGGATCTCTTCCCGCGCAGAGTGGAAAGATTCTTCATTCGTTTGTTGGCTAGCCGAAATGTCGACCTCTTGAGTATCCAGATTCATGGGCTCGTCCTGTTCGAAAGGCTGAGTAGAAGGCTGAGTAGAAGGCTCAGTAGAAGGCTGAGTAGAAGCCTGTGATTCTTGTTGCACGTCAGGTAGTACCATCTCATCATCATCGGGCAGGCCATGATAACCCGAGTCAGTGTTGTATTTAGGGAATGAGTTCATATTTTGGGTGAGATCGGGGTATTCGGGTTGCGAAGCTTCCTCTGTCGCGATCTTGGTGCGGGGCATAGGTGATGCCGCAGCGGGAGCGGGCTTAGAAACAACACGATGAATGAATGGGCTCGGACTTGCTTGGTTCTCCAATTGTTTCTGGGCGGATGAGAATATTTCGCTCAAGGGCTGCAAGGGGCATTAGACGAGAACTGTTGAAATCAATTCGATATGGAGAATACACACCACTCGAGACTCTTCGGGAATACGCTTCCGAGCGGTTCGAGGTGTCTTGCCTCTCATCTTTCCGGGCGTCTTGAACACATCCGCGAAGTTCCTGTGTGATTGTTAGCACTGAACAGACACAGTTCATAGTGTGCGGTCGGTCGCAACTCACGCCTGGCCCTTAGAGAAGATCTCGGTCATATGTTCATTTAACCAGTCCATTTCGTGTCGGACAGGGTATTCCACTTCTTCCAATTCTTGTTCCACTAGCTCGGCCATGTTTTCCTTCTCTGCTGCAATCCATGGCGCTGAGCCGACGGGCTTCTGCGCCCTCGCGCTTGCCGCCATGATCTAGACAACGCGCCGTTGGTGAAAGTGGAGGAAATAGAACTAGGAACTAACGGCGTATGGAGAGAGTCGTAAATTGTGAATGTACAATCATGGAGATTGTGGGTTGTGGGTCGCGCTGAGTTGTCGGGGAATGGAGTTGTCGAGAATCAAAACAGACCTAATCGGGTCGATGGCAACGCGTGGGTCACGTGATCCTTTGTTTTGTTATGGTAACTTCATTTCTTCATTTCTTCATTTCCATGATTGAATTTCGATTAAAGAAAAAGATACATATTGAAAAAAAAAACATCATGCAAGTTAATATTCCTCACTCTCTTCAGAGCCCTCATCGGAATCCTCGTCGGAGTCATCGTCAGACCCAGGCCCAAACCCATACTCCCATCCATCATAGTCCGGTTCCTCATCACTAGCATAAGATTCATACCCATTAGCAACGCATTCAGCAACCACTTGCTCAGCAGGAACTGTCATGGATACCCCGGCCTCTTGCAAATACGATTCCTTGATATAGCTCAAACCCAAATCTCGAGGTAATGGGCGGCTCCAATTGACTCGGAGAGGGGGATTCAAACGCTGCTGATCACCCAAAGGCTCTTGCGAAGGCCGCCACATTACAGTCGCAAAATAATATTGGAGCTGACCAGGCGCCACTTCATCACGCACCCAGCGCCGTCCGCCAAGCATGGAACTTCCCGTCCATCTGGATACGGTGGTATCAGCCTTGGCGGCGAGCATATTGGTGCTATCGGCGCGTTGGAATCGCCATTGTTCGGCCATTTCACCCGCAATGTAGTTTACTTCGTCTTTGCGTCGCTCGATACTTTCAATGTCGATACAAAATCTGGTGACGCTAGAGGGCAGCACCAGCCATTTGCCCCAGGCCCCTTCGATGTGTAACTCCTCGTTGATTTCCCACATCCAGGTGTCGGTGTATCGGATAGTGATGGTAACAGACTTGGGATAAAAATAATGCATCGTGAATATCCTATCGAAATTCGTGGTGCTCTCGAGCTTCCATAGCTGAGGAAACACGCGAATACGGCCGCCCTGTACTTCGCCATGTCGATCATGAATCAGATCTAAGCCTTGCTGCATTTTATCGACCGTGATCATTCGCTTGGGAGTGCGGTCCCCGAAGGCCATCCAGAATGCATGCTCCGAACAGATGAGGGGCATAAACCATGCCTCCATGTAGACTTTTTTGCATGTTCGGAGCAGTTCTGTATAGGTCCGATGGTGGGTTTCATAGCCTGGTCGCGTGCAGTATCCATCTTGCTCAGGTGGTTGTGTGGTGTCTGGGGCACTTGTCAAAGCGTAGGCGAAGATCTCATAGCGAATCTCTGGAGGTAGGAGTGAGAATAGGTTGCTTTGGGTCTGCTCGTTGTACTCTGTAAAATAAGCGGGAGAAAGATTTGGCTCTGCCATTTTGAGTAAGAAATTCGTTTTTAGGTGTTGAGAATGGAAATAAAATAGGAATTCCCGTCTATAAATATGACCGAATTCGGTCCCCGATGAGGCTGATGCGATGCTGCCTACAATATTAATGGGGATCGGCTAGCTATATCATCAGAAGGAGTATGTGGGGATTTTTACCTGACGCAGAAGCCAAATAGTTTGAGGAATAAGCTTATATATCCTTGGGTACACCTGGACAGGATAAAGTATGCCCTTAGTACGAACCTATGCGGGGAAGAGGATTGTGGATTATTGACGATGATGCACATGCACATGCACATGCGTTATTTTGTTCGAATCACCCGAATTTTAAACGCTGTTATGATGAGCGATCTATAACGATGCATTTCAAGCACTGAAGATATTCATTCTCTTTAAAAGCCAAAATTATCATTGCAATGCCTGAAAGTCCCTTGATTCCTCGCGCAATCCATTTCGAAACGGCCCTCCCCTCCTCTTGGTAATGTCTAACGATGTCGCATTTGATCCTGATAAAAGAATAATCGGCCGCGTTTACGGCCTTGTGAGGTCTTTTTGGTTGATCTTTTGAGATTTCTTATCCAAGCCTCGGAATAGAACCCACAGCAGAATGGTCGCTCTTCCTAGAAGCCCGGTCAGTGTGGCGTACATTGTGGCTAGATGGGGGTCATTGGTGAGTGGGGTGAAGGCTAGGGCAAGACAGGTTCCGACCCCAGCCATGGCGAGCAAGGTTGCTTGCACCAGGGTCTTCATACCCTTAGGCGTGTGATTATAAGCATACTCGGTACCCGTGGTGAGGCAAAAGACCCCCGCCAATGCTCCAACAAAGTACGTCGGAATTTGAAGAAACGCCGAAATCTGGTTGGGAACAGTACGATCATTGGCAGCACCACATGCAAGTGGTGTATCGTAGCATGGCCCGGTTTGGTAGATAAGCTTCTGAATCACTGTAGTGTAAACCATGGAGAGAGTCAGCAAGACGAATCCGAATGTTATCCGTGTAATCGGTCCAAATGAGACTCGTCTCTTTGTAAGGTAAGGTTAGACCCCTTTCTGAACGATAGGCGCAATGATGATCCCCGAGATGGCCCCAGCAATCTTCATCATATCGTTCGAAATAGCGTATGTGACCATCTGCCCAGCTTGAGAGATCAAGTTGTTGAAAGTCTGTTATAATAGAGCCAGTGAATAGGGAACAAAAGTCTAAGTATATGTTAGCTTTGGCCGTATACTAGAATGGGTATACACTTCCAATACTCGGCAAGTCAGAAGACTTGTTTTAATTTCTTCAATGAATGAGTCTGTCCAGGGGATTTGTCAACTGTGTAAATGAAGCTGGGCGTCTGGTTTGCGGCATTCATTTTAAAGCCACCGGCGATCCCATATCGCAAGGTAGCAGATATCTGGGGCATAATGTCGCTTGTTGGCGAATCACGGAATGTTGTATCCACATGTTAGTTAATCGATTTATTGACGTGAGAGTAAGCAGACCAACTAAAATATTTGCGGCCAAATAGTATCGGGATCAGGGCCAACCATATGGCACAGCATGGGATTAAGTAGGCGAGCCAAAAACCAACATATCGTTCCAACAACCGCGTGGAATCGGCTACGAAGCCAACAACGTTAATAGCCCTGTTTTTCACGTCAGTCATGGCGGCAAAAAGGAAGAGATCAATCTACTCACCAGTAAAAGACGTTGTAGATATAGGTGATGGTCAACTCCCGGCTAGTGAAAACCCTATATCCCTTTCGTCGAGGCTTGACTCAAAACTCGGTCTCGTCATATTGGTGGGCTAAACGACATCAGCCTCCAGATTGGTCCACCCGAGTGTAAGAGATCAACCCACCAATAAATGCTACTATGGTCGTTTTGAATGTGTAAGATCGAACTGGATCGCTGTCCAAATCATACAACATAGGTAAAGAGAAGACATGCCAGTATAAAAAAGTACTTGCTGACCCGATTTAAGCCTAAAGCACCCCTGCTCTTATTGTGCGCTTCTGTTTGATGCATGTAAATTACCGAAACGAGATAGAATCAACCTTTGCCATGAATATGACAGAATATGGAGATTGAGCAACATTCTCTTCATTCGCGCATTGACTGAATGCATAAAGTAGCCCTTTGGTTCACCAAACGAAGCAGCATTGTTATTCCCTGGACCTAAGGCAAAGTGTATCCTCCATCGATAATGAGGTTTGCACCAGTCATATAGCTTGACGCATCCGAGGCGCAGAATACGTAGGCCTAGACGGGGTTGTCAGCTGATTTCTAGAGAAACCGGAACCTGTGAAATCTTACCCCCTTCAACTCATAAGATTCGGCCATTCTCTTGGCAGGGATCAAGTCGAACCATTTGTCGCGCCATTCCTTTGGGAAGGTATCCAGAATTTCGGTAGCGATATATCCAGGGGAGATACAGTTAACTCGGCAGTAGTCAATCCACTCGACAGACAAGCACTTGGCGAGCTGAACAACTCCTGCTTTAGACGCATTGTACTATGTAAAGATGAGCGACATGAAGAAGGACCATTTTCAATAGAGAACGTACTGCTGCTTGCTTCTGTGGGAGATTGACCAAAGTCGCACTGACGGAGGCTGTGAAGATGACATTTCCACGACCTTGTACCTTGAATATCCGGCCGGCAGCTTGGGCAGAATAGAAAGCACCATCAAGATTGACCTTCATGATCTCACTCCACTGATCGGTGGTGTAGTCTTCGGCGGCGGTGTTCGAGGCAATCCCAGAGTTGACGACCATGATATCAAGTTGCCCGAAATCTTTCGCGATCTGCTGCACAACCGCCTCGATCTCAGACTGGATGGCCACATTGGCTTTGTACGCTGCTGCGCGCACGTTGTTAGTAGATGCAATCTCGGCTGCAATTGTATCAGCGGTATTGGATGTGTGATAGATCAAAGCGACCTTTGCAAATTGTTAGTTTGATTGTTTTTGTTTCGTAGCATCGGGTGGTGTATGTGGCTTACATTTGCACCGGCTTCAGCCAATGCTCTCGAGACCTCAAGACCAATTCCACGACCGCCTCCTGTGAAGTATTAGGATGCATTTTTTTATGATTGGGATATACCGTACCGGTCACAACTGCGACCTTGCCCGTGAGGTCGAAGGCCTTCATGACATGTTGATTTGGGGGCTGTGCGAGGACCATTTTGTCGTATTTATCGTCGCTTGAACTCGAGATAATGTCCAAACTTGGTTAAAATATCAACGAAGAAGGGAGAAGTTGGATCTGCGACGTGTCCCCCTCTATCCCCGCACTGGGCCATCTCCGACATGTTCTCCAATCATTGAGACTTCCTCCTGCAGCTAAAAAATCCCGAGGTAATTTTTGGCGAAAGGGACATGACGTTCATGACCTGGGATCCCTCTGCTTCACCCTCTGTCCACCGAGATGCTTAATTCTTTGGCTGTGGGTTTATTTTCTCATTGCTTTGATGTGAACCGTTCGCACAGCTAGCTGACATGCTTGGGTGAGCGGCATCGAGACGTCGATTCATTTTTTTGAGTCCCTTGAACAATTGTTTATTCTCTCGGTTAAGCTCGTAAGCCCAGAGGAGGGCGAGGGCTTCGTTGGACTTTGTATTTTCCATTGTCAAAGATGGGAATTGGAAGAGGATGGAAAGGAAGAGAAGGGGAAAAGTGCAAATATGCAAAGGGAATGAAAAGAAACGAGAATAGTCGGCCGCTTATGTGGCTTTGTGACCCTATTAGCGTTGTAGCCAGACAACCTTGGAAGTGAAAACGGCTTAAAATGTGCAAATGGACGTTTCCTTGTATAAAATTGGATAATATTATAACACTAAAACCAGAAGAATAAACAATTATCTAGGTAATTATGTGCTTGTTATTATTCTGGAAAATTTACCGGTCTCAAATCAACCAGACCTCTACTTTACCTCTACTAATCGTCGAACGGGCTTATAAAGCAGAAGAAAATTCAGAAACAACAAAGAAGTACATATTAAACTTCATGTACCTTGTGTATCTGGTCAGAGATCGAGAAGACATCGAATATTCAAAGATGTCTGTCCTTCGGGTTTCAAATGTTCTCCCCTTAATCACTCATGGCATCGCCCTCGTCCTCCGTATTGGCCTCGTCAGTCTGCTCTTTGCTCTGAGGCTTGTGGTCATCATCATGTTTGGCGGAAGCTTCCATTTTGTCAAGGCTCTTCTTCAGGCGTTCGAATCTCATTCGAGCAGCATTGTTCTTGATGCCAAAGTGTTTGGCGACGGCTGGGATGTCAACCTGCGAGTTGATATTATTAACACAATCCACAGATGAGATTTGAGTGACATGGTCGAGAAAAACACATAATACACTAACCTGAACATCTGAGAGCTTGTGACAGGCCCACAGGAACAGCAGCTGCCTTTTCACATCGGATTCTTTGGGTTCCTTTGGCTTGGATGGGCTTTTTCCAGCCTTCGAGGGGGATTTGGTTCGAGCCATTTGTCTTCGAATGAAGGTGTGATGACTATCTGTGAGCTCTTTGAATGTAATAAGTGAGTCTGCTAGAAAAGAAATGTCGGTGAAGTTGAGGGAGAGGGAAGGAAGGAAGAGAGAGAGAGAGAGAGATCGAGTACGAGTTTGGGTTCTTATAGTAGTATCACTCGCAGCAAACAACTGACAAGAAAGCTATGTTTCGATAGTTTAAGCGCATACAAAAATGCATTTGGTTCGATACTTTGATCTTCTTTATATCTCGATTCTGGAAAGAACATTAAAACTAGCAAATCCAGGGTATTTATACCCTATAAAACCATCCCCCAAAAGGCCCAGTCTACTAGCAAAAAATCATCTATGGGATGGTCCAACATTAATCTATCAACATTGGCGTATATGATCACAATAAAGACATTAGTCGTTTAGAAGCGCCCGACCAGGTGAAGAATTAAATCTTCTTTGTCTTTACGGGCTCGAGGTTCTTGACTGGATGTAAAAAGATAGGAGGAAGACAGAGTCGAGGGTTTTGCTTCTCCCACTGCACAAGATTAGCACCAGAATGTATTAAGGATCGCAAGAGCAAGAACTCACCTCTCTGGCGCCGTCGTAGCCCAAAAAGGCTCTGTATAGCTTCTCCGAGAATTCAGAGTTAAACATGAACGTCGTGTTGTATATGATATCATCATGTTGACCCCAGCTCCAGATGCTGTTGAGCCCAGCATTGACCTTGCCAGGTTCGCCCGGGTTGGCGCGGCGGTTCAATTCCTCGGGGTCCCATTTGGCATTGTGGTACACCGGTTGAGGAATCTGGACCGCCTTCAGACCATAGTACAGAGCCCAGGATAGAGGAGACATCTCGGATGCGAGACCAACCCCCGATTTTACCTTATCCTTGTGCAACGCGCCGAGAAGTCGCGCGGAGATGCGAGACATTGCCACAACAGCTGCCCAGCGTGGGGTTTCCTGATCTTGAGGGAAATTGAAGACACGGTCACGGAAAGGCCAGTCCGTACCAACCGGGTTAAAATGGGGCAGCCAGGTAATGAGATCGGCTTCTTCACCCACACCCCAGGTCCCTGGCTCATCTTCTTGCTGTGGTACAGGAGGCAGAATGGCTTGCCCTTCGATGTCGATGCCTTCTGCGGGACGAGGGCCCCAAACACTGCTGTTGTCATGACCAATCATTTCCTGGTCTACCTTCTTCATGAACTCTTCCCAAGTGCCATGCACAGTAGGGATATAGAAGTGAGAGTTACGCTCCCACAAATACTTGCGTGGCTGCTGTTTCGCAAACTCGGTTGCCTTGTGCAAAAGATCGTACATATGGCCGGTATATCGTGAGTCCATCTCGAACTGCCAGACGTAGTCGTACTGAGGGTGTAGCCGCGAGAAAATCTGCGTGGGCTGGAAATACTGTAATATCGCTCTAATGTAATTTCAGCAGGGCAGATCTAGCTCCAAGGACCGCAACATACACATGAACATCAATCTCAGGATACCAATCCTTCAACATATCCGCGTTGAACCATACCGCCAGGCTACGCAGCTCCTGTGGCAGATGTTTCGCTTTAAATGACTCCCAGGCAGCATAATCAGTCTCTTTGGGCAATTTCTCGCCCTGGCAGTCAATCAGGAGGATAAGCTCATATTCCGCACCCGAGTAGAGTGACAGCTCCATCATCATAGACCGAATGTGATACAAGTCGTTCTCTGTGTATTTCATACCAATCCAAGAGCGCAGTATGACGGCTGTCCGGGGCTGAGCCTTGTCTGTTTTGTTCAAGGGCTCACGAGACGGTACATTCAAATCCATTGACTTGTACAGAGCGGTTATTTTCCCTTCAGATGGTTGCGTGCGGTATCGGACGCTATTGCGCTGCAGACACTCATATTGCAAATTTGCCCAGTCGACTTTCTCCCAGTCTATTTCGGCGGCCTCGTTGGAACCGAATGTACCATTCCAATTGTGGACTCGAGTGGTTTCGTTGCCCTGAAGGTATCCATATGCACCATATCGGGAGTAGCGATCGGCACAAAGACTCTTGTTCAAATTCCACGACTCATACGATCCAAAAATTGGTGTTGGGAAATCTAGCCTCGAATGATTAGTTCGCCGTCGACCCCTAAAATGTTCCTCTTCGCACCTGAAGTATTCCAGCGATACCCGCTCATCATCATATCTTCATCTTTCCGGCTCAAGAGTCGCCCTTGGGGTCCAATGCATGGCTGGTAAGGTCCCTTTGACGTGGATATCCATTCCACGCTATCATAGTGTGGATAGGGGTCGTTGATGACTTGGGACGAAATTCGAGGTTGACCGGCGTAATCGCTCGGGAACGGGTCAACAGATTCTTCTGTAGGGCTGATACAGATCAGAATATGGACCAATAAGGGGAAACGAGAAAAGGGCGATCTGAAATTACTTTGACAGCTTCACTCGTAATGGAACTACTAGAGCTTCTCTGGAATAAGGAATAATCAAAAACACCACCAGGCACAGGGCGGCAAAAGCCACGCGGCGCCTTGAAGAACTGAAAAACCTCCGCAGCACCACGAAAAAATCCATGAGAATCTAAAATCTGCAAAATCTAAACATGAATCTGGGAGTGCTGAAAGTTTTGTAGCTCTTAAGAACCCCCCCCCCCCCGTGCTAGTGGCTTGGCTTGGCTTGGGTTCCTCGACATGTGTGTTCGGCCAATCGTAGAAGAGAGAACAGTGCATGGAGGCTGCCGAGAAACCCGGACAGTAAGTAAGAGAGAGGAAGAATATTATGAAGAACATGACTTTGTATTCCTATATTGCATTCCGTTGGAATGCAGCTATTTTTTTTAGGGCTGTTAGAGTCTCAGTTAATTATCTTCTTACCTTGGCGGTTTGGAGATCCGGATTTGTCCGGATCTGCTATCTACCTACAACATACGTGCGTACATGTAGGTATCTTCATGTAGATCTTTGTGCTTTTGAAATGAAAAATTCAACACAATACAACATATGTACTCTTGATAGGGATATCACTATGTACTCCAATAATAAATCAACATCGGATACAGACAAAACTCCAATATCAGCCCACTTTGACAGGCATCCCAATACGGTTACACGTATCTCTTCCAGAATCACTAGCATGACATGATTTCACTATTCAGTCGCAGTTCGCCGACCCCATCCACTGAAGAATCCCCCAGTGTTGCTGGGCGGTGTCCCAAGTGTCTTCGGGGCTTCGATGGGAGATTTATTGGCCAAGCTGATGCGCGACTGCGATAATCCAACAAAGGAATGGCGGTTTTCAAGATTTGCCGCGGCAGCCTGGGAGGACTTGATCATTTTCCGGAATGATTCTAACTTGCCCTTTACTTCCTCAAGCTCTTGCCTAGCAACCGCCTCTGCCGTCTTAGCAGTAACTAACTCCATGAGCAACGCCTCTTCGGCAGCAGGCTTATCACTCTCCGTTGACAAAACACTCTGGAGACCGAGGCTGCTGGTCCGTCTGTTATATGTGGGACTTTTTGTGGAGTTGGTGCGGGCTAGCTTGAACTCGCGCAGACCACTAGTGGGGGATTGACCCTCCCCAGAGTCAGCTGTAAACGAAGCTGTTGTGTCTAGCGGTATTTCGGATATAGGGGTTTTGAGGGTACGAAGCTCCCGATTCATGCGCTCGAGCCGCTGTCGCTCCCGATAACCGTCCTGAATCCGGCCTCGGGCTTCCCGTAATTGTTCCTTGAGGGACGAGTTCTCCTGTTCAAAGTCGTCGATGCGCCGTGTGAGGTTCAAGCAACGACCAGCTTCCACCTCATGCATTTCCTTCCATCGAGCAATATCGTCATTGAGCTGGAGCTTGGTCTGGGTGATTGAAACACGCTTCGGGTTGACTGATTCAAAACGTGTTTGGGCTTTGATTACTAATTCGGCCGGTTGGGTCTCAGTCGGCAGTTCTCTGATTTGGTTCAACATCTCCTTGGCCAGGGCATGGTCTTCCTCCCGTTCTTCTCTCTCCTGTTGCAGTTCACGTGTGAGGCTAGCTTGTTGGCGCTGAAGATCGCTGAGCGCCATCAAGAGTTCTTCAATCTGGGTATGGAGGTCGCGGTCTTTGTGATGTGAAGACATGTTAGATTTCACGCGTGATTTTTGACTATCGGCGCTAGCTGCAGCCGCTGATAGTTCAGTAGCAGCAGTACTTGCGTCGGATGTAGTTTCGACGGAGTTGAGAGTGGACGTCAGGCTCTGCTTGGAGGTAGATCGACGAATGGTACTGTTCTGATGTGATGGGCTACTATTCGGATTGAGGGACTTGACCGAATTGTGAGAGTTCGACGAGCCAGCCCATAGTCGCCCAAGGAAACCAGAGGCCGTTGCCTGCATCTGCGGGAAGGAGGGACCGGATGGTGAGCCTTTAGATTGGTTGTAGCTGGCTTCAAGTGCTTGGAGACTCTCGTTCGTCACGAGAGAAGTGAGAGACACGAAATCATTGACAAGATCATCAGCATTGAAGGCGTATCTGAATATCACGGATTAGCGGAGTTCTTTGTTTCGAAGACTTGCTTTGTGCGATGCCCAAAACTTACGTGTCCCACAGGCTTCGAGACAATAACAGTTGCATCACGTCCTCAAATTCGCTGCAAGCCAAAATTCTCTTCTCGTTGCGCTGCATCAAGGAAAGTGCAACTCGCATCAGAGTCTCGCATGCGCCTTCCAAAAAAATAACGTCATAAATTCGGAGAAGCATCGGCAACGGACAGGCCACCGCAAAGAACGACAGGAACCACTGCGATACGTAGACCGGCTCAACGTGCAGTGCTTCAAGATGTTGGAACAGGACCGGCCTGTGCCGTGCTAGAAGATTTTGGAACTGATAAACATGAAGGTGGAGACCCGAGAGGTCGGGAAGATAGCAAGTTCGGAGGTTGTAGTGATCCATGAGGCTACAATACGTGACGCATTAGTATGACTCCTCCAAGTTTCACATGTATCATCGTCCAAGAAGACTTACCGGACAAGAACACAAAAGGCCTCGGCATCTGTCATGTGCATGAGCAGGGGGCCTACCACAAACCCAAGACCTTGGCAGTAGCCAATCTGAGTATCATAAAGACTGAAGCATCGTAACACTCGACCAAGCATTTGTTGACCCTCGCCGTTCGGGTCGCGGAACATTTCAACATTGGGAAAGCTGCGACCAATATCTTTTCCAATCAGCCCATCGTACGGACTGCTTTCACCCGAAAGTCTCTGGAATTCATTCAACAGATGAGGATCGCGTGCGCCCGCTAGGCTAGGCCACACTACCCCTCGCAATGGCGGAGGCACACCTTGTTGAATCTTATTCGATGTCAATGTCGGCAAACGCTGGGCAGTCTGGTGGTAATCGGCAACAAGCGCAGCCCAAAACTCTAACTCGGTCATTGGAGGAGGGGGTAACTGCGAGTATCGCAGCTCTGCCCGAGCGGGATCCCTGATGAGTCGCTTGATATGATGTAGTGACTCGGAGCGGGACTGCCGCTGGTGTATCTTGCCATTAGGAACCTCGGGTATCCCGGATTTGGGATTGGTCGCTAAAGCATTGTTTTCTTGTTCGAGTCGAGCGAGGAGCAGGGCTGTGGACTAAAAATTAGGTCAAGAATGTCAGCACACCCATTCCAGAATTCTTCGGCAGCTTATCGCACTTACCTCATCGGACCCCTCCCCACGCGGTTCTTGTTCTTCTGTCTTATCAAGGTTCTCCCAATCCCCCTCATTGTCAAACATCTCGCCTGTCTGTCTCCCCCTGTCTGGGCGTGGGGTCTCGGGAGTGGGAGTGGTCCTCGCCGCGTCCTGTAGCGGGACCGGTTCAAAGGACCCCTCACTCTCCTTCTCGGGGTGGCTCATCTCCACTGGAGTTGGAGGGATGTCAAGAGTGCGCCAATCCGGTTGGGTGTGTTCGGAACTGGATTGGTTATCGGATAACGCGACGGTGACCATCGAGTCATGGTTAAGCGCGTGACTGACGCCGGGACATGCTGGCTCGGAACCTTCCATTGTGACGCGATAGAAAATAGGAATATGAGGTTGGAAAGATGTAGACGCGTTATTGTTGAGAATATTGATATCGGAGGATAGCAGGGGGGTTATTTCAAGCGAGTTTCAGCTGCATAGTTATGCACTTTCACACACGAGTATTCAAGAAACCAATTCCTTCCAGCAGAAGTGGGACCTGGGATATGACTCTAGACTTGTATCCAATACTCCGTACAAGAAGAAAAGGCTGGAGAAAGGGAAAAAAAAAGGGAGTCAGGAGAGATCCCACCTATTTCGTTAGCCCCCCCTTTAGCTTTCCCCTCGTGGAGTCTCGGCCCCGTCGATCATCCTCATACACCGACTGTTTGACCATTGAAACGAATATATTATACTCTGTACTCTACAGAAGGAAACAAAAGACTAATGTTGTATCAGATATAAGATGATAGCTGTGTTAGTTTCATGTTAACTTGTGTATCATGGGGTATCAGGGATTTCGAGTATATTGTACGGAGTACTAGCACTACATAACTAGTAGTATGCTTGGAGTCATGATGATCACTGCATAGAGTTATATCCCGTATAGGTTATGTACATCTACTGTATGTCTCGAGTCCCGTTATTTCAACTGCATATTGCCTGCAGGTACAAAGTACAGCCTCCCATATTTGGAAGATTAAATGTCAAAGGGGCATCGTCATTGTACAGCCCTGTATTTTCGATACATTCAGATTTGAATTTGTAATCTTTCATGGCTTTGATTAGTTGGAAATCCATATCTGGCCGATTTGATTGGTCAAGCGCCTGTGCTTATATTGAAATACCATTACCACCCCCTGGCTTGTCCGTTTCATCTCATTATTGAGGCTGGCCAACGATTTTTGGGTTCACTTCGTACTCCGTACATCATAAATCATTAACTTGAATGTCTACTACATACAACATAGATTCCAGGTTTCTGTACCCCCTGGGGCTCACACCGTCGACTGCTCGCAGAGATCCACCAAGTATGGTCCATGCGATCCGCCTGTCAAAACTAGAATAGTTTCCAGCCCACTTTTCAAGATTTCTTAGACTATGCTGTATGGAGTATAGACAAGCCAGTTGCTGCTGTTCAGCACCGTTTGAGTGATCCTCAGCTCTAGGACTATATATCATGTTCGCCAGGCAGTTGGGTTTTTTTCTGCGACAACTATATCGTATATTTTCGGAGTGGACTGGGTGGCTACCTAGCTATCTATCTATGTTCACCTAATACCGATATCTGCTAGAAAGAATCATGCGACACCAAAACCGTGCGTTACAGTATATGACTTTCTTTTAATAAATGGCTATGACATACCATAAGTACTATATGTTGTACTCGGAGTTATGCAAGGGTTACAACCCCACGGATGGGTTAACCTACACTACGGAGTACACCTACCATAACTAGACAGTACCGTTGATGAGGATATCCCTTTAACATAGTATGTTGTACGGAGTACATTGCTACTTATCCCACTTATGAGTAGTCCACAACGCGCACAACATTGCCCCGCTAGTCAGTTCATATCCAATTGTTCGCTGTACAGGATAAATTGACATACCTCCTATGCAGACTATGACAGACTGCCCAAGTCTTATAGATGTGCTGAAGGGGAGAGCAAAAGGTAGATTTGACTCTGTGCTCTAATTTGACCGAACTATATTTAGATCTTCACCATTGCCACTAACTTCAATGACATTTGAGTAAAAGAAAACAAGGGATCTGTCATTATATGTCATACAGTCTACTCCAAATATATATACATATATCATGCTGTAGGTATCTGTTTTTATCTCATATTTCTCTGAATTGACGTGAAGATGTAAGACATCCGATGCAAAGTGAGGGGAACTGCTTGTTTTTCGTTCGTTTGTTTGTGAATTGCCTATTTGGGGCGTGTTTGTAGGCGGTGAGGAAGAATGATGATCCGAGTGGCTACTAACTGCCCACCGCCCCCCTGTCAGTCGCGACTTCCCCGGGCAAAAAACAACAGGCGCTTCCCCTCCCCGTATTTTCACTGTCTTCCTCTCTTTTGCTTCTTGCTTCATCCTTTTACGGCCTGAGCATGCCGGAGCTTGATTGATCTATTCTTTTAAATTGAAAGATAGGCGTCATTCGTTTGATTCAACCCTGAGGCCTGACTTGACTCCTTTTCTCCCCTCATAGCGCTGCGTCGCGCTTCATCTGTTTAATCGCATTTATCATGGATGACTCCATGATGGAAGACTCGGTCTTCGATGATGATGGAGGCAGCTCTGACTTTGCTCCTGAGCCTGCACCGGTAGGAATCCCCCTAAAATATGCGAATATCTCAACACTAAGCTCAACTTTGATGGCTGACATTATACCTCCAGAAACCCAAAGCTAAGGCGGCTCCTAAGAAACCTGCTGCCGCCAAACCTGCCGCCAAAAAGACCACCCAGACCACACTCAAGGTCAAGCCTGCTGCAAAGGCGGCTGCGACTAAGAAGAAGGCCAAGGCCGACAGCGAGGACGAAGTGACCGATATTAAAATGTCCGATGATGATTCTCTGCTCTCCCACACCCCTCCCAAGGCCAAGAAAACGGCTGCACCTAAGAGAGCTGGCTCAAAGCCTCTTGCCGATCTCGAAAATGAGTCTCACGGGGGAGACGCTGCTACTGACAGCACGAGCAAGACTGGCAATGCATCAGACAAGTACCAGAAAGTGAGTTTCAGCAGCCTTTTGGTATGGTATAATTTCGGACAGATACTTATCTCTATTCTTTAATATAGCTTACCCAACTTGAACACATTATTAAACGTCCCGATACCTACATTGGATCCACTGAGCGCACCACGCAGCAGATGTGGGTGTACAACTCCGGAACCGAGTCCATGGAGTACCGCGATGTATCTTTCGTCCCTGGTCTCTACAAAATCTTTGACGAGATTGTGGTCAACGCCGCCGATAACAAGCACAACGACTCGAACATGAACGAGATGCGGATCACGATTGACCGCGAGGCCGGTGAAATTAGCGTGTGGAACAACGGACGTGGTATCCCTATCGAGATTCACTCTAAGGAGAAGATCTACGTGCCCGAACTCATTTTCGGCCATCTGCTCACTTCTTCCAACTACGACGATAGCCAACAGAAGGTGACTGGAGGTCGCAACGGTTTCGGTGCCAAACTTTGTAATGTTTTCTCGACAGAGTTCACTCTCGAAACCCAGGACTCCCGTCAGAAGAAGAAGTACAAGCAAATCTGGACCGAGAACATGACGAAAATGGGCAAGGCAAAGATCACAGATGCCAAGGGAGATGACTATACCAAGGTCACTTTCAAGCCAGACTTTGCCAAATTCGGCATGGATGGCATCGACGATGACTTTGAAGCCCTTGTCAAGCGCAGAGTCTACGATTTGGCGGGTACCGCCAATGTTGGTGTCAAATTGAACGGCACACGCGTCCCTGTTCGCAATTTCCGAAAGTATATGGAAATGTACACCAAAGCCATTCGCAAGGAGCGCGGTGATGATGGTCCTCCTTCAAAGGATGAAATTATCACATGCCAACCCGATCCTCGATGGGAGATTGGTTTTGCTGTTTCGGACGGTTCGTTCCAACAAGTCTCATTCGTCAACTCAATCGCAACAACCTCGGGCGGAACGCACGTCAACTACATCGCTGATCAGATCTGTACCCGCTTGGCCGATCAGGTGAAGAAGAAGAACAAGTCTGGAGCAACTCTGAAGTCGGCACAGATTCGGAACCACATCTTCATTTTTGTAAAGGCCTTGATCGTTAACCCGGCCTTCACCTCCCAGACCAAGGAACAGTTGACCACAAAGGCCAGTCAGTTCGGTAGCAAGTGTCCCCTTGATGAAGATTTCTACAAGAAGGTTTTGAAGACTGAGGTTATGTCAAATATCCTGCACTTCGCGGAGCAAAAAGCCGACCAGATCTTGAAGAAGGGTGATACTGGCCGACGCACGCGTATGAACAATCCAAAGTTGGTCGACGCCAACAAGGCTGGTACTAGAGAGGGCCACCACTGTACCCTCATTTTGACCGAGGGTGAATCAGCCAAGGGATTGGCCATGGCAGGCAGAGCAGTTGTTGGACCAGATTTGTTCGGCGTTTTCCCCCTGCGCGGAAAGCTTCTTAATGTCCGCGATGCTTCTTTTGACCAAATTTCAAAGAATGTGGAAATTCAAAGTATCAAGAACTTCATTGGTCTACAGCACAAGAAGGAGTACACTGAGACCAAGGGGCTGCGATATGGCCATCTCATGATCATGACTGATCAGGATCACGACGGTAGTCACATTAAGGGTTTGCTCATCAACTTCCTTCAAGCGCAGTTCCCCAGCTTGCTCAAGATTCCTGAGTTCCTCATTGAGTTCATCACCCCCATCATCAAGGTTTGGAAGGGTGACCCGAAGAACCCGACCAAGCAGAAATCGTTCTTCACCATGCCCGAACATGAGGAATGGCGTGAAGCTCACAAACACGAACGCGGCTGGGACCACAAGTACTACAAGGGGTTGGGAACCAGCACCACGGAAGATGCACAGGTCTATTTCCGCGACCTCGATCGTCATCTGAAGGAGTTCCACACCATGCAAGACGGTGAAGCCGGACTCATCGAGCTGGCTTTCTCTAAAAAGAAAGCAGATGAGCGTAAAGAGTGGCTTCGTCAATACAAACCTGGCACATATCTGGACCATTCCGTGGCGAAGATCACATACACCGACTTCATCAACAAGGAGCTCATCCTGTTCAGTATGGCAGATAACCAACGTTCGATCCCTTCCGTTGTCGATGGTTTGAAGCCCGGTCAGCGCAAGGTGCTTCACACCTGTTTCCGCCGTAATCTGAAGAAGGACATGAAGGTGGTTGAGCTGGCAGGTCATGTATCCGGAATGACAGCCTACCACCACGGCGACGTCTCCCTTCAGCAGACTATCGTTGGTCTTGCCCAGACCTTTGTTGGCTCCAACAATATCAACTGCCTAGAGCCTAGTGGAAACTTTGGTAGTCGACTTCAAGGTGGTAATGATTGTGCCAGTGCTCGTTACATCTACACTCGCCTGTCCCCCTTTGCACGCAAAATCTTCCATACGGCCGATGAGCCACTACTAACATACAACGAAGACGATGGCAAGAAAATTGAGCCCGAGGTCTTTATGCCTGTCGTCCCGATGATTCTGATCAACGGCGCGGATGGTATCGGAACTGGTTGGAGTTCTTCTATTCCCAACTACAATCCCGAGGATATTGTGAACAATCTCAAGCGCTTGATGGCTGGCGAACCGACTGAGCCAATGCAGCCTTGGTTCCGTGGGTTTACCGGTGAGGTTGTGGCCGTGGGTGGGGATCGATACAAATTCAGCGGTATCATCAGGGAATGTGGTGACAAGGAGGTCGAGATCACCGAATTGCCTATTCGCACTTGGACACAAGATTTCAAGGACAAGCTGGAGGAAATCATCAAGGCAGAGAAGGTGCCATCCTTCATCAAGGATTACAGGGACTACAACACTCACACCAAGGTCCACTTCATCATCCAACTCGATGAGAAACACATGAAGGTTGCTTTGACTGAAGGCTTGGAAGAAAAATTCAAGCTCACCAAGTCGATTGCAACAACCAATCTGGTGGCTTTCGATCCCGAGGGCCGCATTACTAAGTACGCCACTGTCGATGACATTCTCAAGGAGTTCTATGTCGTCCGTCTCAAATATTATGAGCGACGCAAGCAGTTCCAACTTTCCGATCTACAGAGAGAGCTGGAGAAGCTGAGCAACCAAGCTCGCTTTGTGCAGATGATTATTGATGGCAAATTGGTCATCTCCAAGAAGAAAAAGCCTGTTCTAATCACTGAGCTAAAGGAAAAGGGCTTCAAGCCAATTGCCAAGGTGGCCGAGGCCGCCAAGATGGGCGAAGATGAGCCTGTAGTAGAAGAAGGAGAAGAAGAGCCAGATGACAATGATGCTGCAGTGCTATCCAGCTCCTTCGACTACCTTCTGGGTATGCCCATGTGGTCACTGACCCAAGAGCGCGTGGAGAAGCTCCGTCGTCAGATCGGTGAGAAGGAAACAGAGGTCGACGTCTTGATTAAGCTGTCCAAGGAGGACATCTGGACTCACGATTTGGAGGAGTTCATCAATGAGTGGCGCTTCCAGCTTGAAGATGAGGACCGTCGAGCCCGCAAGGTGGCTAGCTTGGGCCGTCGCAACTCTACCAAGCTGGCCACTGGTGGTGGTCGCGCCGCGGCTTCGCGCAAGCGTAAGGCTGCTAACGGTGACGATCCAGACGACGAAGACTTTGGGGCCCCTAAGACGAAGAAGGCCGCCGCAGCTAAGAAAAAAGAGCAGCCCAAAAACAGCTTGATGAATTTCCTCAGTCAACCTCCGAGCAAACCAACACCATCGGCTGCAGCAGATGGAACTGTTGACTCGGATGATGAATTCAACATGGACATGGAAATCCTTCCGAAGAAGAGCCGTGCTACCTCGAAGCCTAAGACTCTGCCTAAACAGGAAGACGACTTTATCGATATCGACGACATTCCCCAAACCTCGCGGGCATCAGCTCAGCCGGCTGACGACACGATGGACGTAGATATGGATGAGGTTCCAAAGCCCAAACCAGCGGCCAAGGCAGCGGCCAAACCAGCCGCTAAACGAGGACCTAAGCCCAAGGCCAAGGTCGAAGAGGACTCGGATGACGACTTCTTGGAGATTGCCAAATCCGAGGCTTCCAAGCCCGCAGTGCAATCTTCTCGCGCTCGCAAGCCTGTGAAGTACTCAGCGCCTAGCGACTCTGACAGTGATAACGGTGATAATCTTCTTGGAGACGTTAGCATGATGGTCAAGGGCATTGGTGGTGACTCAGCCGCCGATTCTCGACAACTCTTTTCGGAACGCCCCCGTTCGGAAAGTAGTGCTAGCGTGAAGACTACCGCAAAGTCTTCAAAGGCCAACGATGATTTTGATCCGGATGAGACGGACTACAGCAAGCTCATTCCTCAAAACTCCCCACGTCGCTCCATCCAGGTCAAGCCTAAGGACGTTAAGCTTGACGACAACGACGAAGACGACGAGGAGGACCAACCAGTCAAGCCAACTGCTCGGGCCAAGGCTGCTCCAAAAGCCAAGGCTGCGCCAAAGACTGCTCCCAAGGTCGTAGATGTCGACGACGAAGATGACGAGGATGATGAGCCGATCAAGCCAATTGCTCGGGGTAAAGCTGCACCCAAAGCCAAGGCTGCGCCGAAGGCTGCTGCTGCCGCCACGGCCACCTCGGCTCCAAAGGCCCGTGGTCGCCCCAAGAAAGAGGCAGCTCCGAAGCCCGCCCCCAAGTCCGCTCTCCCCACTTTATCCCCGGCGGCCAAGGCCTATGCTTCTAAGCAAGCCAAGGCAAGCAAGAAGATCGCAGATGATTATTCGGAGGATGACATCGATGCCATGGCTAATGACATTTTGGATTCGCCAGCGGGCAAAGTGAATGTGGATATTTCGGACGACGATGAGCCCGCCCCAGCCCCCCGTCGCGCCGCTGCAAGCCGTCCTGCTCGTCGTGGTGCCACACAGCAGAAGAAGTCCTATGTCATTGAGGATGATAGCGATGAAGAAGCGTCGGCCGATGACTTTGATGAAGACGAAGATGAGAGCGACTAAGTAGTGAAATGGTGAGGGTGGGGAAGCCCTCTTTGCAATGTTCTCCTTTTGTTTTGCAATGCTCTCTCTATTGTGTTTTTATTTTCTTTCATCTCCATGTCTTAGTTTATTGGTGTTTTATGGAGATCTGGCAGAGCCAGTGCATGCAAGGCGAATACAAGAGGTTTAATTTTTAATCGTCTCTACTTGGATCAATATTTCAGTAGCGTCTACTATGAAGTTGTAGGCAAAATACTCCATTTAACCCATTGCCATAAAATTATCAAAGAAAATGAAGTTGCATTGTAGCCTCGGACCTCCAATGTCAACCTAATCCATCAAGATCCCCAATCATATTTCGTTTGAATCAAATGAAAAGGACAGTGACTTGAACATACAAACCATCAACTTCAAGAAAAGTCAAATCACACAAACCTTCCTCACAAAATGCATAGAGACAGTACCACCACACAAAAATCCTCAGCTCCTAGACCATAAACGCCATTCCCATGTCAAATTTGTAGCGCAGTCATCCATCAAAGCGAAGCTCGACGTCGCTTGCGACTACGAGATCCGTCACCATCAAGAGAGCGAGAACCGGAAGTTGAGTTCAGGTCATCATCGTCCATCTCAGTATCGGTTCCGGTGCTTTCAAGCTCATTCATGTGCAAACGAAGAAGAGCTTCCGCAGCCTTTACCTCACGGGTGAAGTGAGGCGATGGCTCAGGACGTGCAGCTCGGGACTTCCGGCTAGGATACTTCTTGGTCTGGGATTCGGGATTTATGGAACCGTCTATGCCAAACGAAGCTTCTCCACCAAGGGTCCTCTTGAGAGGGGGTCCACGGTAGTCTTCATCGTTGGCATCGTCCATTTGCCAATCATCGTCCGAGTCAGTTAGGTCGTCGTATTCGCTTTGCATAGCAGCCACATCCGAAGTAGTTGTGGGCTCGTCAAGGTCACCGAGCTTGTCAGTTTCCATCATATGTCCATCCACAGAAGGACAGTTCGGAGTGGAATACATGTTGGACGAGCCATCGCTCTCGGTGTCGCTGTCTTCGCTGATGCCACTGGGGACATTATCTGGGCGCATAGCATCTGAGATGGCACGGAGGATAGTCCGGGGTGACTCAGCCCGCGAGCGAGGCATTGCATTGGAGCTGCGCGGAGGATTGATGGGTGTGAAGGTAGTAGACATGGGAGACTGGCTCTTGGGCGACATGTAGTAAGGCTCCATAGAGGAGTCCCGGGCACTGGGATTACTCTCGGCGTATTGGTGACGCGGGATCTTGAGTGGGGGCAGTGTCAGGGATGAGTCTTGTCGGTTCAATAAGTTCGTACGATCAAGAAGGGTATGTGTTAAGGAAGGGGTATTGATCACGGGGGGGCTGTCTGCGGTGCTAGACTTCATCTCCAAGGAGCGATAGTAGTTGGAGGTGTTGGTGGCACGCTGCACGATCTCCGGAGGGATGACCATCCGGCCATGGGTTTTGCGGTCCGTGGGAGGGATGCACATGGCCGGGAATTCCGTGCCAAACAGTGGAGTCAAAGCGTATCGGATCCTCCAGCAGAAGGTGGCTGCCATGGCTCTGGCAGCTTCGTACGGCATCCAGTATCCTGTGTGAAAAGAGAGGTTGTGAGATCTGGCTATCCAAGAAATCGGTTGGCAGGAGAAGAGGGCATAGAGAACGTACCTTGAGCAGAGAGTGCTCCGCCAGTGATGCTATGGCAGATATCCCGGAGGCCAGGGTTCTGGTTCAGCATCTTGGCTGGGGTAGTCTATGACGAGTTAGCAATCCCAAAGATATGGAAGAGCTACCTCATGAACTTGCCTTGGAGTAGCCATTGCATTTGAAAAGGTGTGTAATTCGAACAATGCCGATATTGTAGTCCCACATAACATGCCATTCCTTTTCTTCGCCGGGAATTTGGAATGTGTATTGAAAGACTAGATGGAAGAGTCAGACGTGATCATCAAAGCAGGTTCAGCGGCACATACCATGGAAGCTATCTCGCCCGGTCTTTTCTTGGAAGGTTTTCTTGTCGCTGGCATAAGGGATATGACGAGGATAGTCGGCAATGTTGCCCATGGGACGCAACGAGAGCTCTCTATGAGCCTGTTCCAGCTCTGCGTCTCTTTCCTCGCAAGGAGGATAGCGGCACTCGCCTTGGATCTTGCCACGACGGAAGACTGGGGCGTCCTTGGCCATCTTTTGCCGCTTCTCACGGGGGGCAGGGAAGGAAGTGTAAGGATGTCGCCTTTCAGGCTGAGGATTCAGAAGGGATTTGATAGATAGCATTAAGAAATTCAAGTGCTATCCTTGAAAGAAGGAAAGAGTTGAAGAAGTACGAAGTTTCCAGGGGAAAAGAAGGAGCTTAATGTCTCTTGGAACAAAAAACCGTCTTCCAGAAGTGTTGAAAGACAGAGAAGTCAAACCTGCAAGAAGAAACAAAGTAAAGCAAGACAATCCTAGACCTTTGTTCGAAGGTTTGTCTCGCACAGCTTGTAGGAGGTAAGTAGATGTACAGGAAGTGTTGTTTGTTGGGCAAAATACGGACTTCTCGAGGAGACAGAGACAGCGGTGAATACAAGAACTCGGATCTGAAAGTGTCTGACATGAGGAATACAAATGAGCTTCACCGATTTTTTACCTCTTTACCTCTCTACCTCTCTCTCTCATATCACAAGGGTCCTTGAAGTTGGACGAGTCCATGGGCTGTTTGTCTCTCCGCGTGGAAGTCAAAGTTCCAATGATCTTCGACTTTGGACTGACGATGCAGTGTTGATTTCCATGCCCCTGGAAGCAATTACAAAAAGCAAGAGAGTTTGAGACCTGTGTCTCGTATCTCTCTCGAGGCATAACTTGTTTCACATTCATAACTGCGACTACCCAAGCCTCTCACCTCCTCAAAAGAGGCCAGTGAAAGAAAAGCATGGCAACCGTTTCAGGGACCATGTGGATATCCTGAATTTCATTTGAATTTCATTTGGAAACGCAGAGAGTCACCGCTGCATGCAAACAGCTCATTACAGTAATAGGTACGTATAAAGACTTACTAGAGTTATTCCTATAGTTATGCTATGCCCTAATATCCCCGAGGTATAGAGCTCAACCGTTGTCCCACCTTTCTTTTCTTCGGAATCTTATCAAAGAACCCATGTCAGATCATCTTTGGCATTAGAACTAGAGTACTACAGCAACCGGAGCATTAGGACACCAGTTCAATGGTCCAATAAGAAGTTACATACCCCATGGCTTGACAGGAGCTTCAAAGAGGTCTCAGACCCACGGCAAGCTGCAGGGTAACTTACTCCTTGTATGACGGGAAACTGCATTGCCTAGCGAGTCCGCGAAGTGCATCTGAGAAAAGTTGTGCTGCAAAGATAAACTTCTGACAGGATCAAAGATTCTGGGAAAAAAGAAGTGACAGGGATCTTCACTTGGGTGCCACGCTTCCATGCTGATACATGTATACCCTGTACAGGTGATTTATACATTTGATAGATGGTCAAGCCAATAGTGATCTGGTTTAAAAACACTAGAGTAGTCTTTTACTCCTTAAATATCTTACTATCTTACTATCTATTGAATACCGAATCTGAAACCCTCCACACTCTCAACTAGACCGTTGATTGAAATCTGACGGCGTTGGATATAACAGAGACATGGTCTCTCCGGAGGCATAAGAGACATAATAACGATTTCAAAGAACTTTCCATGCATCCTTCTATGCAGTAGTCCGACACGTTGGTGGCTGCTAGAGCCCACTTTTCCTGCCTTTTGTCATTTATCTCTCTCTTCTGCTTGAACCGACTTAGATCATAGTGTCACACTGACTTCTCCCAGTCCGTTTTGCAATCCGCCATTTTACCCACCTGCCAGCCTAGTGTAGTCTGCATAAGACTTCCAACAGGTACAAGGGGTCCTTCCGCCAATCGGTGCCGGGCCGGGGCAGCATTACAGAGCACTGTAGAAGACGGTGCATATAGACGCCGCCAGGACGCTATTCAATCTGGTCAGAGACTGTAAAGGTCGAGGACTGAGGTGTGAACTAGATGTCAACACAACTGGGCTAGTTTTTGAGGGGGGGTGGACTCATTTGCGTTGGAGTCGGTCTGCAAAGAGTCCCAACAGCCGAGACCGATATGAGAGTTCAGAAACGAGGACTGGTTTTCAATGTCTAAGACACTCTGGTGCTGGCAAAACATTCTCTATTAAACCCCAAAGAGCGGTAAACCGGGACATGCGTGTCCCTCATCTGCGACGCGTCTCAGATCCCGAGCTTCTGGAAAAGGGGCAAGAAACCATGTCTCAATTGGGATGCTGCTGTTAGTGTTTTGGCCTTTTTCAAGCGGCTATTTTCCTTTCTCTTCATTTTTTCATAAAGTATAAGCCTCTTAGTAACATTGACTCGTTCAGGTTGCCCTTGGGGGTTTTCTCTTTTCACATGTTTATCAAGAAGTCGACAGACTCATCGTTTAGATCAGAGCTGAACAGTCTTGAAGATGCTGTGGTATCATAATGGTGATGTCTCGATCTCAACAGTGGACAAGGATGCACGGAGCGTCATACCCACATGAGCCTGCAAGACTCGATGCTAAATCCAAGTTCCAACTAGCTAAAAGACTGACTTTCATCACAAAGACGTCCAGACCTCGACCCGTTGAACACAGAATACTAACCGGACCCGAACCACTCCCCACTTGATTCAAGACGCTGGAGATTCACAACATACCCCTCACCCGCATATATCGGATAACACTGCGGAATCTGTACCACAGCCCTCGAATCCGGGGTATATGGGGCGTGAGAGGTGAAGGGGAAACACAGTTCCGAGCACGACTGAACAAGGCAAGTCTTCGAGGGAGAGGGGAATCACAATTAAAGGAAAAATAAGACCGTCACAGGCTGGCCCGAATCGCGATGCGGCGAATAGGGAGCCGGGTCGGTGGACCGGGATGAAACTCAACGGCTGCCTTGCACTGCTGGGTGATCAAGGCCACTTGCATGGAATTGTGAGCAACTACCCAAGTAGGTTGGGTCGAGGCCGTTTTTTGTCTGTGTGATATGGGCGTCATGACGCACGGATGGAGGAAGTGGAGTGGGTCTAGTTTCCTAGTGAGTAATACGTATAGAACAATTTCGTGATAGTTGCCCAGAAAGTACTCGAGGTCCTTGCGCGAGGCTCGAGGACTACAGGAATTTCTTGATTGGGAATAAATGAAAAGCCAAGTTAAGATCATGAATTTATGTAAATGTAATTTCATTAGAAACAATATGAACCCGAGAAAGACATAGACAAGGGGTGTTTTGAGAAAAGAAGTCGACAGATAAAAAATGTCCAGTGTGTTAGCGGGTGAGATAAAATAACGAAAAGGGGAAACAAGAGACATGACAGCTCATTCATTGCTCAAGAATCCTCCTTCACTTTTTGTTCGTTGACACGAGGATTTAGTGATGAGGGCCCATGTATTCCCAAGGGATCCCCAACAAGAAACAGGTGACTCAAAACTCGATATCACGTGCCATTCGGCATGGCCGGAATAATAGATATCCATTCACCAAAGAAGATTTGATTGACGCTCAAAATTTGAGAGCAACTAATATTCCTGGTTAAGATGACCTAGTATCATTGGGACCTATTCAAATAGCCAGAAGAGGCTCACGGTCACCAGCCTGCTCTGCCGGCTCCACAGACGCAACAATGTCAGACTCGAGAGCCTGAGCGATAGGAGCGGCCGTGGGGGCCTCGGGGAAGTCCTCGTGCTTAACAACGGGCTCGACAACAGGGGCAGTGAAATCGGCAATGGGCTCGACCTTGGCGGACTCGGCAACGGTCTCACGCTTGATCGGGCTCACAAGCTTGGTCGTCTCCGGGGAGGTAGAGCGGCGGGATCCGATGTAACCCTGGGCCTTAGAGCTGTACTCGCCGACATACTGCTTCATCAAGCCGGTGGCGTGCGAGGTACGCTCGCCAGCCATGTCCCGAAGTTGGTTGGTCTGGGCGTTGATGATCTCCTGGGCGTTGACAATCTGCTCGTCAATGAGCTCACGGTTGCTGATATAGACAAGGGGGGCGAAGTATGTGGTGGTCACGGCAATCACAGCCAAGCCCCAGAAGGGAACGAAGCGGATCAGCCAGTAGCCGGTGAAAGCAGCAGCGAAAGCCTGAAAAACGGTTAGTCTCTGCCTCTTTGTTCATCTTCATTCTTGACCAGTTGCAACCTACCAACATGGTGTGGAGGACATTCTCAGCAAACAGGATGCGCTGGAACTCAATCAGGAAGAAGTCCACGAGCTGCTCAAAATCCTCGAGGACAGCCTCAACGGTCTCCTTGGGGACAGTGTAGTAACGGCGAGGGCGGAATCCACTGGCGATTCCCCGCTTGAGGATAACATGGCCAGCAACCTCGACGGTGGCGGTCACTACACACAATTGTTAACCAACCACTCTGTTGACCGTAGGTCACGCGACCAACTTACCTCCCAACGACATGTACAGGAACTTGAAGGCCCAGCGGAGGAGAGGCAGATAACGGGCGGCGAAGATGAAACAGATCACGCTGGCGTAGGAAACGGCGGTCGCACGGGGTTGTTCCCACTATATAGAAACACCGAGAGATTAGCAAGCTATCCAAATTGAAGGCTCGGGCGACCACTCACGCTCAGAAGGCTATACATCAAAGAGTGGTAGTCTAGACACTTGTTAATATCCTGCAACCCAATCAATCCAGTTCTCATGACATACGGGTCAATGGTTGACCATCGGCGGTGGTGGTGGAAGGGGTCACACGCGAGTTTTTCAGATCGCGAAGCTCATCGCCGGTGCGGGATGCCTCGGACTTCACATTGTCGACAATTGGGCCTATCAAGAAACTAGTCAGCATGCTTGAGGTGGCTTCGGAGGCTTCCGGATTCCTATTTACCCTTGGTAATAACATCGCTGATGCCTGAGCGCAAGAGGGGTCAATGTCAGTCTCTCCCAAGGAATCTAGGAAAAAGAAAAGAGTACAATACTGCAAGATGACTGGGTTAGCATATTCATTAGGATTGAAGTGACCTATTGATTTTTCTTACCTTACTGCCCGTATTAGGGTAGGTCACGTCACCAGAAGCCATGACGGGTAATATTTGTGAGCACTTCAGGGGGTTTTTGAAAAGGGAAAATTAGAAAATTCGTAAGAAGCGTATCAACTGAGTCGAGGCGTGAATTCTTGAAAAGAATTTAAAGGGGGAGAGAAAGGGGGAAAATGAGAAAGTACAGAAGGACACAGAGAAAAGATAAGGGAAGATTTGACGGTTGTTGTGATGCTGTCATGTGCGTTGCCAAGACCGAACAGCTATGGATCACTTCCAAGGTTATATATGTGGTTTGGATGACGAATCTACTATTTATCCTATTAATACTTGATATATCCCTTAGTAGAACTGGAATATATTAATATCCTGATAGTCTATAGCTCTCTTATATTGTAATATATGTACGCTATACTTCAACATACATTATCATGCCACCTTCCAAATACTGTTATAACATGACTAAGTATATCGTTCTCCCGAGGTCATGTCGCTATGCACCGAAGCTATACGGAGTATATGTACTATGATATAATATAGTTATGACTTCATACACTTTGTACACCCAATCATAAGTAACAATAACAGTAAGCCACACAAACGACCTTTTACCCTAGCATAAAGCCATCTATGTATATTTGAAACAATTCACAACTATGTTGTACGGAGTAGTTATAGCACCAATTTGTTTTTAGCATGGTATTTCTGTAAGCTACATAGGGACCTCGGGAGTGCAATGATTATGTAATACTCTGTGCTCAAAAAGCGGCAAGGGGTAAGCACTAAAACGGAAAGGGAAGGCCATGTCGCGCAGGTTTGGGACCTTCTTAGGTATGTACGGAGTACTCCGTACTAAAATAGCTATAATAGCTATGAAGGATATACTATATTCTACCCAGTTATACCCGAGGAGATCAACCCTCGTATATACAAGCTTTTGAGATTTATTTCTTAGTAAAATACACCAAGTAGTATATAACAATAACAATCTCGACCTACCACTCTCTCAGCATAATTGCTTCTTAATCCCCAATCAACAACTCAATGACAATCGTTTAAGCTCGGCAGGAGATCCTGAATATGAATTTCTACAGTAGGTATACCTATAGATAGACCTCATAACCGCCCGCAGGCCCGCACTTTTACAGGCGGAGGGCAGGTTGTTTTTTTACCCTTAAAGGGCGGCCCTCTAAATATTTTAAGGGCCGATAAATAGGACAAATAGGAAAATCTCTAGAGCTATATAAAATATATATTTCTTAGCTAATTTATCTAGTATTTAGCTTATAACTTAGTATTATAGAAAATAAATATACATGTATCGTATGCCTGTCTCGAACATTCTCACAGGATCCACCACAAAAGCCACAAAGGCAGCAACGATCCATTGAACACCCTGTCCTCGAAAGACCCTGGTATGCCTTAGATCCTTCCAATCCTCTGGCCTCGTAATAACAGGCGAAACCTCTCGTAGATGCATGTTGCCCCTCCGTCCTGGGGCGGTGGCTGCATGAATCCTTGATTTGACTGAAAAATGGGCACACTTGCAAAGAGCATTCAACGTAATATGATTGCTTATCATTAACTGTATAGTTGTTTGCAGGGTGGACATTTGACCGACCTAGTCACATTCAAGTGCTAAAAAGAAGGCATCATGTTTCCATCGCTATCATAGTCTCATACTCCCTTTCAATCAATCACAAGGTATGTTCATGGGCAACCTACGCCTCAAGATTTCACGATACACCTGTGGACCATAAAGAGAGATGACTAAGACAAATACTCATTACAGGGATCCTTCAAGTGCCCCTCAATCGATATGAAATTCACTTCCGCCTCCATCGTGCAGTTCCTCTGCCTTTTTACCACTATGGTAGAAGCCCTCACCCGCTACGAGGCCACGCCTCCAAGTGACGCTATTGTCCTCATCGACAGACAGGCCCTCAACGACATAGCCAAAGATCACCCTTACGGCTCTCTATTTCCCGAAAATGGAGGGTACTACCTGAAGGACAAGGATGACGGAGTTGTTGGTATCGCCAGCGATGAGCTTTGCACGGAGCTAGACGCTGCCTTTGCTAGCGCCGAAGCCAAATATGCCCAGGAAGAGGCTGCTGACTCCCCGGCTCCAACTTCCAGTGCAATGGATGCTGCGAAGCGGGGCACCGCGCTCGCTTGCTATCCCAACTATTTGCACAATTTCTGCAGCCACCCTCGTTGCTTCAATATGGCTACTTGTCTCACTTAAACAAACTGTCATGTGTGCGGTTCGAGGAAGTATTGTATTTAGGTTTGGAGGCTTTAGGGGGGTTGATAGGGCATTGGAGGGTTCTGGGAGTGACGAAAAAGATGTGAATAACCTGTGCGAATTCTGCTTACTTTGACTTTGCGATCCAGCTGTGTCCGACTATGCTTTTATATATATATATATATTTCTATCAGTCAGAAAATCGCGAAATTTGGTAAGGCTGAGTTGAAGACCTTGGGTCCCTCTTGGTTCTTCTAAGAGTACACTTACTGGATTAATAACACTCTACTACTCTGGCAAGCGGTGCGAATAACAAATCAAGGTGTCTCTAGCTTGATCCAGTTCCTCAAAAGGCCATTATAGTACAAGAGAAGATGTACGCGGCTATTTGAAGCCAAATAGTGAGAGATTTGTTGTACTGAAAGCATGTTCTTCGGCTACAGAGAACGTCCACAGCCTGCCCAGGGCTAAGCCAGCATACGCGATCATTTATCCCCTCCTCCTGGAAAGCTCTTCGCAGCTCCTCCCCAAATTGCGTAAAGTGATGCCACGACTCGTAATGCATCGGAACCAGATAGTCGGCCTTAATTTCCCGGAATAGCTTCGCGGCCTGGAAACCAAAATTGATAGTTCACCATTTATGTAATACCTTTTTACCACCCAAGTCTCCAAAAGAATATTAGCTAATATTGTAGTGGAACCGATTTTCTCAGGGACTGATAGGTCTTGCAGCAGAATCCTCTTAGAGTTGAAAATGCATGAGTAAATATTAGCGGAGGGTAGTCGCTTTACTCTGGGCCCTGTTGAATGCGCATTTCGATACTTTAGAATCTGGAAATATCACGTCTGGTTCGCATAATCAGCAGCCTTAGTTCCTTACCAGCGTGAGACAAATCACCCTAATTCAGAAGTTGGCCATCCAGACACGATGTTAAATAAGTTTCTCAAATCACTTTTTGAGGTTATGCTCCGAACGATCGGAATGCGCGATATAAGCTCATCATTGAAATCCTCCTTTTACTAAGTGCAGAAAATATCGACCAGGTCCTGCAATCCATGCCATTGCATCCAAGGAAGCCAGATCATACTAGTTTCACAGGCAACAACCACGGGCTATAGTTTACGCGAGGATTCCCACTACGCTCGCTGATGACCTATACGATGCATGCCCACACTAGTCACCAGCCCATTCTAAGCCGTTTCTTCATTAGGGAAGTGAACGACCTGCCACTCTCTCAGCACAAGTGCTTTCTCAATCCCCAATCAACAACTCAATGATACTCGTTCAAGCTCGGCGGGAGATCCTGAATATGAGTTCCCCACTCACTCTCCTTGGAACCTAGCACAAGTTCAAGAACACCACCTTTGGTGAAGAAGTCATGGGTAATCCAATTTTTTGTCCACGGTTTGTCGTTCCACTTGGCACTCTGGATATAGATGGATTTGTAACTAGGATCGAAATTGGTGTTGCGAATAGTGGCAACCTTTCCGGTGAGGGCGTTTCGAATGCTGACTTCTTTGAAATAGGGCGGAGTGATCAGGTAAACGTCCTGACCGGGCACTGGCCACAGGCCCATCATGCTCAGAACAACAAACGAGCCCATGGCTCCGCTATCATCGTTACCGGCGATACCATTGACTGTCGTGTTGAATTGGGATGGAATGTAGAAGTGGCTTTGCTTTGCCGAGAGACCTGGCCGTCCTGAGTAGTGGAATTGATAAACGGGTAAGAAGGCCTGTTCATCTCCCACGTAAAGCAAACCAGAGTCATGGAGATAGCTTAGCCGAGAGGTGAAGGATTCAGCACCGCCAAGCGTCTTAATAAGAGCGCCCATATCGTGGGGGGCATAGCTGTAAGTAAAGCGTTAGTTACGACCATAAGAAGCAGAAAGCACAAGTGAGCACCCACAAGGTATACATCCATGCACTACCTTCATAGGTCTCATGGCCATCAGGATTGAGGTAACATGAGGTAAAGTTCAAAAGAGGACTGCAAAAGATCGGGTCCTGGTAGCCCCACGTGCCGTTCGTGTATCGAGGCTGTAGGAATCCAGTGAAGTTGGTGTCGACCCCGTTGATGCTTGACTTCTGGTCGGGCTTGAACATGTGGACCCAGTTTCCAGACCGTTTCGTGTATTTCTCATAGTCGGACTGATGGCCCATGCCCTGTGCCATCTCGGCAATGCAGAAGTCATTATAGGCATATTCCACCGTCCGCGATATACTCCGAGTGTGTGTACCTTCACCATCAGGGTCATGGTCATCAAAGGGAATATAGCCGAGACTTTGCCAGCTCCGCAAGCCACCGCGGCCTTCCACATCCCAGTTTTTGGGCTCTACCTCCGCATCCTTGACAACAGCTTCATATGCAGTATCCCAGTCGATACCCGGAACCTTTTTCAGATACGCATCTGCCATAATCACATCTGCGTTGGACCCGCCTTGCGTGAATCCCTTGCAAAGTGACATGCGACAGTCAGGCAGATACCCTTCGTGTCTATAGGTGTCGATCAAGCTGCGCATCATGAGGGATTGTGAAAAAGGATCAACCAGGGTCAGCAGTGGATGAATGCTGCGGAAAGAGTCCCATATACTGAGCCATAGTGTTAGCATGCTAGTCATCTGTTTCGAAGCGGAGTTCGCTCACCAATAGTAGCTGTCATAATACGGCTCGTCACTTTCCCAGAGGGGGTTTTCACCGGTATAGTCTTGAGGGCTGATGAATGTTCGGTATGCTCCACTCCAAAAGACCGTTTGTAGATCTGATGAAACTCCATCTGCATCTACGGAGATGACATCCAACTTCTTTCGCCAAGCAGATTCAGCAGCGGAAACGGTGCCCTTGAAGTCAAAGTCGGGTTGCTCTCGCTCCGCGTTCGAGCAAGCCTGGTGAACACTGATGAAGCTAACGCCAACGCGAGCAAGAATACTGTTGTCTTTGGGGGCGTGGAATCTGGCAAATGTACCAGCTGAGAGAGTGGATGATGCGTCAGCCCCGAGTGTCAATGTCCGCCTGTTGATGTTTGCTTGGTTTTTCTCCCAGGTGCCTGTTTCACGAAGCTCTGCTCCTTTGAAGTCAACACAGACATAGGACTTGTAACTGCCAATACCAAAGCTCGGACTGAAAGTACCGCTTCCCGTGATACGCCCAGTCGATTGGTCCACATCGGCACTTCCACTTGTTCGAGATTGCGGTAAATCCATCAAATCTAGAAGAACCACTGGACTGAGCGACTGACCGGAGGTTTTGTTGAAAGTGAACCGATATAAAGCAGATCGATTCGTGGTCGTCATTTCCGCTTGAACACCATTCGCTAATGAGATACTGAAATAGCCCGGGCGAGCTTCAGGGGACTTTCTGTCCCAGACAGCTGCTCTGTCCGATTGTTGCCAATTGCACTGGTTAATGTCGTCATGCGGGCAATTTCCTTGCGCGAAGATGGGAAAATTTCCCATTGACGGGGACTGTGGAGCCAGTCAGATATAGGGCATGATCTCCAATAGTCTGCGAAAACTTACGCCGCCAGTTCCAGAATCATGCATGTGTGAGAACCCGGTCACAACCTTGGTATCATAAGCGAAGCCAGCTTGATTCTCGCCTGTTGTGTCCGCCACTGCTTTGGCCATACCTACATTTGTTAGCCTTGCTAGATTACACGAAGTATGGTCTGCATTACCAAACGGCAAAGTCGCGCCAGCAAATACATGGCCTGTAAGAGTTGTCAGCCTTCGCTGTCAGAAATGCTCGTCCTATTCAAGACAGACCTCCATTCGCAGTGCCAATCAACGGATCAACATATTTCAATACGTCAAAATTTTCCGAAGAATCCTTTGTGGCTATCACGTTAGAAGCATAGAGGGCTGTTACGATGCCACCGAGGAGCCCCATGCGGAGGGAGGGACGTGATGGCATAATGGACCCAGGAACTATCCACGACCATACACAAAAATAATCCAATAGCTGTCCAATTTATAACTGACACGTAGAAAAGACGCGTTCCACTTCAGGATTTAAGCTCCTTATTTAGGGATTGGCAATAAGTCGCGGGGAAAGCATTCCAACCCAGATCGGCATGTGAACTGCCTTTCGAGGGAAATGAAGAAAAATGGGGAAACTGCCAGTGACATCCTTGGTATCCTTACGGGGTAGACTTTAGACCAAATGACAATATGCAAAAATTATTCACCAGTGGACGTAGTATTAACCCTCAGCCAAAGTGGTGTCACATCTACCACATCTGGTCCGGAAATACGGAGTACACCCTGCCATGCTCGTTTGCTCCCCCACATGGGGCGAGGTCAAGGAGCGAAAAGCGCGAAAATGGACAAGGAAGATACTTGAACAAGGATCTAAGGGGGGGAAAGCTCCATAACGACCTGGTTCCTCTCACTGGCTGTCGATCGTTGAGGTTGAGGGGGAGCTAATTACCCCGAGCTGCGGGGAACGTTGTCTCTCCAGGGGGACGATCCGTCTGTTCCGAGTGCCAACGAGTCGAGACTGAGCCAACGCCTTCAGAGTTCATGTAACCTTCTCCGCGCCATTTTGTGTCAAAAACATGGAGAGGGTGACGGTGACATGATCAACATTATGATCGACCGGTCGGGAACTTTTCGGCGAAATGCATCTAGAACGTCGAGAAATGATGTTCGGCAAATATCGTAGCCATTGAAAGTGATTGTGTTGGGTAAATTGAAAGCTCAAGACATCCAATGTGTGTTTTTTGCTGTAGTTACAACTCTTCATCACTACTTCCATTTCCTTGTTGACTAGGAGTCAAAAAATGCTTCGTGCAGTGAGACACGAGAAGTCAAAACATGTCAAGAGCAAGGCTGTCCCAGGCCTTGCCCCTTTGCTCAGACGCCGGTCTTGAGATGTTGCGTGAAACTGCCGAAGGGCTGGGAATGGCAGAATCTCGGGGGGAGTGCCTGGAATCAAGGTACGCTTTGATTTGCGCATTCTCGCGCTGTAATCGTGAATAATCCTCTCGGATGTTCGCCTTGTCTCGTATTGATGCGCGATTTGATTCAATCTCATTTATCGCCATTCGCAGTTGATGCTTGAACTGCGACGACTGGGCATGGTGATCTGTCTCAGCATCTGGTCGCGCTAGATATTCCAGAAGCTGGGGGTACATCTCTGCAACAGGAAATACCTCAGCTGGCGTACCGCGAGAATTCATTTCACCAATACGGTTCAAAGTAGGAGGATTCATCATTCGGGGAGCTGCTGAGGATTTACGCCGTGATGCCGTTGGTGATCTATCACAACGAATTGGAATGTTTCCAGATGATAGGTCTGAATGGCTGCTTGGGGTTGTCCCACCAGTACTTGGGGCCGGGGATGGCACGGGAAACTGGGGCGGTGCTTGATCCCAAGCTCTTGCCCGGCAAGACGGACAATGGAAGTTATTTGCAGAGCGAACCACGTCCAATAGACATGCAGTATGATAGGATCTACAGCATGTCTGGCAACCAATCAGACTGTCAGGGAGACGACACTCCCAACAAACTATATTATGAGGCTTCCCAGCATCTGCGACAATTTATTAGCAGATATCACTGGTCAATTTGATATAGCGGCACACCAATCCATTCGTGATATACACGAATTTGTTCTGGGCCTGAAAGAACAGGCTGTGTTGAAGATATTGAGCCCCATCGTATCTGATCGTGATCTTCAATCGATCGGATCAATGGAGAAGATGAGTCATATTGGCTATCAACTAGAATTGACGGTTTCCGAAGCATGATGTATGAGGATATTGTAGAAGAAAAGTAGATGACGACAGGATCTACAAGGGAAAACGTGACCGAACTCCGAGTTTCAAGCGAGAGATTGCCGACTGCTTATGTAATCTCTCCTTCAACCCGTATCTTGCATCATTCATTCATTCTAGATTTCCTGTCCTCGAATTGCATCTCCGCTCCATGTATTTTCGAGATGTGAAGTAGCTGTGTGTATTATAAAGACGCAAAGTGGAGCTTTCCCCATGACCTCAGAAATCAAGCACTAAGCCCTGGAAATTACGATACTGGCAACTCACAATGCCTGGGGTGCCATCTAACAAGGCTTGCGAGCGTTGCAAAAAGAGGCATCTCAAAGTTAGTTTGACTTCATTCGAGCATGAATTTTTACATTATCGCTAACCTGTGGCAGTGTGATGAGACTCGCCCTCATTGTCAGCGGTGCACCACCGCAGGGGTAGAATGCCCGGGGTATGTTCAAACCCGCAAATTTATCGACCAGGGAGCCACAGTAAGGCGCCGCTATGCTCCATATCAAGAGCCTCATCCAAAACCAGGCTCTGCATACAATTCAAGCAAAGTAGGTCAAACTACCAACTATAATTCTGCCCCGGCACTCATGCTTTGTGATAGGCCCCCGCAGAGCTGATATCAGACCCAACGCGGCCAAAAAGCTTACAAGTAGGACCTGATGAGCAAATTTTGCAATGGAACCAAAATCAAGAGCAACATAATCCAGTTCTTCAATTCCGGATGGGGGAGACGAGATTAAACTCGAGAGATGACCCGATGATAGTAGAGATGCCTGGTCCTTCTAGCCGCCCAGAGGTTGCTTTGGGGAGTAGCCAGCAAACAACCACACATGCCCCAGAAAGCCCAGCTATCTCTATCCCCAATTCTGTCTCTGGAATCGAGGAAGGCAGCGGGTCTACAAGAACCTCAATTTATAAGTCAAACTCACCAGCTACGGCCACAGGAGGTTTCCCGACATTTGATGATACCTACAACCCAATTCCACATAAACACCCCGATTACCAAAGGGTCATCTCTGAAAGCTCATCACATCGAAGTGAAAAAGATGAATTCCAAGATATCTTCTCGGAGCTCATGACTGGAACTGAACACGAGATCGCGTTCCTCACTCGACATTACTCGGAGATCATAGGTCCATGGTGCGTACAACTGAAATTTCTCTCTGTGTGTACAATGTATTGATAATGCAACTAGGTTGGATTTGTCGGATGCTCAGAAATTCTTCACCGTCCATGCTCCTATTCGAGCCATCAACAATCTGTCTGTGAAGTATGCCATTGCAGCGCTAGCAGCAAAACACCTCGCTCGTTTGAAAGGGGTCAAACCTTCCACGGGTGGGATGTTCACGAGCCCTGCGACTACGGAAACCTACCCAAATTCAACTCAAGTTGACTGGTTCCTCAAGGCTGCCAATTACTATTACCTGGCAGCTTCGGATTTGAATAACATCACGTCTGATGGCTATACCACTGTGTCTAGCTCGGCGATTTTAGAGTCCCCCTTTGAGATCGTTGGTCGATGGATCAGCTCTGGTCAGACTCAAGCGAACATGAAGCCCGGGAGTGAAGATCCAAACGATGTGGCAGTCATTCGAAAGACAGAAGAGATGTTGGCGACTGCTACGCTTCTCACCATGTACAGGCTTTTAGATATGCCCGGGGACGAGTGGCACATGTAAGACATCCTTCTTGGTGGTTGTTTCCTTATTACTAACACTCAGACTCAGGCAACTTGCTCGCATCCGTCCTTTGTTTGATTCTATTCTCAGTTTACATTCCGCAGCATCCGCCCTGTTTTCTCATGGTATTCAGGCTGCCTTCTGGAATTTCGCTCGCCAAGACTATCTTGGTTCTTATTTCACCCGATCACCTACACACTTCGACCCAGAGAATCTGCCTCTCTGGCGGGCAGCAGGAATTTCAATTAATGACCAGAAAGACTTCCATCTTGTCCGGAATGGGTCAACTCTATCGCAGGAAGATCAGGCTGCTAATGGCTTGATCTGGCTTGACACGAAGGTCATCAACTTTCTCGCCAGGTCTAAACAATTACAACTCGCACAGTGGACAGGATCTCCACCGGGAGCTTCACCCGAAATCCAGGGCACCACACCACACACCGCTCAACTGCCATATCCGGACACAGATACCTGGCTCAAACTATCTTTCGAGTTTCAAACATGGTTCGAAAATGTGCCCGAAACGTTCCGTTCTTCTGTGCGGATCGAACGCCCCAAGGACATATCAAAGACTACCGAAGGGAGTCACTTGCCATTCCCTGAAATCTTTCATAGTTTGACAACCTGTGCTGCCGCCATGCAACATTACCATTTCGGGCGCATTGCATTATTGCTCAATCGTCCGGCAGATGTGATCAGTGCACCGTCTACAGCCTTTGACCGCCTGCAAGGGTACCGTGAGGTCACGAAAGAGGTCGAGTTCCGATCCCGTGAAGTCAGCGGCATTGCATTAGGCCGCCCCCAGGGTGGGGTTCGCATATTCATGGTTCCGCTTCTTGTCGCTGTTGGGCAGTGTCTTGAAAATACCGAGGAACATCAGATTATCATTGATTTGCTACGGGGTGTCGAAGCTGATTTGGGTTGGACCACTGAATTTGCCATTCGGAAACTCCAGGATTGTTGGAATCAATGATTTTACTTGATTTCTGTTTCTAAATCGGGAGGGCCAATAGACTATACTGTATCTAAATTTCTATTTATCTTAGACTTAATTTCAAACACTCTTGTGAGCAAAGTACACTTATTAGATAATGATCATATCGCCGCTCGTGCTTCATCGGGAATCATTTCCGAGGTGTTGGCGACGATATGACTAGGGCTTGATGGGATGATGACATTCTTCCGTCACGCACACTCAGGGTGTGATGGCAACTTCATTCATTCCAAATCTTTGAAAGCAAGACCACTGTAACATTGTATCAAGATGAAAAATAAAGACAGTTTTCTAGTCTAGCAGTGATGAAGGACTAACAGAAACATAGATCAGCGCAAATAATGTCTTAATAAAACCAAAGAGGAGCTTTTTAGTGCAACCGACTCTTAAATCCTGTATCAAGGAATGCCTACTCTTTCATTCCATCGTTCTGATGTGAATTTCAACCCACCCCACGGCAAAGCTAGAGACATATACCATCTTCATGTTTCAATGGGGATCGTTTTGAGGACCGTGACAGATACCTTTCAGCCAGATCTGGTCCTGGTCTCCTCGGAGGAACGTTCAGACAGATACCTTTCAACGGGATCTGGATCACCGGAACCACAGGACGAAACTCTGCGGCCAGCCTTCTTTCTGTCGGAAGCCAAGGTTTGCGCGAATGGTGACAGTTCCCGAATCCTAGGGCCTTTCCAATAGAATATGTATATTGGAATGGTGAAGAGGATTGCCATGAATCCCAAGAAGGTAGAAGGCCATTCGAGATGGTATGTTGTTCCCATGTGTGTGTACACTTTATTTCGCGGTCAGGGGATATTCCGTTGTAGGATTGTGGTCACTTACTAGGCACAGAATACATCGCTGCAATACCGGCCAGGAAATCACGCGCGAATCCATTTCCTCCTGTGGCTGAGGCGGCATATGGGCCATACGCGGCAATCATGTAGTCAATTGTGGCCATGTAAATAGCGTACTTGATCACAGAATACCACATCAGTCTTGTATCAAGATATAGGGATATCCTTCACTCTTGGCTTACATTGGCAATGGCAATCAATGCCGAGAATATCATAGGCGCAATCCAATGGACATGAGGTGGACCGAGACTAGTCCACGCGAATCCAAATAGGCCAATTGTCAACAGAGGAGCCACTGTTGTGAGTTAGTAATGAGACAAATAGAACAAGTTTCAGAATGCATACCATATAGCAACCAATAAAGACGAGCTTCTGGCTGAAGGGCATCTGGGTCTTTCTCTCTAATTCTGCAATGTTTATGAATCCATGGCATAAACGAAAAATAGGCAATAAAATAGCCCACCAAGAGTCTGCATAATCAGATTATCAGAACGAGCCTAGATCCAAGGGTGTGCGCACTCACGGGAGGAAAGATAGTCCAGTTGTAATTGTGGTGAAGTGCCACTGCTTGTATACCGGCGTATAAGATTGAAGGAAAGTGAAGATGAGAGAATCGCTGAAGCCGCTGAGCAGAGAGAGGCACAAGACGATAGGCTCGCGCACGAACATAACAAAAGGGCGTATCCAAACCATGAATACCCAGCGGAAGGACATGCGAGTTTTTTTCAGCTCGTCACCACTCCATACCATATCTCCGTTCTTCCGTCTTCGCCTAGCCTCTCTCGTGATGAGAATGCTGCACCTGGTCTCTGGAATGAAGAAGTGCAATATCTGCACAAAGCCTCCAAGAATAAGCTGAAGCCAGAAATTCCAATGCCAGTCCAGGAAGGTTGCCACAAAGCCTCCGACGACTGGGGCAATGACCGAGCCTGCCACAGAGGATAGCACAATGAAGGCCACAGCATATTGTTGGTCCTCTGGCTCCCACATGTCTGCTACCATGCCAAGCGTTACAGAACCACCCGCGGAGGATAGACCCCCGAGAATGCGGCAGATAACAATGGTGCCAAAGTTGGGAGCCAGAGCGCAGGGAATTTGCCAGATATTGACGAAGAACAAGCTAAGCTGCATGATTGGCCATCGACCAAACTCTTCGCTGAAAGGCGCCCAAAACTCGCAGCCGAATGCATAAGCAATCAAAAACCCCATCTGGCCAACACGTGCAGCCTGCTCTGAGATGCTGAAGTGTGTTGAGTACAGGGTGATGCTGCTGGCATAGAAACTGGCATTGAAGTTCATGGATGTTTGGACAGCAAAGATGACGGAGAGGATGCCCCATTTCTTCCACCAGGGATATGAATATCCTAGCTTGTCGTAGCACTCCCATTCTTTCAACTCTTCTCTAGCATGTCCATCGACAGCTCCATCTGCACCCTCTTTCGTTCGGCGGCTAGGCCTAGGAGTACCCCCAGGAGAACGAATTTCACCATCAGTGTCATCTTGTTTCTCCACGTCTCCATCTGCCTGATCTTGATTGGAGAAAGGGTCTTCGTGGTGACTCATTGTAATGAAGTATCCGACAAAAATAACTCTAGAGCTCTCGGCAGAATAGCACCCAAAAGGAGAAGAGCCGCCATTCTGGGTATCAGGGATCAGCCGGGGCCCCGGAGCCTAATTAAATGCTTTTGGGGTTGTCCAGAGAAGTGCCAAGAGTCCATTACATCGACTCTGTACATAAACTATCAGTGTTTCCGATTGGGCCGGGTGACTAGCACAGTGTGGCTCGACCAAGCTTTACCAGGCCTCTTCGCGTGTTTCGTGGTGTGGAGGTGACATCCGGGGATCATGACTCTATCGATCATCATTGGGCTCATCTAAGTTCTTCCCTCCACACTCTGGGGGACTGAGAATGAGACCCCAGCCGACAGGCCGCAATTATAGTCCGATAACACAAACATTTTTGGGTCCTTGAACCTTTTGAAGAGGCGGAGATAATAGGTGAAATGGTCCGGAATATCCTCCGGTGTGGTACTACATATTCCTAGTAAGGGTGACAGGAGGGCAAGCTGATGGTGAAGCCGGAATGAAGATCATGAATGACTATGGAAAGAAGAAAGGTCTATGGATAAAAATGCCGGTAAACATGGCCTTGGGCAGCCACGCATCCATAGTCTCGAAACAGTAAAAACAGGACATACTACTGCACAATCAACCTCTAAGATTAAATACCCAGATATATTTTAACCACACTTTTCACAAGGTAGTATAGTCCATTAATGCGGAATAGCACCAAGGGGCCTCCAAACGCGCCGCGATGCCGCAGAGCATTTTTCGAGTGGTACTAAAGAATAAGCCATTGATACAGAGATCTCGAGAATATGAGAATAGCGAAAAAGGGTTAAAGCGCATTCTGCGGGGAATCCGGGGGATTATGAGCTCCACGGAGTACCATGTATATCACTTTGACTAGAGCCCTGCTACTGGTTGACTTTGAAATGCGACAGATACGCCACGCTTGTGGGCACAGGGATTTCTTTACCGTCGGTAGATGTTCGCGTTGCCTTCCCGGCCAAGTTTTGTCCTGAAAAAGGTCTAATTTTCTTTACATCTTATGTTCGAATAGCAAAGGGGCCTGGTCTGACCACGCGACGAGGGTAAGATTAGCCAACACCCTGAGAATTGCTTTCGTCTCTCCAAGTGTGACTTCATATCAAATTAAGAGTAAGGGGTAGTAAGTAAGTAAACCTTTGCGCCCCCTGTCGGATTGTGGGGGCGCGAAGGACCGTATATACAACTATGTAACCTCGGAATATCCGTGATACATAGCAGTTAGTAACTATAAGTATGTACCAATAATGCTGTGCGTGTTGGAAATTACAACGCAAAATGTCAGGCTATATATAGTGGCCGCTCTAGGTAGGCTAAGCAAAAAATGAGGTTCTTTTTAAGGGTTTAGTAGTAAAATGCCTGTACTTTTTTTCCCCACACAAAAAGACAAAAAGAAAATGCTCACACTCGGAGTCGAACCGAGGATCTCATGATTACTAGTCATGCGCTTTACCACTAAGCCATGCGAGCTGATTGGTGGAGATAATGGACATATTTGCTTATACAAACCAGTACTGAAAATAGAATCCAAGATCAGAATTATACAACTTAGAAAAGTGATTTTTACCGTCTTTGTATAGATCTAAAAAAGACCACATGAAAAGCATATGAAAGAACCAGCAGAAATAGCAGAAACACATAAGTAGGTTCTTACATATAGTTAACTTTCCTAATGTCATCTAAGGCTAACTAGATGGATCGGATTATTATAATCTTATGAAGGCTGTTATAAGCGGCCGACAATTCTTGTCTATCCATTTCACAAATTAGGTCCTGCCCCCACTTCTCTTCTTCCGCCGTCTATGTATGAGACCGAGAAGGACACAGGATATCTATTGGGCTGGGAGGGGGGAGTCTAAAAAGTCTAGCTAAAACGACGTCAAGCTTGTCTTGCACATTTTAAGCTGCTTTTACCGCCTATGCTGTAGCTATAACACCAACAAGGGAGGAAATATCTAAACAAAAGACTACCGAAAAGACGTCACAGCGCCGCGACTATTCAAGGGGGGGGGGGAACGGTACGAAAGGATAGATAAGAAGATGAAAAAAATTGAAGATGACTAGATCGGATTATCTAGTCGATATAGTTTTGGTTCTTCGACACTACCTATGGATGTCTTGGACGAGTAGGCTGGTCGGCCTTCGGATCTAGATATTGTCTATAATAGAAATAGCCTTGCTTATAGAGGGAGTACTCTGATAGATACATAAAATATTACATTGATGTCTTAGTAAGAATCGGTGCGTGCTATAGTAGTATAGGAAATAGCTTTCTTAAGCTAGTGTAGAATTGCCTGGACTGAAGGTACGTTTGCAAAACAGCTGGGCCAAGGACGACTTCGAAAAGTAAGATAATAAAATAACATATACGCAAAACTCAAAGCGCTTATATTGATATGAAAGGGAGTTCAACGCAACGCAAGGCTCAAGTGAGAAAATGGGCAAAAAATCTATTAAAAAAAAAGTCAACTAAAAAAAGACGACAAGCCGCACAAGCGACTGTTGTGTCGGGGAATGAGCAAAAAATGCTCACACTCGGAGTCGAACCGAGGATCTCATGATTACTAGTCATGCGCTTTACCACTAAGCCATGCGAGCTACTAAGTGGGAGTGGTTTATGACTTTGCCTACATAAGGCTACAAAGACAAATCCGATATGAGACCCAAAAAGAAACCCCAAAAAAAGGCTTTTTTTTTTCCTATTTTCCTACGGCTCATGAAGCTCGAAAGCCTGGCAACTCTAGCACCGTCACATGGCGGGCTATATGTCAAACAATATACATATGTAGATATGCGCCCTCAATATATCTACATATTTAGGTTTAGACAGCAAACCACACGTACGTGACAGCACCTGTTTCGCGGTTATAGAATCCTATAATAACTTTCTTAGGTTTTTGGGTTGTCTTTTATCTCATATAAACAAATAAGCGCCGAACTTCCACCAATTAGCTCGCATGGCTTAGTGGTAAAGCGCATGACTAGTAATCATGAGATCCTCGGTTCGACTCCGAGTGTGAGCATCATTTTTTATTTGTTTTTAATCCACTAAATGCTGTCTACTACCTCTTCAATTTAAACCCGTTTTTTCAGACTTGAATTATTTGCATTGTTGTGGTTGTTGGCGTGGTTTGCTTTATGGTGGTAGCAGATCGGTGATTTTGGAATACTTCGTAGTAACAGATACGTAGTATTCACCTAATTAATTGTATGGATTACTGATGTTCATTTGCTATTAAATTTACTATACAGAAATCGTAGTATCAATAAGCTATGTACGGGTGCAATTCAACGTCCGCTATAAGAGTAGAATGCATTGTCCTTTCTGTGAGTCGTTTTAAACATCATTCCCTTCGGAGAATTACTATACAGTACGGCGTCCACGGACTGGTGGTACTTATGCGATTGTATGAGTCGAGCCGTTTGATGGATATATATAGAGTAGTGTTATACTTCGGGACGGTGATCAAAAGCACGGATTCGGCATGTTGCGTACTAGATATTTCCCCGGGTAGAGCAACATATATACCCCGAAACCCCTGGCGAGTGGGTCTGATTGGGGCGAGTCATGCTCTTGCTCACTGAGCATGATCTTGGTTTCTCTTTTCCCAGAATCCCTAGGTTGTTAGGTACCCACCCCAGGTCTCGGTGACCCATCAGTAGTTGTAGTTATGATCCCCCTAACTGATTGGTGACTTGCATGTCTGTGAGATGACTTCTCGTTTCAAATAGATATAAAGAAAGTATATATATACAATAATTCATTTTCAGTTGTTGATTTAGACTTAATTTGAAGATAATCGAGTCTTCTTAAAGACTACTACTCGTGTCGCTTTTCTTTCCACTGGGCCTCCGACTGTCTAGCTACTATATCAACCTATGCAGCGCTCTATATGAGCATAAGCAGCGGGGGCCGTCTTCCTTTGAATGTTAGTGTTAGTTTTAATATATCAAGAATAGTCGGCCGCGATAGACTGGCTAATGTTTGGATTCACTCTTGGTACCAACGGGACGTGATGGCCTAATATTGATGAGACCTTTGTATTATATTTCTAATGTATGGCGTTGTATATACTTAGAAAAGGCCAATCTTCCAATAGATCTTGGAACCCGTCGTCCACGTCCCTTTTTTTTGGCTTGTTCTGCAGTGCAATCTCATATGCTCAAAAAAAGGCGACGCTTCCACCAATCAGCTCGCATGGCTTAGTGGTAAAGCGCATGACTAGTAATCATGAGATCCTCGGTTCGACTCCGAGTGTGAGCATTTTTTTGATCTTTTGCCCTCTAAATGTATAAAATTTTGAATAGGAAAATGGACGTTAGGAGGGGACCCTGTAATTACGTCAAATTTAGGGTACAAACTTGCCTGCCTGATCTCTTCCAAGGCTGGGTTAGTATATAACATACTATCTCATATGCGAGCGGGCCACCCCAACACATATTGTAGATGCGATAAGTTACAACTTGATATCTTGATGAGAATGGGTTGTATGGGAGCTTTCCATCTACCCCGGTACTTTTCGGGTGATGTCTAGCCTCTCTAAGCTGTGTAGGAAAATTCATGGCCCTGTGATTGCAATCTATATGTTTCTAGCGTTTAAAGGTGTAATTTCCAACATCATGACAACGCAGCTTCTTAGTTTATTAGAAATTGATATACAGTGGTTAAAAGCCGTATAAATAATCACATATCAAGTGACAGGGAAAAAAAAAAAAAAAAAAAAAAAAAGACTAGGTAGTTGTTGAGATATAAGGTTGTAAAATATAGTATTACAGTGTCTATGGCCATCTAATGCTTATGAAAAAGGTCAAAATAGTACAATCACACCTGTATAATGAAATCCCATTACCCACAACAGATGGTCAATTGGCCTCTTTAGCTCAGTGGTAGAGCGTATCACTCGTATGGAAATTTCCTACAATTATGATAAGGTCGTCGGATCAATCCCGACAGGAGGCAATTTTTTTCCCACAGCATCGTTTCAATGCTTTTAGATCAAAATATGCTGGCTGTATTTCTACTATTATATACATTATTTTTTTGTATATTTATGAACAGCCTGTTCCCATTCAACAGCTCTGCTCTATTTAATATCGTAGCCTATGGTCGAACCAGTGGCTGGCCACAGCTTTCTGCTGAACGTCGACATTCTCGGATTGCCCCTTTCAAACCTTCTATTCCCGAGAGAAAATGGCATCGTATCACATCCAGATGAGGTTGCACGGGCGGTATTCCCCCTCCCGGTATGATACCTAACACAGAGAATCTACCTAGGTAGTTAAAGACCCGGCAAGAAAACGAGAATGCGGAAAATGGCGAGCGCAATCCTTATTTGCACAAGGGCATACACACTATTGGATAGAAATAATATCAAGACTATTATTGTTAGCTTCTAGATTATGTGGAAGCTGCTGTCATCGAGCTCGTGTGGTCCACTACAACATAGTTGTTTTCTCAATCTCACTCAGAGTCAAGCATCTGCAGACCCCCTATACAACTTTAATGGCTAAACGATTGGGTCTTCCAACTTTGTTATTTTGATCGGTAGTTTCATTGGATTGGCTACCAATGAATGGTCTTCTTTCGGATTGGATATCCGTAAAGGACACCCGGAACAACCGCAGCATTCAAAACTCTGAAATGCATTTGCCGGAAGTTGTTCCATTTGTTATTATTTAGATCATTGACAATTTTGTTATTGCGCTTGATTACCAGTATAAGTTAAACTATAAAATGAGTACAGTCATTCCTTGCTCGACGGGTGTTCAATATCTGGTCCAGGCATAGATCATTATGGTCCATTGGATACAATACAGTAGGCATCTAGGTTACAGCCCTTCTGGATATTACCAGCACATATGCGGTTGACACTTACAAGTCTGTGGCCAGCTTGATTTTCATGTCTATCACGGTTAATAAGAACCTCTGGGGCTGTAGCATTAGCAAATTCATCACTTCGTGGGCGGAAGAATGGGGTTGTCAAGCGGATCATGTCAAATATATCTTCGATAGCATTGTGTTGTTTTTACCAATCCCCTTGTACATATGTAGTAAGACGACCAAGTCTTCGGTCAGTAAATTGCAATAGGTGTACCAAAGGCACCAAGATATGCAATGTGGAATGAGATATGGTTGAAAGAAAAATATCTTGAATGGCTTTTTGTGCTATTGTAGCTGGTATCATTATGAAAATCGAATGCAACGCCCGCTTTAAAAACACTCAATCGTCATCTTCATCGGGGTCATAGAGATCAAGGTCCAGCATCGCCTTGGGCTTTGGTTTCGGAGCGGGTACTGGAGCGTGCGCCCGCGGCATTCCAGCGGCTGATGATCCGGCTTGAACTGCAGCTTTCGCAGCCTCACCCGCCTGCTTTCTGCTTTCCGCGGGTTCCACCAGTGCTGGCGGCTCTGCAGCCCCAAGACCCTCGGCTTCGCGTAATAACCGCTCCACCTCCTTTTCGGGATCGTCACCAGCAGCAAGCTGGATTTGACCCATCAATCCCATCCGTATCCGTTCCTCCATCGGGTAGGGCATCATGTAGACCTGGCGCGTAACATTCGCGGACTCGTCCAACCACTGCGTTGCATTTTTGGTGACAGATGCCACGGGCTCTGCGCCATCTGTTGTTTGTTCTCCATTCGTCCCCGTCATCGTCACATCTTTGTCGGCGAGGGTATTTCCTTGTTCCTGCCGTTTCACAACGCCTGTTGCGGCATCCGCTGCTGCTTCGTGGTTGTATTTGCTGATGCGACGTGCGAAATCCAAGAGTAACCTGTAGTCAATCTCTTTGATTCCCCGTAGCAATGATTTCTTTCCCCCAAGGTCGTCATCGGAGTCAGAATCGAAATCGCTGTCGCTGTCGCCGTTGTCTCCACAGGCTGTGCGGATTTCTTTCTCGAAGCTTTCAATATCCCCCACGATGCCCTTAACTCGGTCTTCCAATTGCTGTGTCTCGTTTCGCAGCCGAAGGATCTTTGCGTGGTTTTGTTGGTGCTGTCGGAGGGTTTCAATGGCGGAGGTTAGCGCATCGTCCGCATCGAGCAGGGCGACAGCTGCTGCGGGGGCTCCTGCAGCAGTGGGTGAGGTTGTGAGGCTAGTTAAAAGAGCATTGAGTTTGGATTCGACATCAGTCAGGGCAGACTGGACAAGTGCGTTCATTGTTGGGTTGTGCTCTTGGGAGAGCGATAGCTCGCGCGTGGAAATGAACGGGCCGAGCTCCGATGGCGGGTCACGTGGATAGGAACATCTGAGATAATTGTGATAATTGCAATAATTACATTATGAGTTTCTGATTTTTCTAGATTTTTTGAGAGTGTATCTGTTGCACAGCTAAATTTGAGCCTTTCTCCTCACGAGTGGGGGTGACATGGGCTTCCGGGTATATATAACGATCGCCCGGCTACTTGGAAACTCCGGATTCACTCAACTTCCAACTTCTGTCTGACTGAAAAATGATCGATTCAAGCCTGTCTTTCGCGGAAGTGGACCTGAGTCCATATTTGACCATTTAGCCTCCTTTTTCCCGCCGTGGACGCGGCCTAGGGCTAATTCTCATACGACCTCGTTGTTACTCGACATGTCAGCAGCAAAACAAGACGCTTGAACCAGAACCTCTCAAAAAATAAGCAGAGGAAAGCTTCTTCAGGGCACTCATTACCGTGGATGAGAAGTATACAATTGGCATATCATCTCTACGAGAGCTCCTTCAGGAAGCTGAGCGTGGTTTAACAGATACTAGAGTGCGATGCAAAGGAAAAGGTTTGATTAATAGGTACGGCATCACCAATCTGGCTATTTCACTGGTCTACACTGACTTCCAATCAGTCTATGGACTGAAGAAAGATTATGCTCCCCAATTCGAGCATAGTCTGCAAGGTGCACTAGTTCAAGGCACAGCTCTGATCGCCGCAGTATTCTTCGACTTTTGGGACATAGAAAACCTGGGACGAGCACATTTATTATGAATTCGAAGCACGCTCGGTAGAAAAGATAATGACGACGATGGTCTCGGAGCCTTACGTGAATCATGTGCCCACTCCAACAGGAGGCATTGTACGAGCTTGTTGTCTAAGTCACTTTTATGTCAATCACGTCATCTTTAACAACCCCGATGACATAGATTTGGAGCTTAGTCGGACAGTCGGAACCGACCGTATTGTGAACGAGTTTATATTTGTCTTCACTTATGTGAAGCAGATGGACTGGATGTGGGTATTTTGGTTCCTGTAATTCAATCAAGCAATCAACTGAAAACGTTACCCCTAGGATCCCCGGAATCCCTCCTACGGGTAAGCATATCTGCGTTCCATTCACATTTGTAGTCAATATCCGAGGAGATCACTTGTTTCATGAACACGTTGCATGGGACTAGGCGACCGTACTTGTGCAGCTAGGTCTGCTACCCGAATATCTGCCCCTTCCCTATGCACTGCCCAATGGATCTGTGCCAGCGCACGGTAAACGGTTAGAGTGCCATGTGCCAGCAGCGGGGGCCGAGAGTTGGGCGAAACTCCCCTTCTAACTAGGTGTTCGAGTATAAAATTCGTGAGGTCGATGATTGAGGGATTAATCCATGTCACTGTGTAACTAACAAATGAACTAAGTAAACAACCCATGTTAGGCAACAATCGTATAACTTTCGGAAGCTCCATATCTCTGTCTGACGGGGGCGTTTGTGATGTTGCAATTCTCTCGGAGTACCCCGCAGAGTCTGTGCTCTCCAACACCTGGGCAACTCCTGTAGCGGAGCTCAACCCCAGATTTAGTGTAGCGTTGCACGGATTTGAATACAAATTCTGGGGAAGATCGTCTCTTATTGGTGTGGCATCACCGAGCCCCAAGGTGATGTCTCGCTTTGACATCATCGCGTATTTTGGTCGACTGACCGCTGACTAGATTTCCCACATTGGCTAAGCTTGGAATACAATGATTGGCAGGGAAGTCGACTAGTATACCTCTCGTTCTCTTTTGGATCCATCATACACTCCACTCGAACCTATGGGAGAAATACAATATAGATTGTTATGGTCCATAACCCGGCCTGCCTTCGGGGTTCCCGACTGGTATTAATATAAACCTAGAAGCTCTAGTGGTCCTCTTTTCCCCGCGGTTTTATTCTGCTCTTCTGGGGTCAAGATGGTCATTGTGTTACTGCTAACGCTGGCTTCAGCGTGTCTGGCCTCCATTTTACCTGTGGTTGATCTGGGATATGAGCTACACCAAGCAATTTCATTCAATGTCAGCCGAGTCTTCTTTGGTTTGATTTTCATTACTGATATTTGAAATAGAGCTCCCATGGTCTCTATAATTTTACCAATATCCGCTACGCGGCACCTCCAATTGGCGACCTGCGATTCCAGGCACCTATACTTCCAAAACAAAACAGAGAACACATCCAGAATGGTTCTGTGGGGAGAATATGCCCACAGGCAGCCCCATTGTGGTCGACAAATGTCCAACAAGCCTTTCTTTTGAGCTACTTTTATAACCAGTCTTTTTCTGTATCCACCAACATCTCTTCTTATGGGTACAAGCCGGCGGAGCAAGACCCACGCACCACTGAGGACTGTCTATTCCTTGACGTCATTGTCCCTAAAAAGATATTCGAACGCACGAAAGGTAAAGACGCAGCATCTCGAAAGAACTTGGCGCCAGTGCTGGTGTGGATTTACGGCGGAGGGTATGTGGGGGGAGACAAGGGCAGCTCAGACCCAACTGGGTTGATCCAGCGAAGTAGGCTGGGAAACAACGATGGGATTGTCTACGTTGCCTTGAATTATCGAGTAAGTCGAACGATATGACTAGCTCGGTCCTCGTGAGATTACTAATTTCTCTAAAGTTGGGTGCATTTGGCTGGCTTGGTGGTGACAGTATCGCAGCCAATGGTACCGCCAACGCAGCACTCCACGATCAGCGGTTTGCTCTTGACTGGATATATAAGAACATCCACCTTTTTGGTGGAGATGCAACCCGAGTTACAGTTATGGGAGAGTCTGCTGGAGCAGGATCAATTCTTCATCAGATCACCGCTTATGGAGGCACACGGGGTGCTTCACCCTTCAAACAAGCGATCTTACAGAGCCCGGGCTGGGTCCCAGTCATTGGCGAGGAACAACAAGAAGACACGCTGCAGCAGTTTTTAGGGATTCTCAATGTCAGCACGATTGAACAAGCCCGGAAATTGTCATCCGACAAATTGATCGCTGCCAATGCGTACCAAGTCGCAACCAAATCTCAGTGGGGACAGTTCACATACGGTCCCGTTGTGGACGGTAGCTTTGTGCCTGCTCTGCCAGGGCAACTTTTGCTTCGAGGTGATTTTGATCACAACCTGAACATCATGGTCGGGCATAACGCGAACGAAGGGTTGGTCTTTACTTCGCCGGACAGCGTCAATAGCACCGGTCTGGCAATTCAAATGAAGACCTTGTCACCGAATACTCCAACAAACGTGTCCGACTTTGTCTTGGATGTTCTCTACCCGCCGGTCTATAACGGCTCCTATGGGTATACCGACTCGGTCGCGCGCACGGCGCTTGCTATCTCGGATCTCATATTCCAGTGCAACACCGATTATATCAACCGTGCTTTCTACAATGAGACCTATGCGTATGAGTTCAGCATTCCACCCGCGCTACATGGACAGGATGTCTCGTACACCTTCTACAACAATGGGAGTAGCTCTTCGCTCTCGGGGGTCGCTAATGTGACGGTGGCGTTGGCTATGCAGGACTATTTCACTAGCTTTGTCCAGCACGGTGAACCGAAGTCCCATCTGGCACCGGTCTTCAGAAAGCATGGTCAGTATGCACAGCTCATGAACATTGGCAATCATACCATCCAGCCGACGCAGGATCCGACCAATAATGCACGCTGTCGGTTCTGGCAGACTGCGCCCTATTATAAACCGACCTGAGCGTGTATTGTCCTATAGAAACGATTGTACATAGGATGTTTAGTAAATAGTCGAGGCTAATTGGTGGAGATTCAGGGGTAGAATGGCAAAGTATCCTTCACATACAGACTCTGTACGAATTCCCCTTGGTAAATTGAGGCTGGAGTACGGAGTAGTTATGACAGAAGTAAACTTGAAGTCAGACATGGATATTGGATAAAATTACCGACAAAACTTGGCACACAACGTTATGCAGCTCGTATTATTTGATCCGTGCCGGCACCGGAGATTCCCATTGGGAGAAGCGCGATTACACTAGAAAATAGGACCGAGGCGTCAGAGCTAAAGGCTTTCCACCCCAATAATCCCAAGAATCCCGGCATGACCAGGGGTTTTGAAGCTCTCTGAAAAATGTATATATATTTTTTTATCCTATCATACTCCTTGGCCAACGCCCATAATCTCCTAGTGTCGGGGCCATACAGCAAGCATTTTCAGGGTCCAAAGATATATGAATTTTCAATCTTTACGGGACGATAACTCGTGTCTGCGATTTTTTTTATCACTTGATCACTTGCTACGTTTGGGGTTGGCATTCGAATGTCTTGGATATAATGTCGATCTATAACCGTAGAGGGTTTGGCATCCACGGAGTTTATTAGAATAGAATAGATTAGATTGGCGGAATGTCAGTTCATTACACTAGAACAAAGCCCGTTAGTGTGTTAATGTCACCTGGAGAAGCTAGGCCATAAATATGGAAGGGAATTGGGGGAGTCAAAAGGTATACATAGAAAAGTCGCCTTCACAGATTGTGCCGTCCAAACTGAGAAGGGGAACAAAATGTCTACGGAGTACTCCGTACGGAGTATAAGGTAAGGAAAGGAAAAAAAAAAAAGAAAAGGCGTTTTGAGACATTGCGCATGAAATTTCTTTGTACTCCATTCCGTACTATGTCTACTCCGTACGGAGTAAAATAATTGAAAATGGCAGAGTCAAAGATACTAAGAATAGCCCTCCTAATAATCCAAGTAAGCCACTAAAAGCGAGTGAAACATGCTCAAGTGGGGGCCAGGAACCAACGCTAAGCTTTTTCTTTTTTCGGACAAATGTACCAAAGTATATTCCCCAAGGCAGCTACTTATTATTTGTATATTCTTATATTCTTATATCCTTATATTCTTATTTATTATATTCTTATATCCTTATATATTATAACTACGGAGTACTCCGTAGTATAGAGTATATTAAACCTACCCTACGGAGCTTAAATATACTTTATATTAATCTCTTTTTTACCCTCTCTTTTTTTTTTCTCTTCTCCCGTCTGTCTTTCACTCATTTTCATTCACTTTATCTCCAGTCTATCTCTTTACTTCATCTCTTTTACTTCTTATCCCAATTTCTCACCATGAAATTGCTGTGCGCAATCCTCTGCCTAGGCAGTACACTCGCTTCCTCCATCCACGATTCTCATCAACTCCGACTTCCTTTCGTTCCTTCTTCCGACAACATTGAAGATGGTGTCCGATCAAGACTCGTGAGTGATATTTCATCAAGTTCATCGCTACTTTACTAGTATACTAACATAATAAAGTCCATCGATTTGTCCATTCAGAATGGAAGCCTATACGCCAATGAATATCAACTCTATCCTCCATCAGCGACAATGCAGCTCAATGCGCCCCTCTACGAAGTCACAGACCGAATTAATCCCAGTGACAAAACTGCTGAATTATCCTACATCCTCGAGACCCAACCACTCCCCACAAACGAAATCGGTTCCATGGCGGATATGATCCGCGTGCGAGTCGAGTTATTCGATCTACAGGGCAACCTGGTCTCACCGGACGCCGTAATCGTTGACCTTCACGCCTACCAAAATGGAAATTATGGCATGACCCGCATCCGTGTCGAACCAGCCCGCGGCAGTGACCAGGACGGGAATTTCTATCAAAAGAGCCAGGCATGGGTGGTGAATTACTGGAGGACCCAATTCGGTTCCGTTTTCGAGAAGCCTAGAAGCAAATCCAGGACCACGGAGCCAACCCACGACTCAGCCCCGGTTCCGAAATCCCCCCACAACGGTGCTATCAAGGTCATCAACAGTGGAACCACAACGGAATCCAAGAGTCGTTTCTTTTCCTTCTGGGCTACTCCGGCTCACCTCCACCACCACGCTGAACACCGTCGTCCTCACCACAGCCACCATCACAAGAACTCTTTTATGCGCATCATCCGTCCCATCATTCTTCCTGCTTTGTTGGGTACTGTCGCTGGGCTAATGGCTTGTTTGGTGGGATTCTTCGTCGGAAGCCTGCTGATATCCTTGGCGGTGCGCCTTGGATGGCAGAAGGTACTAGGCGACAGATCACGCATTATCTCGGTCGAAGAAGGCATGGTTTCTGAAAAAGTCTCCATGATGCCACATGTTTACGTGACAGACACATCCGAGTCGAATGTATGACTTGGTCTGGACGATATGGGCATCTGATTTTCGGCTTCTTTTACGGCGTTTTCTTGCATTAACATACCCTCATACCACTGTTTTTCTCTTTTATTTCTGTTATCAATATCTCTTATTACTGATCTGTATCTATGAGTCTATTACGCGCCTGGAAATGAGCATCATTCGAATGAAACATACCCAACATTCACTATTTCCCATCTAGTACACATTTTCGCTGATTTGCACAATAACAGCGGCCGGCTGGCCCAATGGCAAGGCGCTTGACTACGAATCAAGAGATTGCAGGTTCGATCCCTGCGTCGGTCAGTTAACTTTTTGCTTTTTGTCTGTTCTGATTTGGCCAGATGAAATTTTTGGTCGGATCCACCGGACCCAGCCCGAGGCGGTTCGGCATCGCCGAGAGAGGATTTACGGATGTTAGGCATCTGTATTGTTTTTGCATTGCTACTTACGGAGTAGGTAATAAAGGTATCCTCATAGGCTTCAATTTATGTACAAAGCAGTTCCATTTAACACAAGCATATTGAGGTTGGTTTGATTTTTCTGTACAACATACGGAGTAATGGCCCACATTTCCAATTTTTTTATGACCTGGGATATAAAATATAGTTATCTAACTGCTAGTATATAACTACTACCTAGGTACATCCATGGATATAACATTGAATCTTATATAACTTGTAATGAACAAAAATCATACCGATGCCATCAATACTTGCGATCGAACCACATCTTCTCTCCTTCCAAAGCGGGCTCCACATCCATGCCCATTGCCGTGGCAATTCCATTAGAACCCACTATGAATTCTATCGAGTAGTAATCAGACAAAGATCCAATTTTCCTGGGCTGGTAGTGATGCGCCACAAAGAACTCCCCGCTGACATGGGCGAGAGCGATAAGGGAAGGTACAACACGGTCTAGTAGATCTGCCACCAAACACCCATCTTTGAGAGATAAAGTGATAGAACCGTAGGCAAGATGCTCGTATTTTCCTGCATACTGGTTCAACGGCAGAGAATGGGAAATAACAGGATCGGGCAGAGATGGATAAAGCCGTTTGATGGCTTCTTCCATACACTCGGACTTGGCTCCGATCTTCCTGTTTTCTGCTTTTGTCGCCGGTGCCCCCGAGCATGGGATCCCTGATCCACCAAAAATCTGATCCAGAAGGTGCATGTAGATCTCCACCTGCGCATTCCGAGCATTGGTCGTGTTACCCATCATGGCAAAGCCAAAGCCCTTACTTGGTAGGAAGCCTATCATGATGCCGAATCCGGGCCAACTTCCGCTGTGCCAATAGAAAGGCTCACCGTCGTAACTATCCACAAACCATCCCAGGGCATAGAGATGGCATGGGACCGGAGGGGGTCCGACGAGCTCATCCCAATTCGTGATCACCGTGCGCGGCTTCAAGAGTTCTGCGCGGCTTTGTGGAGAGATAGGACCCTTTTGATATATCATTGCGCGTAACCACTTGGTGTACTCAAGTACGTTGCTCACCATGGCACCGGCGCCAGTCAAAGCGACATCGTTAATGTATGGTTCTGCAATGTAGGTGTTTGTGTCTTGGTCCCAGGTGTAGCCTTGCACGAGTCGAGGACGAAGAGATGGGTCTCGCGAGACATCTGTCACAGAGAAATAGGTATCTTTCATTCCCAATGGATTCCAAATGCGTTTCTTGAGAGTCTCCCCGAGAGTTCTGCCTTCGATTTGTTCCAATGCATGAGATACCACCATATACATGTTGTTGTTATAAGAGAAAGTAGTGCGGGGTGCATAGGCGATAGGAAGATATCGCAATTTTCGAACTGCTTCGCGCAGGGATCTCTGAGGATGCGCTAAATTCAAACAAGCGTCGTGAGTTGATAGCCCTGAGCGGTGCGATAGAGCATCTTCTATGGTAGTATGCATTGTACTGTAATCGTTCTCCAGCACAAAGTCATCTCTCAGTATGGAGGCAATTGGTGTATCCCAGCGAAGGGGGGATTTAGTATTCTTGCTATCGTTGATGGCGAGAGACATGGCCGCTGCTGTGAATGCTTTAGTGGTGCTACAAGTTGAGAAAAGAGAATCGGTAGTCATCTTGCGATCAGGAAACTTGGCGAATCCATACGCCTGAGATGAAGTTTAGTCCTCTGTCATCATCAACTTGGATTATTAATGGATGCCCCCATACTTTTGACCAGGTGCTGGAGCCATGAACCACGGCCATGGATAGCCCGGGGACTTTCCATTTGTCCATCTGCTGCTGTACCAAGGCATCGAACTCCGAGGTCAATGGCGAATTTGTACTTCTGAGAACCATTTTGATAAATAGGGCGTTTTGCAGTTGTAATAATTGGAAAAAATCTAGGTAGCTTTGGAGATTTGAAATCGGAAGTTGGAGAGGGGAAGTCCAGATAAGCGCCTTGGTCCAGGCAGTAGCGTTGGATTCAATGTAACGTCAATATTACTAGTACATGCTGGACTTGCCAATTGGCCCTATTTTGTATTAGAGAATTTGGGATGACTATGAGATGACAGACCTTTGCCAACATCGGGTTCTCAGCCCTAATAGGGAGTCCGGGGTAGCTTAGCCTTGAGGGTATAGGAAGTCAGGGATAGCGGTATTTAAAATTTGCCAAGAGACCAAGACAAAACTCTATGCAGGTTTCCAGGTAAACTGTATACAACATACTGGCGTTGACATCTGCATGAATAGGAGCTTCAATTGTTGGAGGCTGGTTAGACAACAGCGGGAACATGCCGGTGAGTACCCGTGAACGGAGTACTCCGTATAGCTGAATTTACTACTCCATACATACATGTGTACGGAGTAAATAAGTAGACATAGACATATGCTGAACTTGCTTAGCGTGTAATCCTGGACTGGACTATATTAAAATGCCAACAAGATGTGGGATTAGGGAATATTACCGTAGTCCATAGTTTTACGTGACGTCAAGTCCGGTGTAAAACTATGTCGCGAGGGGACTCCGTACAGCCTTTAATATTATTATACCATAGGGAGTACGGAATGAATACTTCGTAATACCATGTGCATTATCTTTATGTGGAGTACTCCGTATCTCACATCCAATGTGGATGTTTGGTTTCGATGTGCGAAAGATTTTAATAGTTTGAAGGGGGAAAAAGGGAAAAATACAACACAGGAAGGAGAAGATGCAAGTCAAATAATTATTCTTATGTATCTCAAATCCCCCAGTCCCTTTCCTGGGGATATCCCTTGACAAAACCTGAAACAAGCCTTGGGGATCAACTGTACAAAGTACGGAGTATACACCGGAGTACGTGGTACGGAGTACTCCGTCCACAATAAGAGGGAGAATATAACATACATGATAGCGTTCTATAATATCTCTCCGTAATAATATGTGTTGTAGTTCGTCATAGCCCTGGAGTAATGATAAGTGTGGCTGAACACAGCCACAAAGGTGGCACCCCCAGTCAAACTGAGTTTTCCAATTTCAATAGTGCGATCGGGATGTCTCCTTCAGATTAGTCCCGGCTTGACCGATTTGGATCTGTCGATCTCCACCTGTTTGGACCTTGAAAGGTACACCATGGAGCACAAATCGGCGAAACCGAAGAGGAAACCGTGGAAACCGCAGGAACCACTATCAACTTTGGTTTACCCTTAACAATGTAGCCATTCGGAGGACTCCATCGGCAGAATGGGAGGGGTTCCTAGGGTTCCTAATAATGGAGAACATCGTGGAAAAGCCCCCCCAAAAAATATGAAATCCAATTCCTGATGGGGCCCCTTGGCGATTGGATGAACCTATGAGATCGACATGGAGAAGGGGTGCGAGCTATCTCCGGGGCGATCATCCCCCATTTCAGAGAGCAGATCCAGGATTTACATATTGTGATGACTTCATATGGGTCAGGCCATTGATTCTCTCTCCTCTCATTGCCACGTTGGGTAGCATAACAATCACAACTGGCCCTGCGAGGCAATCCATATCTGCATGATGATTGGGCTTTACCCTACGCTTCATCCACTTTCTTCCTCTTTTGTCCATTATGGAGATTTCAATTTATAGTCTGGGGCAGGTGGCTGGTGAGTTTCGATGCAGAGTTTGTTTTGGTCTCCCAGAGCTCTCTTATAAAAAGACCCCCAGCTCCAGATTTCTTTCAGTTTCCACTTTTGTCATAAATTTCTTCTTTCGTACACGCTCACCTCTACAATCCTCAATTCCTTTCTCCCTAATCTCCAATCATGAAGTCTTTCTCCCCCGTTGCTCTGGCCTTGATGGCCGCCTTTGGCATGGCCGCTGCTGACCCTTCTGCTTCTGACTGCGCTGTGAGTTCAATTTACTCCGTCACATATTGAATTATCCGCTCAATGCTAATCCCATCGCCTTTATAGACCATGTGTCTCTCCAACATGAGCGCCCAGGCCTCCGAATTGGGTTGCAAGGCTGGTGACCTCGCCTGTCTGTGCAAGAGCAACAACTACAAGTACGGTATCCGTGACTGCGTCAAGGAGGCTTGCCCTAGCGACGATGCCGAGAAGGTTCTCGCTATGGCCGTCGCCAAGTGCCCTGGTATGTAACTAGAATTCATAATTTCCCATCACTTGATAAAGTATACTAACATTATATTGCAGGCGGTGTCGCTGGCTCTGATGCTAGCTCTAGCTCTGCCTCCGGATCCGACTCCAGCTCCACCTCTGGCTCTAGCTCCGGTGCTGGTGGTGACTCCACTGCCACCGGCTCCGACGCCAGCGTGACTGGCACTGGCGCCTCTGGCTCCAAGACTGCCACCGGCTCTGATGCTAGCGCCACTGGCACTGGCGCCTCTGGCTCCCAGACTGCCACCGGCTCTGACGCCAGCGCCACTGGCACTAACGCCTCTGGCTCTGGTGCTAGCGGCTCTGCTACCAACACTGGCTCCGTTTCCACTGTTACCGTAAGATACGCTCTATCTTCTTTTTGAAAACCACGCTGACCATATTTTTAGAGCACTGATGCCTCCGGCTCTATGGTGACCAAGACTAGCACTGGCGCCTCTTCCACTTCCACCGGCTCCGGCAGCGGCTCTGAGTCTGGCTCCAGCTCCAGCTCTGACTCCGGCAGCTCTGCTTCTAGCTCCGCTGCCGGCTCTGCTTCTTCCACCACCAGCGATGGTGCCGCTGCCTCCATGGCCACTGCTGGCACTGGTGCTATGGGTGTCCTCGGCATGCTCGCTATCCTCGCTCTGTAAATTTCCCACATTTAAAAGTGTAGAGTCCGCACTCTCCACGTTAATTTATGGGTTATGATTCTTGTGTGGCCGTCTTGGCTTGTATAGGTACACTATGAAACAGGTTCATGATGGGTACACTCATGTTTTGTCTTCTCATAGCTCTGAGGAGCTGTTAATTTAATGTCAATCGAGCTTAATGAATGAAATCTATATTATGACATTTATCCTTACATTCTCTGGGTGTTTATCAAGTACTGAATGGTTGAATAATAAATCAAACCATTTTTGTACATCCGAATGATCTGAATTAAATGACTTTGATAGCTATAGATTTAACCGCATGGATCTAAGGGTGTACAATACTATGATACATACCAATATTTCTTGTTAGCGTCCCACTGATAAAAGCATGTGGATTTCCATGTGATTGCGACCGGTGTAGATTGTAGCCATACCTAGGTATTTCCACGTGCTTACATATCAGCAACGATGTACTACGTAGGCAGTTTATATCTGCCATGCATCTAGGCATTTTAGGAAGGGCTATGTAGAGACATAGTAATAGAACCTAATCCTAACACGGCCATCCTTTATTCCGCGGGGGAAATGCGGAGTGGTTGAGCTCGCCCGTTCACCCGGACTGAAGCACTCGGAGGTCACCAACATTATAAGAAGAGCATGCATAAATTAATTCTCATAGGAAAATCGCCAAATCATTTCAAAAGTCTCTCCGATATCTAGTATATCTAGTACTACAGTATTCGTACTACGTACTATAGACTTCCTTTTTACGTGAGATCTACTGCGGGAATTCGGTTTCTCCGCTGCCGAGCCGAGGCACACCTTCGTCCGGGGAAGACCAGTCGGCTTCGGTCTGTCGGTGTCTCCATCATTGGAAGATCTTCGGTCATTTTTTCTTATTGGACTTTTAATTACTTTTACACCTTACCCTTGGTGCTGGCCTTTTGCTTCTTCCTTTTCCTCTTCCTCTTCCTCTTCCTTTCTTCCTCATCTCACATCTCCATCCCTGTCTCTTCCCCGCCCCGCCCACAATGTCCGCCTCTACCTCCCCCACCCAGCAGCTGAAAGAGGAGATCAAGGTCGTCGAGACCAAGGCTGTCAATCAGACTGTTGTGCAACTGCGCTCCCTCGCGGCTGGTGCAGCTGGTGGTCTCTGCGCTGTGGTCGTCGGACACCCATTTGATCTGGTGAAGGTCCGCCTGCAGACGGCCGAGAAAGGCATTTACTCAGGTGCCATGGATGTAGTCAGGAGGACAGTTGCCCGTGAAGGTTTAGCCCGAGTATGATTATCACAACCGCGTTGAATATTAGCGACCGAACTGACAAATGGTTTCGTAGGGATTGTATGCCGGTGTCTCCGCACCGCTTGTTGGAGTTACTCCCATGTGTAAGTCTCCGGCATTAGCTGTATTGGACTCTTATATGAGCGATTGGTCGAATTATGAGCTAACCAGTCCTCTCTCACAGTTGCTGTCAGCTTTTGGGTGCGTTTTTGCTCTTCTTTTCTCTTGGAGCCATAGCGAGCCGCGATTACCTAGTCGCAAGCGATGCTAACAATACTTTAGGGTTACGACGTGGGCAAGACTCTCGTGAACAAGTTCTCCACCGTCCCCGTCAAGAACGACACCCCGCAGTACTCCATTGCACAGATCTCTTCTGCGGGTTTCTTCTCCGCCATCCCCATGACCCTGATCACGGCACCCTTCGAGCGTGTGAAGGTCCTCCTTCAGATCCAGGGCCAGAAGACTCTGGCCCCGGGTGAGAAGCCCAAGTACTCTGGCGGCATGGATGTCGTGCGCCAGCTGTACAAGGAAGGTGGTGTTCGTAGCGTGTTCCGTGGTAGCGCTATGACGTTGGCGCGTGATGGTCCCGGTTCGGCCGCCTACTTTGCGGCTTACGAGTACATCAAGCGCACCTTGACTCCCAAGGATGCCGAAGGCAATGTGACGGGAGAGCTATCCCTATCTGCCGTTGTGTGTGCTGGTGGTGCTGCCGGTATCGCCATGTGGATTCCTGTCTTCCCCATTGATACCGTCAAGTCCCGCCTGCAGAGCGCGTCAGGCAAGCCTACCATGGGTGGCGTTATTCGCTCGGTTTACGCTAGCGGTGGGTTCAAGGCCTTCTTCCCTGGATTCGGACCGGCTCTCGCCCGTGCGGTGCCTGCTAATGCTGCCACTTTCCTCGGCGTCGAGCTGGCACACAAGGGCATGAAGAAGCTCTTTGACTAAAGTTAAGAATATGTTTGTGTGTGTACATACCATGATTGATCTCTTTTTGCAGCGTTTTGTGTCCCATCCACGGATGGTTATCTGTGACCATGATTTGACTTTGATTGGTTCGCATCTTTCTGATCATGTCTTGTGTCATTTTAGATCTTTTGTTGATTTCCAATATTCTATAGAAAGGCTTTTTTTTTGTGTGCGATTGCTGGGAGTTGGCCATATCACATTAGATCTAGAATGTGTGCAGACTTTGCCCATATTGATAGATTAAGCAAATTTTGCTAGCCAATACAATTGACTTAGGTATAAGCATTTATCAATCGCATATAAGCAGCATATGCACTTTTTGGCTGAGACAATTGAGGCTCAACAATTTTTTTTTTCCCGCTCCATATCTGCGCTATATCCGAACGGAGTTAAGGGGGGAACCTTGGAGGGATTGGGCGATCAGCTATGGCCCCCGACATATTAGCGCTAAGTCCAAGCTTTAGAGCACGCTCATAGGTGAGGCTCGGGGAGGGGGGGGGGGGGGNGGGGGGGGGGGGGGGCGATGCCTGCCTGGTCGGGAATTAGATGCCGATGGTTTAAGGGGGTTCTATATTTATACCATTCGGATTATTAGTTGGACTTTTGAAAAGTAAATAGTAAGAGCAAGTAAAGTGTTCAAGTTCCAACTATAACTACATAGTTAGTTGAGCATATGCATATGTTGAAATGAGGCTGATCAAAGGGGGTACACGACAGGTACCTAAACTTGTATGTCGAGCACCCGCAAACTCCAAGTACTGTAAGAGTATCCGTCGACTCCGGCGCTAGTGGCCTGCTGCCTGCCTTTGTATCAAATAAAAGCCATCTTCCCCTCCATCTCATCTTTGCTCTTCCAACATTTCCATCTCATTTCCATCTCATATATATTTATATTTTCACCAGTGTCGGCTTCACTATGTCCGTCACTAATGTCCTGATGCGTCGGGGCACCGAGCTCGCTGTAACTCACATGCAGTCGGGTAAGCCTGAGCAGCAGCCTAATGGAGGCTTGGTGGCTCTGTTTGCTATCACTGCCATCTTGATTGGCCTTGCTTTCTGGGCTGTAAGTAATACATTTTTCCAGATATAATCTCGTGGAACTAATACCCGACAGGTTGAATATACCTACGGAATGGTGATCTCCACACTAGCCGCAGTTGAAGATACCAACCCCGATATCTACGTGCGCATTGTTCCCAATCCCGATACCATCAAGCCAACCGACGAGGAAGACCCTGAGCTGGTTGCTGCTACTCCTCCCAAGCCCATCACCAGCAAGCTGCGCACTACTGTGAAGCACCTGCGTTCCCGTGCTGGCTTCTGGTCTCGCTTCCGTGGAATGGGCATGTTCGTGGCCTACACCGCGGCTCGTGGCCTCCTGTCATCTTTCATCCCTGTCTCCTCCACTTCATATCTGGGCCAGTTCATCGTTCAGTCCATCCTGAGCGTTCTCCTGGCTACTTGGCAGATGGCCTGGGTGCACATTGTCATCTCTGAGCCCTCCCCAAAGCGCTTCTATCAGCGTATCCCCAGTTATAAGACTTGGATTAAAATTGCTCCGGCTGCTGCTCTCCAGGATGTGCTCACCGCTGCTGCTTTCTTCATCCCCATGGCCGTTGCCAATTTTGCTGGCTGGCTCGATGTTGCCGGTGATCAGGAGGTCCCGCCTCTGGTGGCCCTCTACCGCTTCATGGGTGTCAGTGTGATTCCTGCTATTCTGGCATTCCTGATCTCTATGCCTGCTCGTGTCATCTTTGTCCGTGTGGCTGCCTCCATGCTCCCCGAGGAGGATGAGACTATTGTGCCATTTGATCGCTCTTTCGGCGGCAAAGTCAGCCCTGCGATCACCGGTGGCAGTGGAAAGATCGGCCTCATGGATGCATGGACTACATTTGACTGGGCTGCCCGTGTCCGCTTTGCCAAGGTTATTGGTAAGACCTTTGCTATGGAGGTCGCGCTTGGTATCTTCGCCACTCTGGTACTTGGTGGTCAGGTCTTTTGGATTTTCAAGACTGCCAAGCCCGTTGACTCTGATGCTCCTGGGATGCGAATTAGCTGGGAGTAAAAGAACCATGGAGATCCGATAAATCTCAGGTGGTAAATTGTGAAGAATGCTGGGATGTGTGTGTGTGATTGATGCTTTTGCTATATCTATATTACTGGGAGAGATTGAAATGTTTGCCCCATATGATAATGTTTCAGTATCATGATGAACTACGATATCCAAACCTCATGAAATTTCATGACATTCCAAGGTCCTCAAATTAGGCCCATATACATATACACCTGGGCAACAGTAGCTGATTACGTGCCCATGGTGTATACCGCCTCCCCATTCAGCCCATTTAAACCCCGCTTGAGCCTTACCGCTTTCATTTCTTTTTGCGCCCCTCACCTTCTCCTCACCTTCTCCTCTTTGTCCTCCTTTTGACATTGAAATCGGCTTCGGATATCGACCAAATTTTACATCTCTATCTGCTCGCTTTCTCTTGTCCGATAATCAGCATGGCGACTTCTCCCGCCGGGCGCATGCTGTCCCGCCAACTACAGCAGATGCAGTCCGATAAGGACATCCCCGGCATTAGTTGCGGCTTGGTTGATAACAACGTTTTCGAATGGGAGGTTATGCTCATGATATCAGATGATGTGAAGCTGTATGGAGGTATGTCATGAACTCGTTATATCTGGATTTTTAGGTCGAATTCCTGGGCTGGTGCTGTGGCAAACACACCGCCGCCTGGAGAGATATGTTGTCCTGCCGCAAGTGGGTTGAAGAATACTGACAAGTTTGCTTGCGTAGGTGGTTTCTTCCGAGCTCGTCTCTCTTTCCCAACAGAATACCCACACCGGCCGCCAAAGATGAAGTTCGAATCTCCTATCTTCCATCCAAATAGTATGTGGTTCCGGTTGTATCATTTGTCACAGACAATTTACTTACAAATTACTGCGCTTTGATAGTTTACGAGAATGGTGACGTCTGCATTTCGATTCTGCACCCACCCGAGGAGGACAAATACGGCTATGAGTCTGCTGCAGAACGCTGGTCTCCCGTGCAGACCCCCGAGACTATCCTCCTATCCGTCATTTCTATGCTTTCCAGCCCGAATGACGAAAGCCCAGCGAATGTGGAGGCTGCTCGACTATGGCGTGAGGATTCTGCGGAGTTTAAGAAGCGCGTTCGTCGGTGTGTTCGTCTCACGTTGGACGACTAGTACACGATTTAATTATTCACGGCAATTTAAGATGGCGGGTTATGATTTGATTTAACATGGGGTTGCCGGGGTTCTTTTTTTTTATTTTATCTTTCTCTCTTTCTTCAATGTACCGCGGCGAGCGGTGGTTCTCTTCTTTGCATAGAGCGAGCAATAATTTGCCATGCTCTCGATCTCAGGTTCCTTTGCGGTGCATTTCTTTGCGATTTTCATGAGGGCTGGAGTTTCATCCTGACATCTTTGTTTCACTGGTTTGGGATCAAATCTATTTCCGAAGAAACTTCAGGATATTCAACGTAAATTAAGCACAAATGTAGAGTGGCTATCGATCCTTAGATATTCATTCATCACACCCCGATTAAGCAGAATCTAAAAGAACGCCGAGAGAACACGCCAAAAGAGAAAAGAAAGCGATTATGTGTGGTTCTTGGGGGCAAAGCGCAGTGATGGGAGGAAGATTCCGGGATGGAAGATGGTAAAGGCCAGACAGGCCAGAGCAATCATCCTAATCAAAGGTCAGATAAAATTCCCAATAGCTTTGAAAGTAACCAAGAGACCACTTACATTCCATCCAAGACAAGGAACTCATTCTCCTTCTGCATCAGCGGGTTTCCCCAACCACCAGCCATCTCCGGGATACTAGATAGCGAGGTCAGTAAGGTGCCTTGAGGGTTTGGACTCAAACGTTGGCTCATACCGGTAAATGCACCGAATCAAGACCGTAATATAGGCGAAGACCTCGGCACCCACGACGAACGGCATCCACTTGGGAACAATTGGTGAAACATCGAGGTTCTTCTCACCCGAGAACCCATCGCCATGTTTGAAGATTCTCCAGAAGAAGATGACAGCAAAGAATCCACATACAACCATGGTCGCAACCTGGAAAGCGATACCAGCGATGATAATGTTGTCGCCTGCTTTGAGCATTGCAAAGTCGTCATTACCAGCAGCCGCAGCGACACCACCTCCCGCAGCCTGCAAAAGGAGAGATCCAATATCGCATCCGATAAAGATCCAGGTGAAAAGACGTGGCTTCAAGATCGAGTGTTCGGGCCCCAAGCTCAAAATGATATGCTTCAACGTTAGGTAAACACCCGCCGCGACAAAGGTCGGCGCGAGCACTAGACACACGATCTGAAGCTTGAATGCAGGTCCGGACCATGGGTTATCATGCATGAGCACTCGGCCAATGTATCCGGCCATTTCCATAAATGTGCCAATGAGGAGAGCCGTCAAGAATGTCCATGTTCGATAGTAGACGCCGAGACCGGTTTGGCATATTCCGAGAAGGCCAAAGAAGACGGCGAAGAATATATTTCCGCCGAAACTAGGGTAATAACCGTATGTCGTGAGTTCAACAGGGCATAATGGGCCTACTTCAGAGCAAGTAGCGTAGCTCGCCATGTTGGGTGAGAGATGTGTAATCAAAGGAGGGAGAGACGGAAGAGAGGAAGAGAGATGGGTGAGAGGTTGTAAGGCCTAGAAGTGAGATGATAAGACCAAAAGAGAAAAAAAAAAGGATCTAGAGTCTCTCATAACTCAGCCTTGTCATCCCTGGAGAATTGATATCAAATCATATAATTAATCAACTCTTTCGGGGGGGGNGGGGGGGGGGGGGGGGGGACACCAAAGGACCGCAACAAACTCCAGCTGGTGGAGCCTTTAATTGGATTAAACAGGATGAAACGGACCCCAAAAGCCATTGTTATTGGCTGTTTATTGCGGTCGTTCTTCCGCGTTCTCGTTCTCGTTCTCGTTATCCCCACGTCGCTTACATCGGATCCACTTGTTTTTCTATAAGGCGCTTTGATCCTGTCGGAGAATTGCTGCTTTTGGTCCGAGAGCTTTTTAAGGTCTTTTTTATTTCTTTCTATCTAGAATCTATAGAATCTATAGAATCTAGAAAAAGTTGTTGGGAATTGAGTTCAGTTACAAATTCTCTCTAGGGCTCTCTATTAGCACGTTTGATCATCCAAGACTGATGCCTAATTGTATATTGATTGACGTTGGGGCGCAGCGACGGCTCCTTCAAGAATTGTCGCACCGTCGAATGAAAAGAATCCAACAAATAAATAGAAGGCAGAAGTTGTAAAAACACAAAAACCTCACAGAAAAGAGAGAGAGAATCTAAGACAACTCGTGAATCCTCTTTTTATAGTTCCAGTTCACGTGACCCCTCCGCATTATCTTCTTCTCTCCCGCGCTTTGGACTCTTCCACATCTCGAAGGATCTGAGCCAAAAACCGGTTACATGGACCCTCAGGTACCGAGGTTTCTGAGATGCCTCCTCGCCGAGCGCATACAAAATCTCGCCAAGGTTGCGATCAGTGCAAGAGACGCCGTGTCAAGGTTAGTTACGGAAACTAGGGACGGCCCCATAGTTTTTTTTGGGCTCCATCAAATGACGAGACTAACAACTGCAGTGTGACGAGAAGGGGCCACCGTGCTCCAATTGTATCTCGCGGGAACTCTCATGCACATATTTAAGAGCGCCACCTCGGCCCGATTCACGAGCAAGTCAGACTCCGGGCCCGTTGGCTATTATAGAGTCAACTCCCCTGCGCCCGAGGATCCCTAGCCTAGCAGCTTCCTTTTCTCCAACCGGTTCAGGGGTGCGAGATTTGGAGCTCATGCATAAGTTTTCCACTGAAACCTTTAAAAGTCTTTGCTCTTCCAGCTCGGAGCATTATGTCTGGCAAATTACCATTCCTCGCCTGGCTCTTCAGTATGATTTTTTAATGAATGGTATTTTGGCACTGGGGGCTCTTCATATTGCCGCAACAATTGAGCCACCGGCATCGCTGGTGTACATTGACATCGCACTGCAATATCACAACCTCACATTTGCGCCCTATCGCGCAGCTGTTGACAGTATCAACCCACTGAACTGCGAGGCTGCGCTGGCGCAGTCCATTATCACCACCGTTATAGGCATTGCTCTGCCAAGGGTCACTGCTGCCCGCGGAGAAAGTTCAAGCTTAACGGAGAATATTGTCGTCGTATTTGAACTCTTGCAAGGCGTGAAAAAAATCCACCGGATAGGTGAATCCTGGAGCAAATTAGAGCTCTTTTCCCGTCGAAGAAACTTTTGGGATACTGGACCAGTCAGTCTAGATAGCGACACTCGGGCTGCCCTAGAGCGACTCGATACCTTGAATGACAAGACCCTCGGCAGTGTCGATCTCGGTCAGCATCAGGTCAACAAGGATGCTATTGTGTACTTGCGGCACTTTTCAATCAAAGTTGCCAATTTTGTTGACGCTGCCAACGTCCTGGCTTGGCTCGCTATGATCGACAAGGACTTCGTGGACAATGTGCGACGTCGACAGCCTTTAGCATTGTTGATCCTCATGCATTGGGGTGTGTTGCTCGGGGAGCTTGATGGTCAGCATTGGTGGGCTCGAGACTCGGGCCGGGCATTGGTCTCCGAGTTATTGGATGCACTATATCCTCGAGACATGGAATGGGCCAACGCTGTAGCTTGGCCCCAGAAAAAGATGGGACTCTGATGAATGATTCAAAAATATATCATCAACAATGGATCTGGAGCCCAAATAGCTGAGATCTGCATAGGCTTCCTTGCGAGTCCTGCTTCAACAACCCACTATATATTGCCCTGGTTTTTGAACAATGCAGTATATACAAGAAAAAAAATAAGAAAATAAGGAGACCGAAACTAACTGCGAAGAAGCTAGGGGATTCGAGGTAGTTAGGTATTAATGCTACAAAACAACCTATCTTTGAATATTCTATTTGCAAAGGCTACCTCGTCGATTACAGCTTTGATTCAATCTCAAATTCGAAACAGTGATGTGTCGACCGACTAGGTATCATTCCGTGGCAGTTCGAACAAGTGTAGACGTATATAATATAGAAAACGGGGTAGAACGGGGTTTCATTGGCCTCAGTCCGCCATCTTGGCTAGATACAGCCCTGGAGGTTTCCTTTTATAACTAAGCAGATATACCACCCCTAGAAGCCACACTCTTCCAGGGGACCGTCCAGGATAATCTCCTCCTCGGATTCGATGCATGAAAGTATTTCCAGGAAGAATTGGAGACCATATGCAAGGACGCACATATTCTTGATTTCCTTCATTCGCATGCGTCATTGAGCTGTTGGCTGAGTCTCTTACTACCGGTGCACTAAACTCAGCTTATTTGAACCGACTACTGCTTCCAAGTAAGGAAGCCCTTTTAGAGAATGAACCAAATAAAGATTAATTGAGGAGATACTATGATAGAGAAAGTGGTATGTTGCGGAAACATATTTGTCCAGTTATCTGAAAATCACCAGGGTTACAAGTATTGTGGGTGGTCTGCAGCGTCAAGTCTCCCTGCAATTCATTTCAAATCCGAGCTTTCTCCTTTACAGCCCCGAGGACATCGTGAGTCCGTATCAAATTTAGAGCATCTGCCTCATGCTTGCACACTTGCATGCTCAGTGGTCCGCTCACCTGTTTGAGCCAGTAGGACCGCCCACAATCGAACAACCAGTTCCGAGTCCCTACTTGAATCAACTCAGCAAGAAAGCACTGCGGTGTGCTGCGATCTTCGGTGAAGATGATCTTTGGGAACTCTCGCTGGGCTGCAGGCGTGGCATTCTCCAGACCCAGTCGAAAAACCTCATCAAAGGTAATCGGGTGATAGAGTTGGGAGCCAACTTGGACAATGCCCGTCGTGCGTGCTGCTGCGTGCAATAGACACGAGTTTGCTACGAGGTCCACGGGGATCTCGTCTAGGATATTGGTGCCTGTTTGATAGCCTTCGGTGGCATGCCAAACTTGTGTGCTACCTCGATCGGAAAACCAGAGCCTAGTGAACTTGGTGAGAGGCGTGGAGTCCTCCGATCCATATAGCGGGTAGGGGTGTCTAAACGCAGGACCGAAGATTGTTGGCCGTAACAGTAGGATTGGAAGAAGAGGGAAGCGGTTGAGTAGTAGACGTTCCATGAGATGCTTGGCTTGGGTGTAGGTAGAAGAGAATTTGCCCACGTGTGGTGATTTGCCTAGCGTTAATATGGATGCCAGCTCCTCCTCTGGATCTTCTTCGCCTCCCAATTGATATATCCGCTCTAACACCGGACCATCGGGAAGATGGCTATTGACATATGATGTAGAGATTTGAATGAGGAGTCTCAGTCGCCGGAATTCAGAGGCGATCCGTGCCATTTCCAGGGCAGGGAGGCAATTGCTTTCCAGTGCATCACGAATGGGACCTTCAAGCTTGATTTTGGCTGCTGCATGAATGGCCAGCGTCACTTGATCTTGAAGTTGACCAAGGACATCAGTTTCAATACCAAAGTTCACCATTTTCATATCACCAATCACAAACTCGACTTTCTTCGTGGCTAAAATAGCCTGTACATGATTTGGCATCGATTCTCTCAATTTTCCAATGGCCCGCTGGGAGTCCCCTCGAACCAAGACGAAGATCTTACGAGTCGGCAGTTGTAAAGCTAACTTGTATAGGAGACAACCTCCTAAGCACCCAGTACCCCCGGTGAGGAAGATTGTATGGCCCTCGAATATCTTTCCATATCCTCCTCCCACGACTTCGTCGGCATATGAAGTTTTTGCGGTCGAAGCTAATGACATTGAATAGACTAGGCAAGAGATTCAGGTGTAGAGTGTAGCTGATGTCTCTATAGAAGTATCTATGGAATAACGACACAAAGGAATGGCTGGGGTTGCGATAATGTCGGAAGGTATATAGAATACCGTAGCATCTTTCGTTCAGACCTGGAACTCGAGTGGTTGGTAGGACAGGACTCAATGTCACTCTTACATTTGTACGTTCTTGGATGCGGGAGGTTATTCTTTTGGAGCTGCAGTCTGACAAGTTGGCCAGTGGCCCTGATTTGGCCGACAAGGGTGACGACCTCCCGGGATATGGAACGGGGCTTTCGCTCTTTGTTAGAAAAACACAATAGCCCTGAAGGCAGACTTGGACTTTCGCACTATGTGCTGCCGAGACTCAGTGGGATTGTGTGACCTGAAGGAGCATCGTGTTGCAATTCCTAGAGATCTGGCCCAAGGGGCACAGACATAGCTGCCCTGAGAAATGCAATGCTCGGAGCAAGCATATCCATTCAGGACAGTCCATAGCTGATAAACGGGTCGTACAAGTCTCGGCCTGGAAAGATATCAAGATAGATTTCGCCTACATGTGATCCAATGAAGAACTAGGGTTTGCAATTGAATCATCGAAGTATATGTCTTCCACTTCTGATGAAAGCCGTGGAGAAAACTATGTGCTGTTGATTGGTGTAATACGATCCAATCCTATCTGTACAAGAGAGATATAGACATCGGCCGGGGCAAAGCGATATTAAGCGCACCGGAAATCTTGGGTCCCCTTTGAGAGTAGTTGATGGTGGGTGAAGTACAGTTGGCACCAATCAAAAGCCCTTGCTTCCACCACTACACCAGCAGCGTGCATCTCCGTCGCGCTCAACCTGGACGAGAGTATCCATGTTTTTCTCCCGAAGGAAGTGGACGGTCCTTTGACGTACGTCTTCCAAATCTGCACCCCGAGAAGCGATCACGTGAATCACACCGAAAGTGTTCTGGGGTTTTTTCTCATGCGTATGTTCGTGACCGTGGTCATGGCCATGGCCATGGGTGTGATCGTGGTCGTGGTCGTGGCCGTGGTGTTGCTCATGATCATGACCATGATGGTGTTGGCTGTGGCTGTGGGAATGGTCATGGTGATTCCCACAATCTCCATGGCTGGAATGATCATGAGAATGGCTATGGCCGGAAGACACCGCTCCTGTATCATCAAGCCAGAATTTAGGCACCGTATAGCTAACCACGCCTCTCAAAGTGCTGACTCCCGCTAGTGTTTCTCGAAGATTATATTCGGTGTCGGCTGGCAGAGTGAGTAGCAGTGTCTTGGCCGTGCTGCTAACCAAAGGAACGGCCGAGGCGAAGATCAATATGGCGATGAAGCATGATGCCAATGGATCGTAACCGGCCCAACCGGAGTAATGCACGAGAATGGTTGAAATGACAACTGCCACCGAACCAAGCGTATCGGCGAGAATATGCAAGAAAATGCCGTGCATGTTCTCGTTGCCATGAGAATGATCGTGACCATGATCATGGCCGTGATGAGCATGACCGTGCTCGAAGCTGAAAATTCCGACCAAGTTGACTGCGAGACCAGCAATACTGACGATCAATAGCTCACCTAGACGATGCATCTCACTCCCCGACGAGAGCCGTTCCACCGCTTCGTAAATGATCTCCACACTGATAATCCTGCACATTGTAAGAATTTGCCAGTACGCACCGCTTTGACAACACTCACATGAGGAAAATCCCATTGGCAAATCCTGACAAAGTATCAACTTTGCCATAGCCGTAGGGGAATCGAGCATTTGGGGGCCACTTGCTCATGACAGCTGCACATAAACCAACAACAAGCGCAAGACAATCAAAAAACATATGAATACTGTCACTAAGCAGCCCCAATGATCCGGTCAGGAACCCATATGATAATTGAACAAGCATAAAAGTGAAATTCAGGCTGCAAAACATTAGCAGTAATTCAAGAGTGATAGCTTTTAGATTTCATAACTTACCACATAAAGTAGAAGATGCTACGAGAATCCTTCTCCTTCAGAATGCTGTGTAGTAACGGATATGGTTCACTTTTATGGAGAAGCCACTTTGACACTCGGGAGGATTCAAAGGTAGTGTGTGAATGTGAATGGTTGTGCGTGTGGTTGTGCGCATGCGCATCCAGATGCAAATGAATGTCATCCCTTCGAGAGGCGAAGAAAGAGGCCATAGCCAAGATACCACGTGTGGCATAAACCATGAGCAAGTCATCCTGGACATGTGGAGAACAAAGAAAAGCTGCGGCTCCAGCGCAAATGGCGAGCCCGGTCTTTTGGGGAGAGCGGAGGCTGGGGGGCAGGGAGATCATGAGAGAAATGGCAAAAATACTTGTAGGAATAAGGAGATACATCAGCTCCGAGAGACCAAAGACAAATCCTCGGCTGAAGAGTATGGTGAGAAGTGCAAGGAAGGACCCGGCTATCACGGCTAGTGGTGCATCAACTGTGACTACAACGGATGAGCGACTCGGGCGTGAAGCCTTGCTTTGTGCAGCAACGAGACCTGGCTCAGGAATAGGTCCATTGCGACGTAGTGAAGGGAATGGGGGAGGAGAAATGAACACAGATCCTAATAGGGCAGTATATCCAATGACTGGGGATGCGTCCCAGGGATGGTTCAGCCCAAGGAAACTCGATGTAATGACCACCGCTAGCAGGCCAATGGATAGGGTCTTTCGACTGTATTTCTCTTGAGTGCGTGATGCCCCATTGATGACAGCTGGGACCCCTGATGCTGTCGCAAGGAGCAGCGAAAATGCAACCAAAAATCCTCCGACCTTGAGTGCTGCAAATATTGGCAGTGCCACAGAGACAATTTGTGAAAGTGAGGCTTGGACGCTCGTGGCATTTAGTTTCGACAATTTAAAGGACGAGAGCGTGGAAGAGCCGGCCATTTGGTGGTTGATCCGCAGTATTTGACCACAGCCGAAGATGATGAGAGTTGTCGCTGTCAAAAGGCAGGTCTTCTGACCAACTTGTCCGATAGAAATACTCGCTGTCGTACCAGGTAGAGCTTCACCAGATAGCTCTTGTCTTTGGGCGCATTGTCTCTGGTACCAAGAAAGGACAACCCACGGCAGCACGATGAGTGTACTAGTCAAAATCTCATGGCTGTGACTGGGGTCAGCTTTTACTCGTCAATCACATTCTAACCCACATACGTTTTCTCTGATTTATAGTCTTCGTGCATATTGGTATCCGTAGATAACATTCCGTAAGCGTTATTGGAATCTTTCAAATGGTGGTCATCTACCACATCATGGTGAAGAGATGACACACTATGGTTATGATTGTGGTGTGCACTAGAATGCGAGTGCGAGTGCGTATGGTGACCGAGGCTTGATGCTTGATGTGTATGTCCATATGAATAACTCGAGTTCACAGCATTGATTGGTTCCGGGTGTTCAGGAAGGCTAGCACTAGCTGGCTGTGAGAGGGGAGGCGGAGGTTGCGCCCAGCGGTTGGATCGAGAGTGGCCATGGCTGCGGCTATGACCATGATTATGATTGTGCCCATTGGAGAATGGTGTGAGATCCACACTCAACGACGGTGTCCCCGTCGACATGGTCTTCAGATGCTGACGATGCGCCCAGCTGGAAAGACCAGCAAACAGGATATGGATAGGAGATGGGGAACTGCCAAGATATCGAGGGTGGAGCGGGCGAGAGCTCAGATTAGCGGGCAGGTTGTCAGCAGATACAGCATTGCGGAATAGCCCTAGAGGGCAATAAAGGGAATTGATATAATTGGAAAAAGTGAGCGCTAGTACAGGCTCAAACAGATTGCCACTGTCTCCGGGGGAAAGCCCGTCATCCCCAAGGTGCTCATAAGGGGAATCACGTGAAGCCTTATCAGATTACGTATCAACTATTTTGACACGCTAGTTATTGATATTCCACCTTGGACTAATTCAACTGTCGTTCAACTCTCTCTCTCGGTCATTGATGTGAGCTGATCAATACCATGAGCGACATACTTAAAGTGTCATTGCCATCATGATCGAGACCCTTATCAGCATAGTGTTCTGCCTGTCTAGCGCCCTCACTGTGTTGATCATATTACTCCCTTCGCAATATCAGCCAGAACAAGCAGGATCTCCTCCAGGATCCCATGAGACAAAAAGGCGCAAGACATGTGTTCAAATTCTTGTTCTTGGCGATATTGGCCGAAGCCCGCGCATGCAGTATCATGCATTGAGCATTGCGAAACATGGCGGGGAGGTGGTGATTATTGGGTATAATGGTTAGTAAGAATCTCTTGACAGATACTGTAAGATAGGATCGCTAACTACCAGTTACTAAACAGAATCTGATCCTCATCCCGATATTATATCTAACCCAAACATCTCGATTGTTCCGCTTCGCCCGCATCCCGCTCTCCTACAGACCAGTAATAAGCTGCTATTCACAATTTACGGGCCCTTGAAAGTATTGTTCCAGATTGCTTGTCTCTGGAAATGTCTCGCATATACGACAAAACCGTGCCGGTGGCTTTTGGTTCAGGTATGTTTGTGAAAGGAGGTTCCTTGACACTCATTTGAAGTGCTGACTTGCTCTTGCGACAATAAAAAGAACCCGCCTTCCATTCCTACACTGGCTGTAGCCTCCCTTGTTTGTTTCTTGCGGCAAACAAGGCTAATCATCGATTGGCACAATTTTGGGTATTCCATACTCGCGTTGAAACTCAGCCAAACACATCCATTGGTGAAAATGTCGATATGGTATGAGAAGATATTTTGCAAATCTGCCTCGGCTCATTTGTGCGTCACCAATGCTATGGCATCTGTTCTCAAAAAGGATTTCAATCTCACAGCCCCTGTCCTGCCATTGCACGACCGCCCTGCCAGTCACTTCCACCCTATCCTCGATCCCAATGCACGAACGGATTTCCTTACAACTCTTCCGGAAACTCAGGATTTTTACTCCGCTTTGAAGACAGGGTCTCTCCGGGTTCTGGTTAGTTCAACGTCATGGACTGCGGATGAGGATTTCTCGGTTCTTATCGATGCCCTTCTTCGGTACTCTGAACTGGCCACCACAGTGCAGCCTCACCTCCCTGAAGTTTTGGCCATCATAACAGGAAAGGGCCCGCAAAAAGAAATGTATATGGAACAGATTGCTGCTCTTGAAAAATCCGGCAAGTTACAGAAAGTCACAATTCGAACTGCGTGGCTGAGTGTACCGGAATATGCTCGGTTATTGGCATCTGCATCTCTAGGGGTCAGTCTACATACTAGCAGCAGCGGGGTAGATCTCCCCATGAAGGTTGTAGATATGTTCGGGGCTGGTCTTCCTGTTGTCGGATGGGATCGTTTCGAAGCATGGCCCGAGTTGGTCACTGAGGGCATCAATGGCTTGGGCTTTGGAAGCTCAGAGGAGTTGGCTGAGCACTTGGTTGACCTGTTCGGCGAGAACAACAGATTAGATAGTCTTCGCCTAGGCGCCCAAAAAGAAAGCTCTCGGCGATGGGACGACGAATGGAACCCTATTGCGGGTTCCCTTATTGGGTTGACATAGATAGCTCTCTGTAATGACATGAATACATATGATTATCCGTTGGAATCATTACGTGGAATTATCATGCTACATTTTCGGGCAATATCTCGTCCTTTTTGTAGCCGCTGGGCCATCAAGGAGTTCTTGCAAATTTTATTGGAGGACGTCTAGTAACTGGCCTGGAATTTGGCTGCGCAGCCCAAGCAGATATCAAACGTCTCAAAGAGAGCATCGAATGTTCGACCTTGTTTCCCCCCACGCATGCACGCCACGCGTTCTTCGTCGAGGGCTTCTTTGCGACAGACAAAACAATACTTGGATATCCCAGGTTCTTGAATGGCAAGGAAGGACAAGCCACATCGTTCTATATGAATGAAAAAGGTCAGCATGTTACTGACAAATTTAAACCATAAGGTGACTTACCCCAAAGATGGCCATTAGCGCACTGAGCCAACTGGGCCGAGGGCCACCCAATTGCCGCATCGCAAACTTCACACTTCTCGTAAATGTGACCCCCTGGGCCAGCAACTTGATCCATATTCCTCGCAAATATCGGGGTGGGATTGCTGTTGCATTTGGAAATCTCATCGCTCAGGTCCGCGCCTGTCACTACCGCGAGACGCTCTAGAGACCGCCGAGTGTGAAGTCTAAGCGACTTGTCCTCTTCCCCCACAATGGCACGACAGGCAACGGCATAAATCAGGCGTTGGCTCTCCGTATCAGGTTCAATATTTCCATCCTCGCCAGGTAGCACGAAACGTATCACTTCTCTTATCTGATTGTGGTTGGAGGCTTGACCATCGGGGATGTGCGCTGCGAATAGGGCTTGGGTGTTTGTCGTGGGTTCGCCCTCCTCTGAAAAGACAATCATAGACCTGTCGTCAGAGGTGATGCGATACTCGATCATGTCCGTGGGATGTGAAGTGAAGATAGCCGCAGTGATGTTGCGATAGGCTGTGAGTCCCCAGATCCTCGAGACTGACATTCCTCCCAAGTCGTGCTCCAAGTCATAATCATCCTGGAATTCTTCAATCATGCGTTTCCATTTTGGCTGTTGCAAAGCGCTGTCACTTTGAAGTTGGTGAAGTTCTGTTACCAAGCCAATTCCACCAAGTGTACCTAGGTGGAGCTTGCATGTGTCGCTTTGTTCATTGATGGAAGTGAGCATTGCTACAGCGGGTCAGCAGTGCTGAAAGGGCTCTGTGAAGTTTGCATAACATACCAAAAATCGGCTCCAGGTGCCTTGCTTGCTTTCCTTTGCTGTCTTCGGTTTCTGGCTCATAGATCGGGTAATCACGGAATTCGAAGGCATTCGAATTGGTAACACTACCCGTGTACATAGTGTAGGGCATGGTTATAGTGATGAGACCTGCCATGGCGCCCACTGCCAGAGCAATGGTTGTAAATGATCTCTGTTAAGTTTTTATTAGCAAAACGGCCCATCTTAGCACGGATGTAAGAGAGAGAGCGTACGACATGGAGCCATCTTAGAGGACCAGTGATGTTGTGATATGCCCATTTCTCATTCAACTGGTCTAAAGGATGCTCTATCAAATCTGTGGCTAACGTGTACTGTTGTGAGGTCTCCCCGAGCGAGCTTCCGAGAGTGACTTCAAGTTTTATTAGCCGAAGCTGCGTTCCGCATACCGCAGCTATCATGGCGACTGCGCATCCAAAGTTGCCTGGGCTCGTCGCGGATGAAGTCTGCCACGGGCCACAGCAAAGCGCAGTAGTGCGTTGTCTCTCCTTGACTGCCTTCTCAAAGAGGGATCCAGAGCAGAACGGGCTATCCTTTGTTTCCGGGTTCGTAAGAGAGTGAAGCGCCAAAATCCGAAGATCATAAGGGTTGCAAGGGCTATTTGTTGGGTCTGACCTGCGGACCTGCACCACCATGACTTCATTGAAATCGTTCACCACCGTTAGAAGTGGGATTCCCCAACGACTTTCGTGCGAGTGTAGAAAGGAAGAGCCCGCGGTAGGCGTTGAAGGCTTTAAAGACTCGCACCAGGTGAAAGATCGAATGTTAACCTTGCGAAAGGCATGGCTATTTGGATCCTGTGATGGCTGCAGCTGTGACCAAAACACATGATTGGCGACGGCAACCCTAGTCCATTGCTTCTTAAGGCCAATGGGCTCCCAGAGGGACAGTACTAGATTCGACGTCAGCACAGCTAGTACACTACGTCGATATTTGCCTAGTCCTGCTGGTGACCAAGCCAGACCGACGACATTGCTTTCTGAAAGGTCTGCGGCGACCGAAAAATCATCTCGATTTCCCGGAAGGTAGTTTGGCCATTCGGAGTTCGTAAACAAGTTGGCTCTAACACGAGTCATGAGCCAATCTTGGGTTGAGTTGGGGGCAGAATCCTCATCCCTGCTATTTTTTGGCGTCTCTTAAAATGTTAGTTATATTGACGCTCATTAAATAACTAGATACATACCAGGATTTGGAAGTATTCCCCCGCAGCGATAGCAAGCTCGCCGTCCGGAGACCAAGAAATGGCGTCATGGCAGGATGGAGATAATGATAGGGCCACAGGATTTAACATGGTGTTAGATATTAGATCTTTGCTGCACCGGCATTCTTGGTAAATAAAGGGTTTGCGAGGAAGAATATGAAGATGTATGAAGAAGAGAAGCCAAAGATCTGCTTTTGTTTGGGTCGCATTCTGCTGGGTTGGTTCCTGAGAAATCAGGCGCCAACAACAATACACCTTAAGAATACTTCCAAGGATGACTCCAAAGTTGGAAAACGGGCGATTAGCAAAAATGAAAATATTGGAAATGTCACAAATAAGGAAAGAAAGATGGATTCAGGCTTTATGGAGATATCCAATAGATCTAAGAGAGAGCGAGAGAGCGATGCATGGTATGTATCCATATGGAAAGGCCCAGAAAGAAACAGGCAAATAATTTGTACAAAAAAGGGCCCAGAAAGCACCAGGTAAGTAAATGGGATTTTGGCCAGATTTGGGCCAATCTACTATTCCAAATCGCAGAGAAGGTGCACGTCCCCACTTGGATTGTTCATTTGAGGGTATCAGTTATAACTTGTCAGTGGAGGCACTGTACAGTTTTTGCTGAAATCAATCCACACGATCCAATCTCTGCACAACCATCGCGGTCGCAGCACCGCCGCCGTTACAGATCGCAGCCACTCCATACTCGCCGGGCTGCAATTGGTGAAGTAAGGTGACGAGAATACGTGAACCTGAGCTGCCGAGAGCGTGGCCGAGAGAGATGGCGCCTCCAAGCATGTTGACTTTGGCATTTTGCAAACCGAGAATCTAGACGAGTTAGATCTGATGTGGAAGTTAGACAAACACGGCACTGACCTTTTCATTGGCTTTGATGACAGCCGCAAAAGCTTCGTTGAATTCCCATACTGCTACTTGATCCTTGGTGATACCGGCACGCTCCAGTGCAATTGGAACTGCTTTGGCAGGGGCCACTGGGAAGTCCACAGGGTCGATGGCGGCATCGGCCGTAGAAACGATACGGGCCAACACACGGCTGCCAACGCCATATTCGCGAGCAATATCCTTGCTGCCCAAAATCAAAGCAGATGCTCCGTCATTCATGGTAGATGCGTTACCAGCGGTTACGGTTCCAGTCCCATCTCGTAGGAAGGCGGGTTTCAGGCTCTTCAACTTATCGGCACGCAAGTTTTCGAAGCCCTCATCCCGCTCGATAAGGGTATCTCCTTTCTTACCTTTCACAGTAACCGCAGCAATCTCATCGGCGAACTTGTTCTCCTTCCATGCCTGCTGGGCTCGCTCATAAGATTGGATAGCATATAGATCCTGATCCTCCCGTGAAATATCATAGTTCTTCGCAGTATGTTCTGCGCAAATGCCCATGTGGAACTTGTTGTAAACATCCCATAGACCATCCTTGATGAGACCATCTTCTAGCTTGATCTCACCAAAGGGGGGCAATTGGCTGGCACGTGCCATATAATAGGGGACGCGAGTCATGTTCTCCATGCCACCAGCCACCTGTGCCTCTGCCAAGCCTAGTTGAATATTTTGTGCAGCAAGTGCCACAGCCTTCAAGCCAGAAGCGCAGACCTTGTTGATTGTCGTAGCTTCGACGGTGGAAGGGAGACCGGCAAAAATCGATGCCTGGCGGGCAGGCGCCTGGCCCACCGAGCCTTGCAGAACATTTCCCATATACACATCCGTGATCTTTTCAACAGGTACCTTAGATTTAGCTAGGGCGGATTTGATTGCAACAGCACCAAGCTCAGGTGCTGATACGGAAGCAAAAGAACCATTGAACTTAGCAACTCGAAGTTAGTGAATTGCTTCTCAAAAGATTCCTCCGAGTCCACACACCTTTGCTGTTGGTGTTCGAGATGCACTCAAAATGTAAGCTTCCTGAATTTCCTTACATGTCGGGCGTGCGGAGCTGAACTGTCGCTGGGCGCAGAATGCGGGGAAGGCCCGCTTGGGGAAACGAGCAGACACGCCGAGAGAAATCATGATTTGTTCACGACAAGTGTGAGCGGCGAGTCGACAGTATTGAGGGATGGAAAGGTTATGAGAGGAGAGTCAAGAACGAAGAGCTGAGGAATGCTCTTGCATGTGCATATCGGAATTCACCTGGGCACCCGCCCGTACAACCGCCTGTAACCGCCACTCCGCTTGAACCGAGGCTCCCAAGGCGGTCGCCGCTATGACATAATAGTTGCTGAGTCAAGAGCTCCCCAGGGCCGGAGCTCTCTTGGCTTTGCTCTAGCCTCTTTGGGATAGTTTCTCCATTAAGAACTTTACTCCGATCTTCCCCTCCATCGCTTCGCTGCATATCGCCCACCGTATCAATGACCATTCGGGTTTCCTCGCCTTCCCCTCTCTTCTCTTTTTCTTCTGCCCTGACTGTATCTGCAAAGTCCTGATCTCTAGCTACATAAATACCGCTTTAACAACCCATTTTAATCACTTTACGCCTCCTCCGATTGTTCTATCATGTCTACATCCGCCCGCCGTCGTCTCATGCGGGACTTCAAGGTACGCGTCAAT